AACAGACATGTTCTAATAATATCAAGTGTGATTTGTTGTAGGGACTTAGGAGACAAGTTGCTATAGTTGTTGTTAATGATAAAGAAGAAAACCAGCATGGTATAGTTTGAAGAGAAAGTAATTTGTACACATCTGGTTCTCGCTCATTGTCCTAACACATATCATATTCATGAATTAAATCTTTCCCAGATGTTATATTTCAATAACATGGACATACTCAGTAAATTAGAAGCTAATTATATCCAAAATGTACTGATTTATAATTTTATACAATGGATCTACATTTGTCTCCAGTGTCTTTAGAAATTTCACTTTAAATAACAGATCTATAATCACTACAATCTGATCAAACACATTGTGGTAGAAAATGAACAAGCTCACAAATGCATCTAGAGATTTTGCTTAAGTGTCTCTTAAGAGCTGTCAAGCAAAGATCACCTAACTTTTAAGGAACTTTCATATATACATGCCAATACATGGGGAAAATTGTAATCTCTTAATAACATAGACTATAAAATATAGATTAATTATCTAAATAGAAATGAGTGATAGATTCAAATTTAATGGATATAAGGGGATAGTAAAAAAATCAATAAAATGATATATTTCAAATAAATAAGTAGATAATTACAAAAATTTGGTAAATTAGGCATGTCCCTAACAAGACAACGCCCTGAAAAATGAATTCTTCTGGGATAAAAGAAACCTAGAAGGCAATTACCATTTTAATATGTGAATTTTGAAGCTACTAACCAATAAAGACTATTTTTTTACAACTGAAGAAATATATAGAGTTGGTCCTATTACTTTTTACATTATGAAAAAAATATTCTTTTTTTAAACAATTCATACTGAAGTAATGCAGATAATAGCACTAAACAAGTAAACAGAAATACAAATATACTTACAAATAGGAATAAAAAGCAGAACTTGATGGAACACATAACTTTTTTATATGAAATGAATGAGAAAATTCATTCATGAAACAGGATTAGGATATTATATCAAATGAATACCAGAAAACATGAATCTTTAGAATTTACTAAAATTAAAAATGAATGAAATACAATAAAAATAAAAACTCAGATGATCAACTTAAGGAAATCTCACAGAAAGTAAGACAGGCAAAGATAAGAAAAAAAAAAGAAAAGAAACTTAAGATCAGTCTTGACAATACAGCCTGAATGGGACACTTAAAAAACAAGAATAGGGAAAAGACAATGGAAAAGGTTTCTCAAGGAACCATACAAAGTGAACCAGGCAGACAACACTGAGGCCCCAGAAATACTTGGTAGCAAGAATATACTTGTTTTTTTGTTTTCTGATTATGTCTTTAAAAGCAAACAAACAACTAATGCTCAACCACCTCTCACTTATTTTGGAAAATCTAATACATGTGGTCATTTTTAACATGTGACATTCTGAAGGGTTCTTTCCACAGCAGGAGAAAGAACTAGATTTGAAGAATTTGCTTTTCAACGTACAGAACCAGGATCCCATTGCGATTTTACTACTGTCTCTAATGCCAATGTTACATCAAGAACCCAGAATTCATCCTCACAAGTAGGTTGTTTTTAAATTTGTAAATTCTAAACTAGCTTTATAGATTTTTTAAGAATAAAACAAGTTAATAAAAAACTGTCAGAATATTTTGTTAATCTATGCCAGTCTTATTCACTAGTAAATTTTAGAACTATCTTATTAGGAAATAGTAAATTTGGATAAATAAATCATTTTGACTTGGAAGCTAGCACCTTATTCTTTGGTTATGCTAAAAACTTATGACCATCTCAGGCGGGCAGTGGTGGCGCATACCTTTAATCCCAGTACTCGGGAGGCACAGCCAGGCGGATCTCTGTGAGTTCGAGGCCAGCCTGGTCTACAGAGTGAGATCCAGGACAGACACCAAAACAATACAGAAAAACCCTGTCTCAAAAACAACAACAACTCTTATGACTATCTCTACTCTTTAACATCTAAAGCTAAACACAGTTTTGCTACTGACATAAGGGATTTGTGTTCTTAAATTGTTTTATTTTTTTGTTGCCCAGGAGTAGAGAGGTCACAGGTATGAAGGTTTAGATGGGCAGTCTGAATCCTAGGGGCCAGAAGCACATACATACATGAAGATCTGTAGCAGCCATCTTCACTTAGGAGCTTTCAAATAATTGTGTGTGTTTCTACACAAAATATTCTTTACATGTGTCCCAAAAGAGATGTCTTAGGTTACAAAAGATAAACACTCTTAATTTAATTGGCTTTCTTTATAATCAAATTTGACAACAAGAATTTACAAAAAATATGTCACAGATATACTACATATTATTTTTCTATAAGTAATGAAGGCATATGACCACAGATGACTAAAACATTACTGTAAATTAGTACAATAATTCTGTGTTCCAGAACACTGCACGGCGGAGGTTAAGAAGTGAGAGCTCTTACGATATAGACAACATTGTGATTCCCATGTCATTAGTAGCACCTGCTAAGTTAGAGAAACTCCAGTATAAAGAAATACTTACTCCACGGTATGTATACTTCCATCTATTTTCTTTCTTCTTTCTTTAATAAACTTAAATTCAGAGTCAAGTTTTAACTAAAAGAATGCTCCCCTTTCCCTATTTGCATAGAAGGGAAACGGTAAAAGGAAACTTTACATTAAATTGATTGACTTTAGCATTCAAAATTGATTTTTACTTAGTTATATTTAAATATCTATTATGTATATTTATTACCATAGATTTCAGCAGTGCAAATATTACAACAAACAGCTCTTGTCTTTTACGATAGAGGTATACTTGGTTGCAAAGAATTAAAAAAAAAAAGCAACTATTTGCATGTGCACTCACTGTTAAGACAGTAATGTTTGCAAACAAAATGAGTTTCTGATTTATCTCTCATTCAGCAATAAAAAAAATCAAATAGAAAAATGAGAGGGAATATCTAGGAAAATAATCCAAAAAGGTAAAAATGGTTATTTACATAGATACAAGTGTGCAAGGTCTAGCCAGACATGGAGGTTTGGAATAGTTTATACATGGAGGTTGAGCTAGAAAAGAACTAGACTAAGGCACGCCTCGATTCCATGCATAGATCTACATCCACTGGCAATGAAGGCAACTATGTTTTATAGCAACAACAAAAGCAGTCTCTTTTAGATATGAAAATGGCACTAGGAAATAGAAAAAGTTGGAGATGAACACATGGGCCCTTTCATTTCCATTTTAATTCTGTAAGTTCACTTACTACTTCACAATTAATCTGAGGAACTAATCTGGTACTCTACTAGTAGGCACTACAGTTACATATCTACAAGATCGGCATTTTCTAAAATAAGGAATATTGTTGTGGTTAATAGTGTTTCATAGCAGCAATGTTTTCAACTCAAAGTGGAGAATTCTGTGAGCCATTTTGTTAAGCTAGTAATTAAAAAGGGCATGATTCACATTTCCATACTGAAGAAAACTGAATCAGGTCAGGTTTCTCCTCATTTCTGCCCAAGCCAGGTGATTAGCTTACCAGTGAGTTAATTCAGACAGCACATTAGAGAATGCAACTACGTAGAAGAGACTATTCACTGTAAGGTATAAAGAATAAAATTCATCTTCTTTCTTCTCTTATAAAATCTTTTTTTCTCTTTAAAATGACAAACTATTAAAATGCAACCATTTGAATTATGGAAATCTTGAGGAAATAAAACCTAGTATATTTAGCTTTGTTTAGAAAACTGCTGTATTTGGATAAAAGCTGTTTGAAATTCTTTTGTTTTCAACAGCTGGAGGATGGTGGTTCTTCAGCCTCTTGATGAACAGAACTTAAGCAAAGAAGAGGTAAGCTGCCTATGTTTAATGTGATAATTGCACCTTTCACATTATAAAGCCTAAATCATTTGATATTTAAATATCTAAAGGGAAATATAAACCATGATTTTTATTTATAAAAATCTTTTCAAAAAGGATATTCTTTTTAGAAAAATGTTCCTTCCCAAATTTGATTGCAAAAGTCATATAGCATAGTGTTATCTCCCAAACCAAACAAAAAGGCAGTGTGATACATATTGTAGTGTTAATACCAAGAGTCAAGGACAGTCCTAGCAATAATTAAATATTAATGCTTTTGTAGTTAAACATACACAACAAATGGGGTATAACAGAAAAAATAAATATTGTCACAGCATTTCTTGATCAGGCTGTGAGTTATAATGAAAAGCTTGTCCTCCCCACCCCAACTTTTGGATGCTGAAATTATTGGTAAAGGATTCTACACCGGTATAGATGAAATTACATTAAGAACACTGATGGGAATCAAACACACTGTATGAACCTCAAAACTCTCAAAGAACTAAGGAAAAGAACAACTAGAGGGGAAAATACTAAATAACACTAATTCCAAGATGATGGCCTTAATGAAAATTAAGAGTTATACAGAGGGCACACACATACTTTCTGTCAACTAACAGTGCTTCTATACCCACTTGTCTTATTTTTCAGCTACCAATATCTTACTATTAATGCACTTTGCTTTTCTGTTGCACTCTTGCTAAGTCAGAATGATCATTACCAGGAAAACCAAATTACCCAAAGTTACCCAGTTAACTAAGTCAGTTAACTAAATTCTGATTTACCTCAATTGGTTTTACTTTTTTTAACATTGACATATTCTTAGAACATTGTACTTCATAATGGATAATCCATAATTACTCTGTGGAATGAAAAAAGTTTAAGACTGTTTTTTTGTAGCTTGGGTAAGGTAGCACATACCTGTCATCCCTGCACTCCAGAGGCTAAGGTAAGAGGGGTGCATATTCAAGCTTGCCTTAGTATAGCAAGAGCCTGTACCCAAACAATAACAAAATAATCCCATAGCTGTGGCAAATGGAGAGAACCCATTTATCATCTAGGTACATATTAAAACATGGGCCAAGAGTAGGATGTTTTAAAAAGTTCTGTGCTTACAAAGACCATTTGAAACCTGTTTTCATGTTTCAAAAATCTTACCAGATAGAAGATCTTTCTGATGAAGTCTTCTCCCTAAGACACAAAAAATACGAAGAGAGAGAGCAAGCTAGGTGGTCACTCTGGGAGCAAAGCAAGTGGCATAGAAGAAATAACAGGCAAGTATTTCAAGTTTAAAACTAATATTAAAGCCATAACATATGAGGAATGAACAGAACCTAGCCATGAAATTCAAGCAAGACCACCGAGAAGGAGATCACAGGACGCAAAGCCAGCTGTTGTGTAGAGTGACGCCTGCACACAGAAACTGACATCCAAAGTTCATCTGGGAATGACACATGACAGAATGAGTTTCTCAGACTTACTGTGCTACTGGTACCCATGGTATCATACTTACCCAGGAAATACTAGGAACACTCTATATAAAGCATATCATTTCATACAGGCATGGTGGCACATGCCAGTAATTAATTAGGAAGCTGAGGCAGGGGGATCTCTAGTTGAAGACCAGTATAGATTGCACAGTGAGAGCAAGTTATTTCACTGTTGTTTAAACAGTGAACCCAGCATAAGGTACTGGAGTTTAGGTAATCCATTTTAACAAACATCTCAAAAATAATACTTAACACAAATTCTTTGAGAAATTTTATTTTAGTATAAAAGACAAATAGTTCATGGGACTTTTAAAAATATAAATATTAGATCTGGGCACATGCTCAGAGTTCCTGCATTCATGGGGATGAGGCAGGCTGATCATGTGTTAGAACATGTGCCACAGAGCCAAACTTTGACTTAAAAACCAGAAAACAAGCCCCTAAGAAGACTGGGGGAGAATAAATGTGACATAATTAGTAATTATCTATTTGAAATACCTTTGTAGTTACATTTCATTATTTTTAATATAGTCACAACTAAAAAAGCAAGTTCATGTAAAAATCTAGCTGTCTCTTCATTTAAACAACATCTTTCAATTAGCTAAATAATAATAAAGTCCCTTCTCTGCCTAGCTGTTCAGATGTACTGTAAATCTTTGTTGAAGGAGTTCTCCTAATATAAATGAAACTCTAGAATTCCAGTTCTTTTCCACATCCTAGATAGAACTTTCCAGAAATATAGAGGAAAAAAAGTGAATTGAGGTCTTCATGTATGTTAAAACAATTCTAGAATAAACTGAGAACTCAAAGACTGTAAAAGTCAAATACATGGCCCTTTCTGTCTTCTCAAACCAAAGAACTGTAACAACGATGACTGAGTACTCAATGAGGATATTTAAGCCTTGGATAGAAACCTTTCCTAAAAACAACAGTGGGAAGATCATCAGATGACCTTGAGTAGAAACACTAGAAAAACACAGTACTGACTTAGTGTGATACCCTGTATTCATTTATTTCCTTACTAGAGCTTACAGTAAAAACATGGAAGGACAGGACTTGGTTCTGAAGGAAAACCCAAGCGAACTTAGCAATGCTCAGCAGTGTGCTAATGCCGAGAGCCCCCTCGAGCTCCCAGCGGACAACCACAGTCTGTGTGCTCAGGATTCACTTTCTTTAAATGAAAGTCAAGAAATCAAGGTAAGCCTAGGTTATATGACTGCATTTTCTTTTAACTGTCTTTTAACTTCATCTCACTTGTGTGTAGAAATTGCTTATTGTAAATTGTTTTACTACATATCAAACTCAGTGAGATGTTCAGTCTAGCATGGCCATGAAGGTCTAGAGTGGAGCACTCTAGTTCCATTCTATTAGCAATTTACTTGTATTTTTATTTTTGGGGGGCACAGCCTGCCAGTAACAACCCTGACCTATCTACTTACTTGCCTGTTAGGGAATGGGGATTCTACTGCACTTTCTTTAAGAACAAACCTGAGCACTGGAGACTGGCACATGGTACACAGTAAGCACAGCCTCTGTTTCCCTGCTGAGAACAAAGGCTTTGACTTGTCTCCACACAAATCCAGCTCCTACTGTAGGAGAGTATATCCTACAATTATACAAAGTTCATGCTTCTATCCCCATTACAGGGTGTTGAAAAATAACTAGATCAAGAATGGAGGAACTATAGAAATTAATATGCAAGTTGCAGAAAATTAGGAAGAAAAAGGATCTGTAATAACAATGAGACAGAAATGAAGTACAGCAAATGGAAGAAATCCTTCCTTAAAGGGTTCTGTGGCAGTATTTGCTCTTCTTAGCAGAGTAAAGAAATAATTCCTTAAAGTCAAGAAATTCTCAGTATATTCCATTTTGACATGAAAGGAAATGAAAACCTGAACTTAGATACTCAAAGAATTATAAAAACTGACATTACAAATTGCTTAACAAATAATCAAATTAGGTGAAACTTAACTGAAAATGTTTCCCCTTTCAGTCTTTGCGGTGGGAGCGACGAGCGTTTCCACTGAAGGATGAGGATACTGCAGCCTTATTATGCCAAGATGAAAGAAAGGATCAGACTGAGGGGGCAAGCACGGCCTTCCGCGACGAAGTCTTCTGTAGCACTACACCAGAGGATGGCCACCCTCCAAAAGTGCAGTTAGATGGAATGGAAGAGTATAAAACCTTTGGTATAGGCGTTACTAATGTTAAAAGAAACAGGTGACAGGGAACAAATTATGAAAACTATGTAACTGAAAGGAAAAGAGGAAGAAAAACCTAAACCCTCTTCTGACTCTTCCGCTCCTCTGGTCACAATTCCAGACAAGGAGGATGTGCTGCATGTATCCATCTTTCACTGTTCATGAAACAGGCCAGAGAAGTTTCTTTTTCCTGAATCACAGAAGTAGCTAGCTTTTCACCTACACAAATGCTAGTAACTTGTGTGTGTCAATAACTCAGATCACAAACACTGCTGCAGTTTGATGGAAATCACACTCTGGGGAACTGTTACGAGCCCCTCCCTGACTACAGTCGATTTACATCAAATGACAACTATTCTTTGTACCTGGTCTCCTGGCAGTCCATTAAAACTGCCTCAGTAATCTGAGAATATACTAGTGTGTATACAGAATATATACACACACATGCACACCGTTGTCTGAAAACTGCATACATGAACTACTCTATGCAATGTAAGTTGCCATGAATATCTAGCACAGGTGTGGACTGATAATAGACATCTGAAACCTTTGACTATGGAAAGGGAGTTGTTTTTTCTTTTATTCTAAAAATTGTTTAACCAATATAAGTTATTTATGGAAATTCTTATATCAGATAATACAATATTCATTTATTTGAAATCATTGTTCTCTCTTGGACTAACCACAGACTTTCTGCTTACTCCTAACAGAATTAAGAGAAGCAACTTAGAGTTTAATATATTGATACATTTTAAAACTATTGTCTTTGAAAATTCACCCTGAGTTTTACTTGCTTTATGTACCTCTTCAAGACAGCAATTTAAAATGCAAAACAGCACACAAATCATAATATGGTTGTAATTCTAGCAAATGTACAGCTAGAAGCTTCTAATTTGGTTTCTCCTTGCCATAGCTTACTCAAATGCCTACTCTTAATAGGCTCCTAGATCAAGAATTCAAGTTTTTTCAAAGACTAAGACTTTAATATAGAATACTGAGGAGTGTACATTAAGGAAAATTCTTTTTGGAGCTATAATACCATTTTTTCTAGATGAAAGTTAAGGACAATTTGTATCAACCACTTTTTGTTATGCAAAGAAAGGTTACTCAATTTGTAGTTCCCATAATACTGAAAATTCTGGCCACTGGGCTTAGCGTCTGTGGGATTAGATACTTAAGGTTTTGTTGAGGATTAGAAATTAAACTGTCCCTGCAGAAGGGGGGTGGGGGAACCATTCAGATTCAATACTTACAAACTTTTGCTTATAGTTTTACTGTACATTTATTTTTAAAGAAAAAGATAACAAAAGCCAGAAAAATACAAGTTGTCCCAGCAAGTAATTCAAATCTTTGTCATGACTGATATTATAATCTTCTACATAGTTTTTTAATTAAAGTTATTTCTATATGCCTTGTATTGTGTGATTTGATTAAATGCTATTACTCGTGGCACAAACTTTTCCTAAGCCAAAATAAAAACAAGTATTAATAAACTTTACCTTATAGGGCAGGAAAAAGCCCCAGCAATCTCTGTTTCATGCCTAAGTTTGTCAGTGTTCTTACTTTCTTATTTTTTAAAACCTTATTTCCCAAAACTCACAGTAGCCTTAAGAAATTTAATGATACTGGTTTGTTCTTGTCATAGTCAAGAATGAGAGTGAACTTGCTGATACGTATTTCCAGTCTTTCGATAACTGGGAACACTGTTATTAATACTTAGTTCATGGATTAAGTCTGTATCCTGTCTTCTCTTAGCCTACTTCTTCTTTCTTAGAAATTATATAAACATCCTTGGGGCCCCATCTGTATTTCCAGAGTATGCTTTACTTACTCTGATTCTGCTAGAGTATAGTTATACTAAAAATAAAGTTAAAAAAAAACCTTTCTTCTTCCTAACCTACCTCTCAGGAGCCGTCTGTAGTCTGAGCAGTAGGACATACCAGAAAGCCTGCTTTTACTGGACCCTTTCTATGTACCAGCACAAAAATTACCTGCTAACAATTACAGACAATCTAGGAGTTAATTAAGCACAACCAAAGTGCGTAATAACTCACAAAACATCCCCTACAGTCTAAGAGTAGAACTATAGGCTATCTAATATCATGTTATGCTTTTAATTCTCAACCCACAGTAGTTATGGTTCCATTTAACAGATGTAAGAGTTGATAGTGAAAACAGGTTGGGTGACTTTTCTTAAAATCAAAGATCTAGAATGGAGCCAACCTGGATTCAACCCAGTGGAGCTTCCAAGAGAGACTGTATGGTTCCTCTCTGCTCACAGCTACCACAACAGTATTATTTCACAGCTCTAAGAATGGTAGTTGAGTGAGAACCAGAAGCAGAAAGGAATTACTGAAAAGCCTGCTGTGACAAAGAAAATACCTTGATAGAGTCTGTGCTTGCATTTCAGAAACCCTAGGCCTCATACATTTTGTTATAGTCTTTAATAAACCAAGTGTAAGATAAAAAGTAAAAATGTTTCAGATGCCAGACCATGACGTGCCACCCCACCAAAGCTTCTAATTTTAGTCCCATTCCATTCATATTCATATCCAGGCATATAAACAAACTACAAATGACACGAAACAGAGAAAATGGATGTCATTTGCTTTAGGGATAAACCAGGAAACAACAGAACATTCTTTTTAAAAATACAGAAAAATGGTTTTCATAGTAGCTAATTTTCCTCTTTAGGCATTAAGACACATTTCTGTCTAATCTTAAACCATATTTTCACTCTTTACAAAAATCATTCTCCCAATATAAACATGAATATTTCATCACGCTAATCTCTAAATGGCATCACTAAAAAGGTAGTTATTTATTTCTAACCTCTTGAACATCCTGCACAATTGATTTTAATCACTGGAATGCAGCACTGCTTTGATTCAATGTGATTTGGTAGTTAATATTCCTCTTTTCCAATAAAAAAGATTTCATGAGCAGAACCCAGGTTCCTGTGGCTTCATCGATCAAGAGAACGTTTCTGAGCAGCTTCTGAACAGACATTTCTTAGTAAGTTGATAACAGATCTGGGGTCGTCACTCTTCATGATGGCACTGCCAGACACAATCATGTTAGCTCCTGCCTGCAAGAAGTACATGGCTGTGTGTTAGCGTGGAAGAAACCAACACAGAAGTCCTGGAGCAGCCTTTCCACCCTTGTCTCTGCCAGCGCTCTCCCAGAAGCTGAGTGTAGCACTCTAATTCACTGAGGTAAGAAGGGAAAACGCTTATAAATGAGGCCACAGTTACATGTAAATGCGCCTACCAAGTCACAGGACTGCTGCGTAAACTAGTCCGAGCTGCACAGAGTACCTCTGCTGACACTTAGAAATGAAGCTCTGCCCTCTTGGATCTACAATTCCAGGCAGGCCTTTCCTAGCGCACACCAAGGACCCCAGACACTAAGGAAACCCTGTAGCTGTTTGTTTCGAGAAAGTCTGAAGGGAGACTGAAAATGAGAAGCTAGCCATAAAACACTGGGAACATTAGTGCCTTGTCATTTTGTGTCAGAAAGAATGTAAAAATATATCTTTATGCTTTCTTAGGTCCCAGCACTTAGAAAATTCTCCCTGGATAACATTTTTAAATGTGGAGTCAAAGAAATGGGGGGTAAAGGGAACACCCTAAAAAGCTCGAATGAGATAGCTCCAAATACAGCTCTGGGCCTGGGATCTGAGCTGAGGGAAAGCCAATCTGCTGTGCAATCCATTGTTAGAAGCTGGAAAACCACATGGTGAGGAAATCTCTCCAATGAGACCCAGTCACCTGATAGCAGGCTTTTACATCTCCAATAACATTCTTTCAGAAATTAGAGTTTATAGGACTATTGATTAATATGTCTCTTAATTTGAGCAGGAACAGCACCGCAGAAGAGTTCAAAACCAAACAACTTAGCAGGATCTGATAGGCGATGCTCAGTGATCATCAACTATTAAACAAATTCATGTATTTAGAAACTCCCTTGTTCTTTACTTTCCTAACCCTATGTTTGAGCAAAAAATATTTTCCCAAGGAAAAACTCAACTCAAGCACTTCTTTGGTGACAGGACTGTCGTGCAGACTGCGCCTACAGGAACTGGCCTAGTCACAGTTGAGGAGCAATCTCACCTCCGCACATTTCTGAACAGTGTCAGGACCTACTCCACCATCGACCTCTATATCCAAAGTTGGGAACTGGGTCCTCAACCAGTGAACCTAGACATACACGAAGAAACAGTGACTCCCACAGTGCACACGCAAGGGAAAAAACAACCAAGCACACAAAACATCAGAGCTCACACGAGCTTAGCTGTACACACAACAGGACTGGGGATCACTTTCAATAGACTGAAGCATATCATGTTTATCAAAGAAGTTTAGCAAATGACATTCAATTTGTGATAGCTTTGTAAAGACTAACGAAAATTCTCAAGTGACCCAAGGTCACAAAAATAGCAGCTTAAAAAATTTGCAATATGGATATTAGCTTTTATTTTAAAACCTATCATACTGTCTTACAGTATCTGAAGGCATCTCTATTCCCTCACCTCCAAAGCAGGACACATCTACACATCTAGAGTAAAAACCTCACCCCAGAACAGAATATTTCTTTTACCTTGGGCATCATATCTTCCATGAATTTTTGCCCTCCAAACCCAGGTTCTACGGTCATTACCAAGGCCATATCTATTTGATTAGCCCATGGGGCCAAATATTCAACTGTCGTTCCTGGTTTGATGGCAAGGCCGACCTGTAACACACAAATGCTAAATCACATCATTTCCCTATTGTATATTGTGGCCAAGTTTTAAAAAAAAAACAACTCACAAAATAGAATGCAATTATCCAGAGTACAACATCAGGTTTTTTTTGTTTGATTTGGATTTATTTTTGCTACCTTATTTTTTGATTTTTACTTTAAAATATTTTTCTTACAATATATTTTGATCATGCCCTCAAGTCCTCCCAGATCCTCCCTACCCACCCAACTTTATATTCTCTCCTGCTCTCTCTTAAAAAGATACACATGTGTCTGGTGGTGGTGGCAAATGTGTATTTTTTAATACATATTTTTAAAATTTTTTAATTTAATTTTTTAATCCCAGCACTCGGGAGGCAGAGGCAGGTAGATCTCTGGGTTCAAGGAAAGCCTGGTTTACAGAGTGAGTTCCAGGACAGCCAGGCCTACACAGAGAAACCGTGTTTCGAAAAAATAAATGAAACCAAACCAAACCAAACCAAACCAAACACACACATGCAAACATATACAAAATCAAAAATCAAACAAAACAATGAGACAAAAAAACAATTCCTGCCCCCCAAAATAAACAAACAAAACAAGGAGCTCTTTTGTATTGGCCAATTACTCCTGGGGACTGGGCCTGCCCTAGAGTATGGCCGATAGACCCAGTAAAACTCCACTGTAGAAAACTGATTTTCTCCTTGCCAGTGGGTATCAATTACCCACTTCTTTTTCAGGGGTTGGACTCTGTGTATCCACTTCCCCCTCTCAGTGACACATTCAGGCCAGAAAGAGTCCTAGCACTGGTTTTTTTATTTGTTTTTAACAATAACATGGTCATTAAATGTGAATTATTCCAAGGCAGTGACCTTCAGAAACATAAGCAGAATATATCTTACAAACATTTCATACTTTAACTCTGGACTCCCAGCTGCCCACGTCCAGTCCTTTCCCTATCATTTTTTTCCCCATCTATCTTTCAAACTTTGACAAAAACTGGTATAAAACATGACTCTTATCATCAACTTACCTTCATCCCATTCTCCCGGATGTCTTTAATCAAAGCCCCCGGGTTCTCAGTTGCCTCAAGATGAAAGGTATATTGATTGGCACCTGCCACGGCCATTGGCTTTACCCACTGTTCTGGTCTAGACACCATCATGTGCATATCTGAGAAGAAAAGACATTTTCTGGTCATTACTGAGAGGAATACCCAGCACATGGGATAAAGTCAGCCTATAGGGGTTTTTTTTGTTTTGTTCATTTTATATATATATATATAAAATTATTCCAGCATCACAAAGTAATCAATTATACTTTGGTATAGATAGTCTTCATCCTAAAGATACAATTTGGTTATATTCACTTATGAAATAGTTTTTCCACAAAAAGCACATGCTGCTACATATAAAAAGTAATGAGAAAAAAAACCAGGAAACTGGGGTGTGAGTCCAGGAAACGCCACTTTTAACGGTTGAAAGGGGTCACACTACCTATGCAGCCTGTTCTCTTTCGGAAAACTAGACTGATTTTCTCCATGTGCTCATTTAGCAACCTTCCTGAACTTTTATGGTGGCACAAATGATAAAATACAAACGAGCGTAAGTAGCTAATGTCGGCTGAGGGGATGTGATGTCCGAGAAACAGGCAGTGAGGAAGGTGGCCAAGCTCTGCAGGCTGCTGGATTTCGCCTAATGCGGTGGGGAAGCGCAGGCTTCAGTGAAGTGACGGTGACCCAGGAAGTCAGGCTCTGAAGGCACAGCCACCTAGAAGCGGGGAGGAAAGGAAACGGCGCCGAAGACTTGGCCTCAGCACGTAGGAGGGCAGAGCTGCAGTGTATGGAGTGACAGAGGAGACAGACGGCAGGCTGGTGAGGGAGGGTGGAAGCCTGAGGCTGGATGTACACAACACAGTAAGCAGAACACAGGCATGGTCTGCTTCAAGTTCTTAAACCTGAATGTATCTCATGAGGAAAGGGCCTCTTCAAAGAGGTCGGACCACAAGACAACCCTGGGACCAATTCTGTGCAGTGCAGTGTGGAGAGTGTGAGTGTTGGTCTGACTTTCATCAGAGGAAGTATATTTCCGGCCTTGCTATGCTGTATTTTAAAAATAAATTCTAACATTTCAGAACCTAACTAAAATTACAAAAGTCAAGAGCTTTGGAAAGGAGTTAGGCAATAATACCAGCATTACAGTATATATTTCTAGACTAACAATAACAAACAAATAAAAACATGTTAATAGGTAAAAACCTCACGTAAGATCAGCAGTCCTCAGACAGATTCTAGCACACGCTGGCTGATATTGGCTAAACGTACAGATGTTATGTGTATTAGACATTTCAGAGTACTAATTAACACAAGAAATACTAACAGAAATTACAGAAGACCTCTGTTTTGCACAGTTTAGTTAGTGCAGCTTCATTTTGGAGGTTTTCTTGTGTTATCTGTGGTTTAAAAATGCTAGACAGAAGTTCCAGAAATAAACACTTGTTAAGTTTTATATTGTGTACCCCACACCAGCTTGCTCTTTTGAGTCATCCCTCTGACTGGAGTACACACACCATATACTACCCATTCACAACTTGGCAGCTGGCTGAAGTGGTCATACCCAATGTCCTGGTATCACAGTGCTTATGACTGAGTTATCCTATTTCTATAAAATCATTATTATTGTGTGTGTGCGCGTGCATGTGTGTATGCATGGCAGATGTGTAAGTACAGGTGTGTGCGTGCCATGGTATACATGTGGAGGTCAGAGATCAACTGTTGGGAATCTGATTTTCCCTTCCCACAGTGGGAAAAGGAGTTAGAACTCAGGTTGTCAAGCCTCCATAAAAAACACTTTTACCCCCTGGGTTATCTTGATGACCTCTATTTTTTACTTGCCATCAGTAACACAGCACAAGTGTCATCATGATGACAAGTGTACAAGTCATAAATTCTTCCTTTGAGTATCATCTCACATTACTGCAAGGATTATATAAGAAAACTTCAGAGACTGCATTCATATAATTACAGTACACTGTCCTGTTCTATTTTATTATGAGTTGTTGCTTACTAAACATTGTGCTTAATTATAAGTTAAGCTTTTAACACAGATATGTGTAAGAAAATCACTAATGATGTTATATCCTGCAGCAGCAAATATTCAGACAAGATATTCCTTATTTAAAACAAGCACATCATCTTGTTAGTATGCAAATTTGCCTTCATCTTTAATAAATGGTAAAATTATATGTATACCAAAAAGTTGTTTTAAAATCAATTACTTTATGACTTATTACCAGTAAAGGTATGGTTTATATGCTTATTTTATATATCTGTATATCCAGGGCTGTGTAAAAATTTCTCATGGGATAAGGAGTCAAGTCTAGAAGAAGTTTAAGAAGCCTTGCTCACATCAGGCATAGTCTTATACATGGTCCTGTAGTACTTTAGAATGGAATCAGGAGGATCAAGAGTTCAAGGCCAGTCAGGCCTTGGTGGTGCACACCTTTAATCCCAGCACTTGGGAGGCAGAGACAGGTAGATCTCTGTAAGTTTGAGGCCAGCCTGGTCTACAAAGCGAGTTCCAGGACAGCTAGGACTGTTACACAGAGAAACTCTGTCTCGAGGAAAAGGAAAAAAAAAAAAAAAAAGAGTTCAAGGCCAGCCTGAGCTACATGAGACCCTCTCCACCAAAAAAACCCCAAACACCCTGTTCAATGTGTATTGTGCAGTGTATAGGAAGTATCTTCTAGATACAGGTAATAAATAACAAGAGGCAATCAACACTTTATAACAACATAGATGGTTTTTATCCAACTGTGGGCTAGCTAAATACTCTGGGCACACTGGAAGTAGGCAAGATTAGAGGTTATTCATATTAAATGCACTTTTGACTTATGATGTCTCAACCTATGTATTTTGTAGCATGAATCTTAAAGAGTTCTTACTAATAAAATCAAACCTGAGGCCAGTTATTGGGGTCAATGCTGGCAGATCAGAGAGACAGAACAAGTCACAGCTATCTCACCTCACCGGATCCTCAGCTGGTCTTGTCTCCTCAGATTGGAGGCCTCCAAGTCCTCATCCAGAATGGGTCTCAGCTGAATTGCTGCTCAAAAGCCTGAATGCTTAACCAGCCAAATGCTTAACCAGCCAAAATGCTTCTAGTTTCTGGTCCTCACACCTTATATATCTTTCTGCTTTCTACCACCACTCCCTGGGATTAAAGGTGTGAGTCACCATGCTTGGCTGTATCCTTGAACACATGGATTTCTGCCTCTGGAATGCTAGGATTAAAGGTGTGTGCTACCACTGCCTATCCTTTATGTTTAATATTGTGGCTGCTCTGTCTCTGACCCCAGATAAGTTTATTAGCGTGCACAATATTTGGGGGAATACAATACCACAGTATTTATGGGAACAGCCATAAAATTAAAGTCTGTAAAACAGCCATTTTCTAAAACAAACAAGTTAGCTATCATTGTTTTTTTTTTCCCCAAGCAAAAACTGGTGTTAGGAAAAGGCAACCAGTTCAGTTCATGCAATGGTGCAAGGTCTCTGGCCCGAGAAAAGCATCTGCTCAAATGAAAAGCATCACACATGCAGCAGCAATGCTTTGTTCTTCCTACTCTGTCACATGAAAATCAACAAGACATTATTCAAGACAAACTTACTAAAATACATTTTCTAAATTGCTTCACCAAAGATACATACCGCATACACACAGGAGTGAAGCACAGTCCTGATTGGAGGAATCTGATGCCACTGCACCACTGACTGCTTATGACACCAAAAAAACAACTTACCATTGATTTGCAGCACCAGTATGGACAATGACAAATAATGTCTCAGTATTGTGAAAATAGCTTTGACCTCATAAAGGAGCTAAAGAGGATTTCCATGGTTCCCTACAGTACAGAGCACTGCCTTAGATAATAAAGGTCTTTCTTGTTAGTTTAGTTCTTAGATGTTTTTTGTACTCAAAACTAAGACTGAATAGTTAAGAGCTTTCTAAATAGCAGGGTTGGCTGGTACAGACCTGTAATATAAACATCTCCAGTGGCTAAGACAGGAGGATTCCAAGTTCAAGGCCAGCCTGGGACACAGAAGATCTAAGTCAGCTAGGGGAACTTAGGGAGACCCTGCCTCAAAACTAAAAGTGGGGCTAGGGAGATGGCATGGTGGATAAAAGTGCTAGCCATGGAAGCCTGACAATCTGGGTTTGATCCTGGAACCCATATGAAAAGCTGATACAGCAGTGGGTCCCATTTAGAGTCCCAGGACTCCTATGATGAGATGGGAGGTGAAGAGAATATCCAGGAAGCTCTCAGGCCAGCTAAGTGGAGTGTGCAAGAAGATAGAGCTTGCCTCAGTAGTGTGGAAGGTGTAAGATGACTTCCAAATGCTGTCCTTTGACCTGCCCTCCACAAGCACACTGTGTCACTGTATCACATGTATTCACACACACAAATACATGATTTTGAAAATAGTAAAAGGCTGTGGAATTGGCATGTGCAAGGCCCAAGTTCTGATCTCCAGTTCAACCAACAAAACACCAGAACCTTAGAGGTTATAAATACAACTTACAGACTACTCATTTATTTTTAAAGATTTTACTTTTAATTATGTATATATGTGTCTCTGTGTGTGGGCATTTGCACAAAAGTACAGGTGCTCACAGAAGCCAGAAGAGGGAGTCACAGGTAGTTGTGAGCCATCTGATGTGTGTGTCGGGAACCAATCCCTGGTCCTCTGTAAGAGCAGAAAATGCTCTTCATCACTGAACCATCTCTAACCCTGGTCTACTTCTTAAAATGAAGTCATTCATCAATTATCTAACAGCTAAGATCCAAAAACAAATCAAACTATAGAAAATAAAGGCCTCAAACCCCAAGTATTAACAAAGCATATTCATCCTTATAAAAATTTCCTAAAGTACTACTTAGCAAATGTATATACATATATACATCATCTATATCTGCCTATGTCCAGAAGGAAAAGTGGACTGGATCTGGTGGTAGCAGTAGTGTTACAGGAGGAAAGACTGATGATAGAAGATGGAGGAAACAGTGAGGAATGAGAACAGGAGTCAACATGAGAGAAACGAAAAAAATGTAAAAAAAAAAAAAAAAAAAATGAGAAAGAGCAGTGGTATGTGTGACTACTGTATATAGGAATAGTGTAATTTATTTCATCATTTCTCTTAATCAGGATAACAAATTTTAAAAAGTCATGGTATATAATAGGAGCAGATTCAAGAAGAAACTTACTCTGAAAACTCCTTTCCAAAAAAATTTTTTAACATCATCAAGATTATATTCAACTACATGAAATTTTAAAAGATGAACATGTTGATAGACGAGGTAATAATGCACATTTTTTAAAATCTCTCAAAATGGATGAATCCTTTCACAAGTATGTACAAGCACAGCCTGAATAAGGTGAGGGATGGCTATGAATAAGACCAACACAAAACTGTAAACTTACTTTATACGAGATGTTTGGTTTTGTCTCGTTTTTGTAACTCAACTATGCGATTCTTAGGTGTGACCTTCTCTGATGACAATAACATGAACTTTGCATGTCCAAAAGTTGGACACATTAGCTAGAGGATGCACAAGTGGGACTAATGGTCTGCATCAGCAGGAATGCCCGTGGCTGCACTGCTGATAATAGTCAACAGACACATATGGCGACTGAGGACCTGTAATGTGCCTACTGTGAATGAGAACCTCAATTTTTATTTTAATATATATAGTTGAATATGGGTTTTAGAGCTAGCACACTGAACATTTCAGCTAGAGTCCTTCCTTCATAAAATTGTTCTACTGGCAAAAAAACTTAAGCTTTACTTAATTATACAAGTTACATAATATTATGAACTTGAATCTGTTTCAGTTCAAATAACTTCTAGGTTGGAGTGATCTAAAAACAAAAACAAAAAACCCAAAAACCAACAACAACAAAAACCAAAAATACAACCCCCCCGCAAAAGAAACAAAAAACCGTTTAGATTTACTATTTCATGAAATGAAGCATATCTTCAGAAAACCCACATTTGAAAAAAATAAATTGGCTGCTGGACCACTTAATTAAACCATAAATTCAATTACTAGTTAATACTAAACGTAATCATGTCTGTTTAGCCTTAAGAAAACCAAAAACTGGGGATGGAGAGAGGACTCATCAGTTAAGAGCATGAGCTGCTCTTCCAGAGGACTTGGTTCAGTTCCCAGCACCCACACGGTGGCTCACAATCTTCTCTAACTCCAATTCCAAAGAATCCAATGCCCTCTGAGGGCACTACACACACATACATGCAGGCAAAACAGCCAAACAAATAAATTATATATTACAATATAATATATATGGTAAATAACAAATATACATTTATAAATAAATTATAAGGAAAATCACGAGTTGAGTTCTAGCCCTACCTTCATGGATCTTATAATCAGTTCTAAACAGACTGAAATGTGGATAAAGTTAGTTTGGAGGAGGTGCTTAGAAAGGCCTCTCTCAAGAGATGACAAATGACCTCAAGGCTGACAGCGAGGCCCTCAGCAGAAGAGTTTTCCAGGCAGAATCAGGTTCACAGCCCTGGGAAAGGAGAAGGGTGTTGGATTGCTAAGATCAAGCTAATGAATGCCCAGCACAGTAAGAAACAGGAGAAGGGGCAAGATGAACTTGATCTCTTTTTCCTTTATTTAAGCAATCTTGTCAGTTTTAAATGTTTAGCAACCCACTTACCAAAGAAAGGGTCCTGGCCTAACTGCTTTCGGAGGCTTTCAACCACAGGATGACCAAAAGTGATATTGGGAACAAAATGCCTATAAGACAAAAAAATAAATAAAATCTTACTCTAAAAACATTTTCAGTTTCACTTCTGCATTTATCAATATGAATTTTGACAGGGGAACAAGGAAATGTTTGGGATTGCATTTTTTTTTGCCATATAATTCTTAACATTTTTAATATTAGACAAAGTTAAGCAAAAATAATCAGGTAAGATCAGGTGTACAATTAATGTGTGCTGTCACATTCATCTTCATAATGACAACTCTGTAATTCATAACCCATGGTAAGCAAAAATGGAAAGATGACAGAAGACAATTTCTGACTTGCTCAAGCGACACACTAGTTAATAAAGGATTCTAACAAGGTGTCCTGAGTCAGCTAATCCATCCAATCAGAACACTAAATGACAGTTTGTTTAAACCCTATAAACACTAACCATTAAAAACAACAAGAAAAAACCCTTGGTACTATGAATAAAGCTGCTATAAACAAAGCAGCTCAATCATCCCACAAGGTCACTTGCTCAACTATGTTCACAGCAGCTCTATTCATAATAGCCAGAACCTGGAAACAACCTAGACGCCCCTCAACCAATGAATGGATAAAGAAAACGTGGTACATTTACACAATGGATTATTACTCAGTTGTTAAAAACAATGACATCAGGAAATCTGAAGGCAAATGGATGGAACTAGAAAAAAAATCATCCTGAGTGAAGTAGCTAAAACCCAAAAGAACAAACAGGGTATGTACTCACTTATAAGTGGATATTAGCTGTAAAGTAAAGGATAACCATGCTACAATCTACAGACCCAGAGAGACCAGGTAACAAGGAGGGCACAAGGAGGGACGCATGGATCTCCCAGGAAAGGGGAAACAGAAGAGATCTCGTGGGTGGACTAGGGTTGGATGGATATGGGAACATGAAGGATTGGGTTGGGGGAGGTAGAAGGAGGGGGAGAGTACTGAAAGAGATGACTGGAAAGAGGGGGCATTTCAAGGTCAGGTAGAAACCTGATACAAGAGGAACTCCCAGGAATCTACAAGGATGACCCCAGCTAAGACTCCTAGCAATGGTGGATACGTAGCCTGAACTGACCATCTCCTGTGACCGGGTGGGACTTCTGGCAGAGGGATTGGGATGCTGTACCAGCCACACCACCTTTGACCTACAGTCTGTCCTGCCTATAGGGGTGTGTGTGTGTGTGTGTGTGTGTGTGTGTGTGTGTGTGTGTGTGTGTGTGTGTGTGTGTGTGTTGGAGGTGGGGTATAAGGGTAGCATGGAGATTGTGGGAGTGGCCAACCAATGACTGAGTCAGCCTCACACCCATACCATGGGAGAGAACCCACCCCCGATACTGCCTGGAGCGCAAGGACACAGAGGCTGGATGACCCAGAGGCCTAGGATAGAACCAAACACAACTGGAGAATAAAAAATGTTAACACAATGAAGCCTAATGGTATTCTGCTATACTCATAGATTGGTGACTACCCCAACTGTCATCAGAGAGCCTTCATCCAGTACTGACAGAAACAGATGCAGAGACCCACAGCCAAGCACTGGGCTGAGCTCGGGAAGTCATGCTGAAGAGAGGAAGGAAGGAATTGTTTGAGCCGGGGCAGGTCACTGACATCAAAAGGGAACTCACAGAAACCACTAACCGGGCTCACTGGAGCTCACAGAATCTGGACCAACAACCAGGGAGCCTGCATGGAACTGACCTAGGCACTCTACATATGTGTGACAGTTGTGCAGCCTGGTCTACTGGTGGAACTCCTAGCAGTAGGAACAGGGAATGTCCTAACACTTTGGTTGGCTTACAAGAACCTATTCCTCATACTGGGTTGTCTTGCCTAGCCTTAATACAATAGGAGGAGCTTAGTCCTATAGAAACTTTATATGCCATGCCTTGTTGATACCCATGGGAGGTCTGCCCCTTTCTAAACAGAAACAGAGGAGGAGTGGGTTGAGGGGGGTGAAGGGAAGGTGGGAGACGGAAATGGGAGGCGAGGAGGGAGGGGAACTGTGGTCAGGATGTAAAATAAATGAATAAATTCAATTAATAAAAAATTCTTGCAAGAGCAAAGACTGAAAAAAGCAATTTTATAAAGCTGTGCTGAAAAAAAATAACTTGATGCTTATTGGAGACAGTAGTATATTGAGAGCTTAGTTCACAACAGATATTGTATTGTTCTTCATACCTCAGACTAATAAAATAGATACTATTTACATTCTGCTTGAAGAACATAACTAACATCCTTCAATCAGTTAATAATCTGTGGCACAGAATGCAAATCAAGTCAGCCCAATACCAACCCCAAAGCACTTAACCTTTAACCTTCTTAGTTCATCTTCCTTTTGCATCTCCTGCTCATTTAAATATTTAGGAAAACCCCTTCCAACATGTAGGTCATCCTATACTGGGTGCAGCATGTACTATGTTTTATAAAGAAATAGGCAAAGAGTTTACAATCTCAACCAGAATTCATCTCACTAGCAGGAGATGAATGAGAGTGTCAACAACTCCACAGATCCTCAGCTACAGGACAGTTATCAGTAGGAAGCCAACTGAGCACTCCCCAGCTGCCTGTACACCCAAGACAGCCCCTGTGATAATCCTTGTCAATGGTCTGTGAGTTTAAGTGATGCATGTCATCGGAGAGTCTAGAATGTAAAAGCGCAGGCTAAGCAGTCCTAATCTGAAATTCTACAAAATTAGGGACTTTTGGAGCACCAATATGATGCTACAACAGACAAGATGGTTAAACTGGTGTGGTGGTGCACATGGTAATCTCAACACCTGGGAGGTGGAAGATCAGGAGTTCAAGGTCATCCTCAGCTACACAGAGAGTCTACCTCAAAAAAAAAAAAGAAAGAGGGCCAGGTGGCGGTGGCGCACGCCTTTAATACCAGCACTCCTAGGGAGGCAGAGGCAGGCAGATCTCTGTGAGTTCGAGGTCAGTCTGGTCTACAGAACAAGATCCAGGACAGGCACCAAAGCTACACAGAGAAACCCTGTCTTGAAAAAACAAACAAACAAACAAACAAACAAAAAAAAGAACTGTACATAAAGTTTCATGAGACATATATGAATTTCATGAACTTAGACCTGTGTCCCATCCCCAAAGTAACTTATTAGGCACACACAAATATTCTGAAATCCAAATAGAAACCCAAATTTGAGATAATTCTGGTCACAAGCATTTTGGATGAGAGGAACTCAACCTGCACCCGTTTCCTGCTCTCACTCTACCTACTAGCCTAGAAAGCTCTTCACAAGTAGGGCCATGGGATGGAAGGAGGGGAACTCCCAGAACAAGTGCACGGAAGGGCACACATACTCAACAGCTACCTTAGCAAGAAAGAAACTAACAGTGCTATGTTCCTGAAATTTGGGCTTTGAGAAAAGCTAAACAACAATGCCCATAGAAAAGTGAAGAAAGAAAATAGCAAAAGATAAATATAAAAGCAAGTATCCTGTAGCATTCTATATTAGAAGATCACAGGACTTAAAGAATGTTGAGATTTATAGGATCAGAAATGGCTTTAAAGGAAGTGAAAGCAGAACTAAGCAAGTTTAGGTCAAAGGGGGAAAGGCTGTTGATCAAAGCAGGTGTAGGCTCTATCAGATTAAGGGTGTCCAATGCTACACGCAGGTGTTTGGAGTTTATTGCACTGTAAATATCAAGTGGGATAGTAGGGCAAGAAGCAAGTAATAAAACACATACAATAAAAGCATGAAGATGGACCAGGCAATAAGTTGCAAGAAGGAAGAAGGAGGTGTTGTCTTAGTTAGGTATTATTGCTGTGAATAGACACCATGACCATGGCAACCCTTTTTTGTTGTTTTTTTCGAGACAGGGTTTCTCTGTGTTGTTTTGGTGCCTGTCCTGGCTCTCACTGTGTAGACCAGGCTGGCCTCGAACTCACAGAGATCCGCCTGGCTCTGCCTCCTGAGTGCTGGGATTAAAGGTGTGTGCCACCGCCACCCGGCCCCATGGCAACTCTTATAAAGGAAAACACTTAATTGGGCGTGGCTTATGGGTTCAGAGGTTAGCCTATTACTGTCAGGGTGGGAAGCTTGGTGTCTGGCAGGCAGACATGGTGCTGGGGAAGTAGCTGAGAGTTCTACAGCTGAGAAAGTGCCACTGGGCCTGGCTTGACTTTCTGAAACCTCAAACCCTGTGACACACTTCCTCCAAAAAGGCCACACCTCCAAAGATGCCACTCCCTATGAGTTTATGGGGGCCATTTTCAGTCAAATCACCACAGGTGTTAATACTAAGAATTGGCAAAAATGACAAAGACAGGCAAAACTTAGAGTGTCTGTCAACAACCGATTAGATATGTGTGTGTGTGTGTGGGGGGGTGTTAAAAGACAGTAAAGCCATGGTTACAGCTGTAAGTTTGGATAACAGGTAAATGCTCATAAAAAAAGTTAGTCTAGGGATAAGTTCCAAACCCTTTCCAGGCATTCAACTTTCTATCTGGCACCCCTGGGAGACAGGCAGCACCTGTATTTTCCAGGTGAGGGAACGCAGCCCGTGTCACCCAACCACTAAGTGCTGATGGCAGGAGTTGACGCACACTACAAAGTCCAGTCTTCCTGTGTTCACCTGCCGGTACAATGGCAGCTAGAACAACTGTCCTGGGGAGAGGGCAGGAACTCATGCAGGCCACCCCTGAGCAGGACAGAACAAGTGGACCAGTGTGGATAAGTTCTCTAACCACCAGATCCCTGAGGTTCCACTTCTAGTATTTAGAAGATTATTCTACTGCCTGCCTAAGGGCACTCACTATCAAAACTCGATGACACACTGTGACCATTTCTTACACCAGAAATAAGGGATAGGTAAGCAGGCAGCAACCCCAACTGACTAGTCCACAACTTCAGATGAAGTCTCTAACTGCATATACTGTTCTTTCAATTTACTGTGTGGCCTTGAAACTCGGTTTGCTCAAAGTTAGGTCTCATTTGTTACAAAAACAAACAGTGACAAAAGATGAGCTGAGGAGCTGAGACGAGACGGAAACACAAATCTACTTGAGAAACACGAGCATAAAACAGAAAAACTACTGACCTTCCACATATGCTAGTAATTTGTGTTCCTGTTGATGAGTTCAATGAACTGGGTTCATAAGTTTACCGAGAGCACAAAATGCATCAATATTCTCACAAGCCGAAACCAAAAAGGACAAAAACCCAGGCATGAAGTCAGGTGTCTTTGAACTGCCTGACAATACCAACTATCAAGGGATTTTCAGCTTCTTCCTGAGGGCTACTGAGATTCCAAAGACTTAAGAACATGAATTTTTATCAAATGTCTCAAAGATTTCTTACTAGACTGGGAAAATCTAAATTAGTTCATGCTAAAGAAAAGGAATTCACCAGAAAAGTGAGCTTCATCATAATTTCATTTTGACATTTCCCTCCTTGAATGCAGCCCTTTGGAGTAAGGTCTGAAAGAGACTTCAACAAAGGAGTCTGCCTCTCAGAAACCAGGGGCTTGCTGGAGTTCAGCTACAGCTGTTGTGATGCAGGGATGTAAGTTTCCTCTCACCACGTTCCATCACCAGTGCTATCCTTTACTAAGTTATAACTGGAATGCAGTCCACTGCGGACAGATCAACAAACAAAATGGTAAGAGGATTAAGGTCGGTACAAAATGTCTGGAAGCAGAATACAATCTTCCTGTGAATCAGGAATCAAAGAGCCACTGGCCGGTTGCAGTTGGCAAAGTTAAGAAACAAAACTGAGCAGACGAGACGGGATGGAGAGGGTAAGGCGCAGTACACAAATGTGTAACTGGTTAAGGGTGCTTGCCTCACTCCACTCCAGCCTATCACAGCCTTATCAGAAAACAGAACACGAATGCCAAAGCTTTGATATCCCCCACCATGGCCCAGCCCCCAAAGTCAGAAATGCAGTATTCACCTGACATCTCCCTAATTTAAAATCCTGATGACTGACTTAGAAATAGAATGGAAACACATGAACTATGAACCAATAGCTGAGGAGCCCCCAACTGGATCAGGCCCTCTGGATAAGTGAGACAGTTGATTAGCTTGATCTGTTTGGGAGGCATCCAGGCAGTGGGACCGGGTCCTATACTCAGTGCATGAGCTGGCTGTTTGGAACCTGGGGCTTATACAGGGACACTTGGCTCAGCCTGGGAGGAGGGGACTGGCCCTGCCTGGACTGAATGTACCAGGTTGAACTCAATCCCCAGGGGAATCTTTGCCCTGGAGGAGACGGGAATGGGGGGGTGGGCTGGGAGGAGGGGGGGCAGAACAAGGGAATCCGTGGCTGATATGTAAAATTAAATTAAATTATAAAATAAAATAAAAAAAATCCTTTAAAAAAAGAAAAGAAATAGATACTTGCTCTGCTCCCACAGTTGGGATCAAGCCGTTCCAGCCACCATCTTGTCATGATGTGCTTTGTATTTTCCGCAAAATGTTTTTGCAGAAAATAAATCTGCCTTTTATTTTAGATACTGAACCATACTTGTGTCTGGCCACCTTGTGTTTCCCAACCCAGTTTTTTACTTTCTAGATAAATTCAGTTTTAAGCAGGAAAGAAAACTGGGGGATGAAGTGGAGACGGGGGAGTGGGGGGGTATTTTGAGGCTGGCCACCTTTGTAAAGGGATCCCACAGCTCACTTTTGTACCGTTGTCCTGGAAACGGTGCACCACATGGCTAAGGAGGTGACTGACACCATCTCCATCAGGTTTTGTCTGCTCCGGCAGGACGATGGGAAAGAAGCTGTACTTCCCTAATCTGGTTTCCTCTTTTGTAAATGATGAATAGAAACAGCTTTTACTTCATACAAAACAAACAAAAAAAAGTAGGCAAAGATTGAAAGGCGTAAAAATTGTACATGGAGAATTTAGGTTTTCCAAGCCAGTGCTTCTCAGCAAAAGCAGAACCATTTGAAAAAAAATTGCCTTATTTACTAAACTTAAGTCTGCCGTAGGGGCAGGGGACCTGCTGGGAGGGGCAAAGGTAATTCTTAGAGATCCTTCCTAGTATTACTAAGCAATGATAACATGGCTGCACAGAGCTTTACTTCAGATACCAAGGTGAGCAAGACAGACAGACCCTGCTCTCAGTACTTCAGGAGAGAGAGGAAAATAATACAAATATAAATTACTACTTGCTGTTTGAGGACAAAAAATGTCTTAAGAGTTCTGTAGAAGTCCAGGACTCAATGAAAGCATTTTTGAGACATAGTTACACAGCTTCTATCTTGGTTTCACTTTTTTGGTTTTTTTTGCTATGAAACATGGTACTGCACCTTACTCTTCATTGACAAAACATTAACCTCAAAAAGTAGATCAGCCCACAGGTTCTAGCCCTACACAAAGAACTAGATAACTAAGGAATGCTGAGCGCAGGAGACATAGTCTTACCCAATACCAAATGGCCAGCTGTGAAAATATATACACAAGTAACATTAGATAGATTGAGCAGGTCTTGTTTATGTATTTAGGAATATATTTGTGTGCGTGCATGCGTGTGTGTGTGTGTGTGTGTGTGTGTGTGTGTGTGTGTGTGTTAATTTAAAAAGAGGTCATGGATTTGAAAGAGAGAAAGTAGGTAGTAATGGGAGGGTTTAGTGGAAGGAAAGGGAAGGGGGAAACTAATATATTGTAATCTCAAATAATAAAAGGATTTTTAAAATAAGTTAAAAAAAAAAAGCACCAGAACAGAAAGTCAAGTGCTTCTAAGTACGGCTCTCCAATATCCTTATTAGCAAACTGAAAGAAATGTTCTCCATTCGTTCATTCTGAATAAACACACTCACAGTTACACGTGTAGCCTGTTCCATGCTGGGACCCCTAAGTTTTCTCAGGCACCAAAAATATAGCTACCACCTCTATGGTGCACACTTTCTTTCGTCAAGGGCTTTCAATAAGTGTTAAGAGAAACAAGAGATTTAATCGCACAGAGGAAAAGGAGAAAAACTGCTACAGAGTAGCCAGCGACATTAAAAAGAAAAGGGGCTTCTGAGAGTGATGGCATATGCCTGTAATCCCAGCATTTGGGAAGCTGAGGCAAGATTCTGAGCTTGAGGCCGGTTTGATTTACATAGACTTTGTCTCAAAAACAAAATGAACAGCAACCCCCAACAAGAAACAAACTAACCTCTTGGAACTAACACGTTATTTGCCAAGGCGACTGAGGGCAAACACATTTTACTTATTTGAAATAAATTTATTTTTCTATCTCAACCCAAGGCTTTTATAATCCTGTGCGGAACTTCCGGCGGGAAACGGTAGTCCCAGCCAAGGAGACTCAAGTTCCAAGTCTGTCACAATCTTCTGTAATCTTGAGCAAGTCAGTCTTACGGCCTCCTTTGGGTCTAGGTTTATTGACTCACTTTAGAACCAATTGAGGAAACTTGTGCCCTGATTCTGAGCATTATAAGTTATAACTACAGTGCTTAAAAATTACTTACAAAAAACTGACCTCCCTGAAGAGCAGGGTGCCTGAAGAGAAAATAGACAGGAAAATCAGACTTCGAATGGTTATTCGATCCAGCTAACAACTGTAGAGAATCTGTTACATGTCAGGCACTGGACTCGCTCAGTTCATTTTTTCCAAGGACGCGGAAGCGTTCTATTATCAAAAACACTTCCATTTTTCCAAACCCTGAGACCGAACCTCAGCGAGGGGGGCCCAGGCGGCTTTATCTAAAACGAATCCGCAAGTGGTCGAACTTAGGAATCAGAGCCAGGTGTGTCCAGCTCGTAAACCGTGGACCAGCGTGGTCTCCCAGCTCTGGCCACGGACTAGTCAGCTGAGTTTGGACAAGTCGTGCCTGTCCCGCTGGGCCTCAGTTTCCCTACGAGTTCATGAAAGAGACATGTCCTGAAATACTGAAGGTGGCTTCCGGGTCCTCGGACCACAGGTGACTGGGGGCGGGGAAGGACTGGGGGACTGGGGGACTGGTCCCCCCCGCCCCGACCCCCGAAGGCAGCCAGGACCGGCTGGGTGCCCTCAGCAGCGCTGGCGCCTTGGCGGCCAGGCCGCCCGTCGCAAAGGGGCGCCGTGCACCCAACAGGCGCTCGCTGAGGTGCAGCGACGCGACCCGCGCGGCCAGCCCGCCCCGAGCCCCGCGGAGTTACCCGTCCATTACATCCAGGTGCAGGTAGTCGGCCCCCGAGTCCAGCATGCGCAGGCACTCGGCCCCCAGGTTGGCCAGGTCGCTGTTGAGGATGGACGGGCCGATCTTGCAGCCCGACGCCATGGTGCCGGTTCCCTAGAGCGAGTGAGCCCACGAGAGCCCGGGGGCCAGCCAAGACTTCGTCCCGATTGGGCGCGCCGCACTGGCTCCGCCCCCTCCCACCCTGCACTCTCTTCCGGACTCTGCCGGAAGCAGCTGCCCTGCGGCGAGGAAGTCCCGCCTCCTCCTCCCAGGGGGCGGGGCTGTCCGATGGCTGGCTAGGGGGCGGAGCCAGGCGCGGACCTTCTGCCTCCTCCTGTCTTGGGTTTTTTTCTGAGCCCACTGTCTTCTCAGTAGAGTGGCCTCTTTTCCTTTTGTAAGGAAAAATAGTTAATATTGAGTATGATGCAAGAAGGCCACGGGCTGATCAGCTGGACTACTGCCTACAATGCAGGAATTTGTTTTTAAAATGTATTTTTTTTCTATTTCATGCATGTATACTTTATATTATGATCATAGTCCCCGGTACCGGCTCTTACTCCCCTTCAACTCCTGCTGACCCTTTTCCTCTTCCTGATCAATCCCTCTCTTACTTCAATATCTTGCTGTGTCTGTAGGATTTTGTGCAGGTAGCCACGGTTGCTCATAATTGCAACAGCCCTGTCATATCCAGCAGATAGTATTTCATAGCACTTCTCCCCACCTTACATTCTTTTAGTCCTCTCTTCTGCGATGTTCCCTGGTCAAGGTGCTGAGAACAGGTGACTGCTGAGTGACTGCTCAGTGTAGGAGTTTCTTAGGCAGTTGACGGATTTGATACAGTTGCTTATTATTCAGCCATAATTCTTGAAATGGGTAAGTGTCCTAATGCCAAATGTGTCCAGATTCTGGGTCAGGAAGAAATGCAAAGCTATGTGAAGAAAAACATGGATTAAACAAGAGCAATTCCTAAAGAACAAGGATAAGATAGTTCATAATTTTATTCAAAACGTAGCTGGTGGTAATTTAGATGCCGTAGTTTCTATGGCCACAGTCAGAGGACAATCAAGGCAAGTCTTTAATGTTCTGACTTGGACTATCAGCATTCCAGCAGGTGATAATCTGGGCAGTGAAGTCAAATTGGCTACCTGTCTTCCATATCTACATTCTGCTTTATTTTTGAAAGATGGGGAATGGGAAGCACCTGTAGGTGGCTATCAATTGTATGTATAAATGGAGAGACTGAAGGTGTGTATTGAGTGGTGACTTTAGGCCAGGTATAGAGTACAGGTAGGAAGAACAAGAGGTGAATAAAGGAAGGCACACTCCAAGTCTTCAAGAACGAGCTAACCCATTTTCAAAGGAGAGAAATGAAATGGGGGCACATTAAGTAATTTTAGATTTATTTTATTATATGTGCATATTCAAACACAGAAGTCAATAGCTTTCATAAATATCTTTCATAAACATCTCAGTATTTATTCATATGCATTTTTCCATGCTCTTTGGTCATTCAGTATTCATAACAGACTTTATAGTCATCTGAGGGAAGTTGGCTGTGTAGTCAATCCTTTGTTTTTACCTACAAAATGGCTAATAAAGGACTTTAATCCCATGGTCACAGTGACTATTGAAAATATCATGGAGGTACGTAGATTTATGATCCTAAATGATCCTTAAATAATATAAGTAAATTTATCATAAACTTTTCCAAATACATTCTGCCCTCAGCTTGTTTTTATTCTCCTGAGTGTCAAATCAAAGTTTGCTTCTGCAATGCCGCAGTTGAGACCCACGAAAGTAAGTGAGGAAGTGGGACATTTTACTCCCTGCTGAGACACAAGGCCATGGATTGGAAGTGTGAAGTCACAGAGCAACGGTGTGACTCAGTGTGACAGCAGCAAATTCTGGAGAGTTCTCTGGAAAAGTATCCTGTGAAACTCAAGGAAGGTATTTCATTCATGCTTTGAACAATAATTCTATAACCCTTTCATCCCTCTAGATCTCTATCCATACACTATTATTTCCTTGGAAACTCTAGGAGGTGGGCAGCAAAGTAGAGAAAGTTGTTCACTGACTAAAAGAGCAGATGCTAAATGAGAGATGCCATCTTGTCTTAAGTTACTCTTGGAGGCTTGATGCAGCAAACCAATGGTTGTCTCCAGCACTGCCATGTGCCCAGTTGTGCCCTTTGACACTGTAGCTCTTAGTGGCTTTTTCCAAGGCACTCAGTAACTCACTTTCCTTGTCAGAAGAATCAAGTAGTTTAATAGAATTATAGAAAGCAGTGAATGCTGAAAATGAAAGTAAAATGTTTGTTCTAGAAAATTCTGCACCCAGGATTTAAACTGCTTTAATCTGAATATTATAAATCTGTACCCATTATCATGGATGATTTTTTTTTTTATTCCATGGTCTCTCTATAAATTTACTTTCCAAAGGACCAATCTTAATTGAATGTAATTGTTTTAATACCTGGTGAAATTGGGTGCCTGTTTTATCCTTCCTCTGAATGAGATAAATATGATTAAGCCTCACAGATTAAGAAATAAATCTATTTTTACTAATATTCTATTGATCACCGGTGATAATAAGTTCTTAGTCACATTTTGAACGTTACAAAAGATTGTCAATTAACTGGAACTTTTTTCCTTCCTTCCCTAACTGTTTTTCTTTAAGTTATTCCTTCAAACTCCAGGTGACAGTATTCCTGAGAATACATCTTGTGACAGTCCTATGCACATACATATAAATACTTTAGTCACCACACATAAACATTCAACACATTACATTCAACACGTTTAAGGACACCTTAAATGGAACAGATGCACAAATCTGTAAAATCTCAGAAGTCCAACACACGAGAGAGAGTATTTCCACTCTGTAAGATCCTGTTTCTCAGAGTGGACAAGTCTTTTTTTTTTTTTCTTTCAAGGTAAAACATTACTTAGCTTATTGAAAAAATTTCTAACAGATTTCTATACATGACACTGCAGGAGTCAGGCTAAAAGGTAGACAGACCAGTAAAATCTCTCAAACAGTAAAATCTCTCAAACAGCCCAACACATCTAAAATATATAAAGGTATTTACGGTTATTGTTGAGTATTTAACAATTCATCGACCTCTATACTTCTTAAATATCTGACACAATTATAAAGATTTTGAATCAAGAATCCCAAAACTGGAACAAAGCACATAGACGCACATAACTCAGACACTTGTAATTACCAGACATAAGGCCTCTAATGCTAATTGAGCAGCATAGTTTTTAACAGGCAAAATACATCAGCTTAGAACCAGAAAACCACTTGCATGTCGACTTCTGCACTTAGGGATGAACTCAGCATTAAGTATAAATGATATGAAGATGCTATAGTACATAAAACAGATCCCTTTATCTCCTTGATTTCCCATACTTGTTCTTAGTCAAAGGCCCGGAGGTGATACCATCTTGATTTTCTCAACTTGGGGATTTTAAATCTTATTCTAATTAATTTATAGATACTTTCATTTTCTTGGTGAATGGGCCATAGCCCCAAAATATATTTGATTTTATAAGTCACAATATAAACTGTGCTTATTTAATAAACAATTCTAACATAAAATTACTTTCCTTTATGATTTGTTTGGGTTTATAGATCTCCTCTTTATATACACGTACAGTTCATAGCCAACATAGTCAACACTGAGCTTATAGAATATATTTTAAACTCATTTCAACATAATCAAACTCTATTAACTTCTACTTGAAGACCAACACACACACACACACACACACACACACACACACACACACACACACACACACACACTCCCATACCAATGTAGGTATGTATATATTTCTTTCAATGCTTAGTAGTTATGCAACATTTCTCTAATGTAAACTGCTAAACGTTTGAAAACCATTTATGAACTGCATGGTGCCCAGCCCTTTAATAATCCACTAAGTACTGGCCTCACAAGCCTTCCAAATTTTATTTTATTTATTGAAGTAACTGCACTTCGAGTTAAAGCCCTATTAGTGATATATACAAGCTGTCTGAGGCAATGAAGAAATTGATTACCTCTGTATTCTTCCTCATTAGCTGAGATCTCCTAAGGATCATAGACTATTTGACTACTGAGAAAAAGTCATTTTCCGATCTAGTTCTAACAACTTAACTTTAATGTATGAAAATATGCCCTCAGGGGCAGGCACAAGGACTATAAGGGAAAAACAATCCCCTTTCCCAATAGATCCAATCTAGACATTGATGTAGTCAGGACTAGAAGTAGGAATGCCAGCTCTTTCAAGCAATGCTATTTACATTTAGCTTTTTATAATTACATAACTGTCTATGTTATTCATTCAGAATCATATCTGAGAATTTCTAGAATATTATGTCTAATGTGATTGATATGAAATGATCTGTGGTGTTAGAATTTTGATTTGTAGCATGGAATGAAAATGACAGTTAAAAAATAAATTTTGAAAAGTCCACAGCTCTAAAAAATAGTGTTTTGTTCCTTTAATTACTGGGTATATTGTTGACCAAAACAAAATTTGTAATTTAGTTTCTCCAATCTAATTATTTTTCTTATTGGTTGTTTTTATGTGAATTGCTATGCCACGTAACGTACAATTTTTGAGACTACAAAAATAAACATTTTCAGGTGATGTATAATGTGAGTATCTTAAAAGACTGCATTCCTCTTTAGAACATATCGTTAGTATTCTTATGAGGGAAGCAATAGTGTATATTCTTAGCTGTCTGTAATAGTATATATATTAGCTGCTCAAAGGGAGCTATACACACTGTGCAGTGAAATGGCTCTTTCCCCCTATTCCTCCCTGTTTTTATGGTCTTCACGTGACTAAAGACTTTTAGCTATTGATTTTTAAGATAAGGTTATGACACCTTAGGAGTTTTGGCAGCAAAATTCACTCAGACTTAACGCCACCCACTGGCTATAAAGTGCTGTTTTGGAATCAACTCTTTTCATCAAAAGCATTCTGTTGTCAGCTGTCTTCAGTCGACTTCATGGCTCCTGTGACACAGAGCTAAACATGGGACTCATCTAGTGCTGCATCTTTCTCCCCCAGCTCAGGAGGAGTGAAAGTGAATTGGCTGGACAGCAGGGGGTTCTCCATGCCATTTTCCTCACTGATATGAAGAACAGTATCTCCATGCTGTAGGAGGCTGGATGTCTCAAGGCCAGTGAAGTCATCAGGGTCTGAGAGTTGAGTAGAGAGGGGGCTGTGTGCTGCAGCACCTTGTACTTCTGTCTCCTCCTTTTGTTCTCCTTCTTCAGCAAGGAGGGGCTCACTCTGTGATCAAAAGGACCATAGCATCATGGGCAAGTAGGATGGGTACCAGAGAAGAACATAAAAACTGCCGTGTAGCTCCAACTGGACAAGAACTCAGAGAAGCCGAAGTCCGGCCCCTGTCACAGGAGGATCCATAAGGACCCTTCCAGCTTTCAAAGCATTGCTTTTCTATCCTTTGACATAGGATTTGTTTTTGTTTGTTTGTTTGTTTGTTTTGGTGGGGAGGGGCCATGCTTAACTTATAGACTGTAAAAATGAACTGACATAAATGATGTGCTACAGCTCCTTTTAACTATTAAAGGCCATGCAAATGTGTATGCTAATATTACCCTTTAGTTTTCTTTAACTATCACATCAGAATTTGGCACCTATAGAAATTTATTTATAAAAGCAAAATTAAATAATAGTAAAACAATGAGGGAAAATTTTTAAGTTCATTTGATCTTCTAGGACACAGAAAACTATGGGAAGACTTCATCTAAGCTAGTGACTTCATATGCTCTAGCTGAAAAATATTCTGTGTATCAAATTTCTGTTGTCAGTGATTATTCCAGCTGAAAAATAATTCCTTTTGTGTTTTCCACTAAGCCATCTCTTGGTCCTTCTTATTTATAGATGCATTATTGAGCAAACTCTTTATATAGATTTTCTTTTTCACAATGGCAAAAATATTATGTTTGGTCAATAGCATGTTATGGATCCGGACTTAATTATTTGGAAGGAATGTGCATCTCTAAGACACTCCTGCAAATAAGAATGCAGGGAGCAGGCCTTGCCTGTGTCTGTCTTGCCCTCACCTGCTTGGGAGACAGGCTATGAAGATCGGCGACCACAATGGCAGGAGAGGATGTCAGCACTGGCTTGTCCGTTCCTTCCGGTTTCTTAGACAGGCCTGGGCTGCAGCCCTGTGGTTGGCCTGTGGCAGGAAGTATGTCTGTTGGGGCGGCTGTTGGCTCTGGCTGAGCCTCAATGAAGGTCACAGATCGCTTCTGATCAGCTGTAAGTTAGAGGTGAGCCAATCAGTAGGAGAGAAATTGACGGCTGATGCTTAATAATTGGCATTAACCAGTGATTCATCGTAAAGACATTGCTGGGTTGTAATAAATGAGATCCAATATGGCCATTTTATGTGTTTTGATTTCTCTTGCTTATATAGGATAGAATTGAAGGGAGAAAACAGTTTCTACATAAATAGCCTAGAACGAGATTTGCAAAGGTTAACTTCTCACAATGACCTCCCTAGTGATGAGTTCTAGAATCAAAAAGCCCAAAGAGTTTTCTTTTTGAAGAGTTCTCTTCAAGAAGTCCAAGTTTGCTGCACCCTTCTTGCCTTTAGTAAGAAGCAGAATGGTCTAGTTTCTGGATTTCGTAAAGAAAATACAACCTTTTACATTCAAGTTTCAGAATATTGACAGTTTACCTTGGGTTGTTCCATTTATCTAGGTTCACTGGGAGTGGGGAAGGTTTGGGGAGGATGAGAAGAGAAAAAAAAAAGTAGTAAAGTTCTCTGGGAAACTTATCCTAAGACCTCCCGCAAAGTGAGGTTAGTCACAGCATGTCTGCAGGCCTTCTCGGCCAAGCTGTCTGCCACACAACAGCGGTGCAATCACAAGGGACACATGAGGCCTCCTCCCTCACCAGATGGCTTCGTTTTAGGTTGAATGCTCCTGCGTGTAGTGGACAGTCGAGCCCCGTGGCGGTTTCTGGGTTCAGTCTGAGTCTTCTGCCTTGACAGGAGAGGGCGTCTTAGCTGAAGGAAATAGAGAAAAATAAAACTGGCAAGAAAGGCCAACTGTTTGGGAACAGATACCGTTGTTCAGGTGACCCTGGCTCGACTGTCTTACTTGTTCCTTCCTGTAGCCTTGGAATGTTAATGAACTTCAAATGCCAAATTTGAGAAGTTCAGTGGGTAAAAACCCCAAAAATAATGCTTAATACCTGACTTTTGCTTATCTAAACTATAGTCGAACATCTCTCAACTCTCAGATTTACTAAGAAACCCAAACCATAGCAAAACATCAGAGCTTCTCTCAGACTTTTATTTATCAAACAATGTATGAGCCAGGAGTGGGGGTTCATACCTGGAATCCTAATACTCAGGAGGCTGAGGCAGGAGGATTGCGTGTGACACCAGCTTGGACCAGATAGTGAAACTATGTCTGGGAATTGAGAAATGAGAGGAGACAGGAGTGAGGGAGAGATGAGAGAAGGGAGCAGAGGGGGAAAAGAAGGGGTTAATGAAGGGAGGAATCTCCCCTAAGGAAATTTGTACTTTACTACTACTCCCAGGCTGGCTTCCAACTCTATGTAACCCAGGCTGGCATTAAACTCATAAACCTCCTCCCTCAGCCTCCTATGTTCTGGAAACACAGGTATGCACCACAACACCCAGCTGAAAATAGGGTCTTCTGTTTCAATATTAAATCAAATCTCTAACCTCAGAGTGAGAAAGGACCTTTCTCTGACTCTATAAAAGCAGGTATTTGGTTAACTGTGTAACAGCCAATGCAAGCACTGCCCCGTGAGTTTGGCTGGGAAAGACACTTGCCAATTAGAGAAAAAGAAGGTCTATAGGCCAACCTTCCTTATCAAATAACCAGCTTTGCACAATGAAAGATTCCTATTTGAAAGAGAAGCCTCATGTGCTCAGCTTGCCCAAGAGTTTACCATAGGCTGAGGTTGCTGTGCGTTGCTTATTTCAGACAAGAAGGCCGAGTGTAATCTTAATAAACACAGGCAGGCATTAGCAAGCAAGCGGATCTTCCATTGTACAGGCTGATGCCCTTAGCATCTCAGGGTCCACTTACCTGCCTCAGGCCCCTTTTCCTCCCCAGTGGCTGCTGCAGGAGGAGGTTCTGCTGGCCAGGTTCACTCTGTACACTCGCCACCCTGCCAAGCATCAACAGCATTAGTCTACCCTGGAGACGGCACGGAAGACTGTTCTCTGGTGGGTGTTAGCCAAAACCACTTATATGGAACAGTCACTTCAAAGATACCATTATCTTTGAAGGATGGTTGGGGAAGAGTCCCTGGGGTAGGGGTTTTCAAAGGCTTGGAAAGGAGGACAAGGCCTTGTAGCCCCAAGCTGTCAAAATTGAGATTCTGTTTTCAATCACTGATGCATAGCTATCGTTCAGCAGGACGTTCGTTCGATCACACCCCTGGTTTGGAAGCCATCAAAAGGCTTGATATGTCATATTCTAATCTCAATTTTTTTTCCAAGGGGAATGGAAACGCTGGAGACAAATACACACAAACAACTCTGTCACATGGATGGGAACACCTGTTTTAAAACTTCCAATTTAAACGAAAATAAGATGGACAAATATTGAACACATCAGACACAGAATCCATTTGGGTGAAGGGACACAGTCGACACATGTTTGCAGCCTGAAGTCTCTGTGACAGCTAAGCAAATAGTCACATGGGTAGAAAATTTAAAGATATTTGAAAACTGTTTGAGATGTAAAAGGCTGGCAAAGGAAACTGGCAGTAAACTCAATTAGCTGCACTCAAGCGAGCTGTGCAGTTGATAAAAGAACAGTCTGCTCCTCCCAAATTACTGTGTATGTGTGTCTCATAAGCAAAAATGACTACTGACAGGGTCTGCTACTTTGGTGTTGGTGAAGCTGAACACACTGAAATGGGCCATGTTTCTTTTTCATTCTCCATGCATGTATCATAGGAATCTACAACGGAAGAGAGAATGAAAAAAGAAATACACCGTGCCCCATATGATATTTTAATTCTGTGGTTGATGTCAATGCGATTAATTGATTTATGGTTCAATGATGTCTTTGCCTTTCCAAAAGGAGAGTCATCTACAGATATTGTTAGGGTAAACCATCCCACAGAGGAACCCAGTCAGCAACTGTCCAAGAAAAAAATAGAGAATGATTTTATCTACACAATCCTGTTTTGTTTTGTTTTTTAATGTGCTACATAAACACCTCGCTGCACTTTTAGTAAAAGAAATTAGTGGCAAGATGGGCATTCAGATGCTTCTCATGTCCTAACAACAGGCTAATAATCGCATTTGATACAGTCAAAGCTATCATTTATTTAAAGTCCAACTCATATTTTTACTAGAAGAAAAAGCAATGACTCTGTAAGATCTGTCCAATTTTCTATGAAATAGGGCTATGATTACACCATCTGATGTATGCAACACAAAATTCTACAAAGACTACCAAAAAAGAGGTGTTTAAAACTGCTTTTCTTCTTCCAAAATCAAGTTCAACAGATTGATGTGTATTATCTTTATACTATTTTGTATAGTGTATTGAGGAACTCTATGCTAACGAAACAGTGTAGCACATTTTGATAATCAGTCCAGACTATGTTGCTGGCATGTCTGAAATGACATCTCCTTATTATCGATTTTAACATGTGTCTGTTAAGTTGGAAAACATATATATGCACACAAGTAGGAACACGTTTCTCCCAATACCAAGCAAAGCTACCATTGGAATGGATTCTTCATTGACATCTAGATGTTACCTCAGTTCCCTTGGCCATAAAGGGAGGTTGATACTTACCAACTACCTCCCATTAAGGTGGAGAAAAGAAGTTAGTTGATGTAAAATGGTTTGTATATGAAAAGTGACATGTATAGATAGCATGCTTTCTTGTTTTACATTTGTTGTTTGTAATGAGTTTATTGCTTCTAGGATACTAAAAGGAAGTAGGTAATACATTTTGAAAACAACGGGACAGAGAAAATGAATACGAGGCAGTCCTCTTGTCTCATTTTTATTTAGTAATCTGAGATTGTGAGAAAAAAATGGTGCAAGAAAAGAAAAATATACATTACTTGGAGAGTTAAATGTCACAACATAACAGTAATTTAATGATGGTTACTCCAAGGGAAGATCATGAGCATCAACATTTCTCTATGGACAGAGAGGCTTACAGCTGAGAAATCTATCAGGTTTCTTTAGTAATTGGCTGTTCTATGTGAATAATATAGGAATGTACACATCAAAAATGAAATTATAGAACATGTTCCTGGAACACATCCCAGGCAATAAATTATACTTGCCCCAGAAATATGATATTGCAATTTCTATTTGCTGCATCAATGAATTGTCATGTGAAACAGCAAAAAAAGCTAACAATGAATGCAATGTAGGCAAAATTTTCCGTATCTTGGAGTTTATTTCAAACTGGAACTAAATATAAAAATTAGCTTCTGTTGTGTGATATTTTGTTTGTGTTCTGACAAATAAAGCTTGCTTGGAGATCAGAGGGTAGAGCTAGCTACTGGTTAACCATAGAAGCTGGGCAGTGGTGGCTCACACCTTTAATTCCAGCACTTGGGAGGTAGAAACAGGAAATGAAAAGGCGAGACAGGATCTCAGCTTTTTTGGTTGGAGGATCCGGAGAGGTAAGAAGTCACTGGTGGCTGTTCTTCTGCTTCACTGATCTTTCAGGTTATTACCCCAATATCTGACTCCTGGTTTTTATTGATACAATTAAATAGATTTATACTTCAAGCTTCAATGTAGCTTCTGTTCCTTCATATAATGTAATATTTCAGTTATTTGTAGGAACTGGGAGGAAGCCAAGCTTTTTGTATTAAGAATCTATCTGTATTATGTTCTGCCTTCTATTTTAAAATTCTGAAGCAGTCTTATCCAGAGTCTTCATCTACCTACCACAAATGTAATAATCAAAATTATTTTCCTCATCAAGGAGCTACTACATTTTACTGGGGAGTCTCAAATCTTAAAAGTGTACTTCAGTAGGCAACTAAAGCCTTTTGAATAACTGAAATATCTATTCATGTACAACAGTTATGAAAAACAACTGAAAAGTTGAAATGGTGTCAAAGTTTGTCAAACTAGTTGATCAAATACTAAAAACTTGATCTTATATAAAATACTTGTTTCTTGGAAGTGTTAAATTTAAGAATGACAGCTGATTTTTATTGTCTTAAATAAATAGGGTGAAACAATAAGTACAAAAGCTAATAAAACTTTCCAAATTTAAACTAACATCTTGCAACACATTTATAAGTAAATAACCTTTTGTTGTAGAGGGCCATGGTCCCAGTATGCTACCCTTGCTGGCCTAGAATGTGTCAAGCACCAGCTGAAGCCTCCCCGTGCCCCCACCCACCAAGTGCTAGGACTACATGATAGGTCTGCGTTGGCATGCCTTTCCTTCTCTTGTGTTTCTGAGTTCCTGAAAAATATCACTTTGGCAAATAACAGTAAAATCAAGATTTTAGAGAAGAAAATCCAGCCAGGGCACAGCAGAGTTGGTGTGATTCAAACTGTCTTCAAAAACCAGTTCCTGTTTATAATGCAAGGAAGCAATTCATAAGCTAGGGGAATTTGGGCAATGCTAGGAAAATGATTCTGTTAAGATTACCTCCTTTTCATTGTTACAGAATAATGGCCTGGACCAAAGTATATACATGTGTATATTTCCTAAGTATATGCCTGATAATATTTTCTTAAATGAGGGCTATGTAAACAAGGAGCCATTCAGTAATGCAAGGATAATGTGTGTCACTTAAATTATAAAAAATAAACTATATTATTACAATATATCATATATAACATAAATAAAAAGTTAAGCAGACATTCTGGATGACAACATTACCTGGCTAGTAAATTGGTGTATTAATTGCTTCTTTCTATACTTTTGGCTTCCGCTTTAATTTGGTTATAGAACTCTAGAAGCGGGACATAATGCATATGGCACAGTCATTTATCCTGAGTGATTGCCTTATGGTGGGAACTCATGAAGTCAACACTAAAGAAGTAACAGGCACACAGCAGGAAAGTGAACAGAAGATCAAAGCTTACTCCTCCCTTTCACAAAACAATTGTTATTTAAATGTACTCCTCTTTCCTAGCACCCAAGAAAATGTATTTTAAGTGCTACTGAATTTACAGACTAGATCTGACTAGATCAGATCGTAAGGAGTAACTGGATATTAGACAACGTGTGAGAACCAGCGTAGCAATGGCAAAGAGCACATTGTGTGTCTCAGTGTACATCATCTTGGCCCTACCTTTTCAGCTGTGTTAAAGACTGGTGGGATCTTTCTTGTATTTTCAGAGTACCTGGCAAGTTTTCACGCTTAGAGGCTACATATCAGCATAAGATGGGCATAGGTTATTGTTATCTACATAGGTTATTGTTATCTCTTCTAGAATACAGTTTTGTTCAAACTTGGACTGTATTCTTAATTTTCACTGTGATTAAACTTTTCCACGAAGAAAATACCATGATAATTTCTTTTTAAATTAAGAATTCACTGTTGACTCCTGCTTTTTAAAATATCTTAACGTGTCTAAATAAAAATCTGGTTCTGAACTATAAACATCCAGCCTTAAGGACTTAAATAGCTTCTTTAGATCTCTATTATTCCAGAGGGAAAATATGCCCATGCTATGTATATACGTGTGTTTAAGGAACCTCTACAATGAGGTTTTATGCCTTTCAGAGCAGTGCTCTCCAGAAAAGAAAAATCTTCCATGGAGTTTTGATTTAGCTTATTAATTTCCAATGGAAGTTTTAAGAAATGGAACCAGACAGGAAACAATGTTTCTGACAGGAATTTGGGGGCTGAGTCATTAAAAGAAATGTATTAGTGCAATTTAGTAAAAATCTTAGAAGTTTCCAATTGGTGTATAATTTTTTTTCAGTTCCCACCAACCTTATTTTGTTATCTTCCTCACTCAGCCCACTCATTTCAACTTGCCTCTTTTGTCTAAAACAAGTGGCCTGTCAGAAGCAAAGCTCTGTAAAAGTTAAGCAAAGGGGTGTGTGTGTGTGTGTGTGTGTGTGTGTGTGTGTGTGTGTGTGTGTGTGTGTTTATTGGTCTCCTTCCAGTATGCTTCATGGTAAGTTTGGGTCAGATTTTCTTCAGGATAACTTTGAGTGTACTTCAGACCTGAAGTACAAAAGTGTCTATATTAAATGTAATTCACACGGTTATTGCCTTTCTATTTTTGGATTTTTCTGAATGTGCATAAAGAATTCTTGTGCCAAAAATAAGAAAGCCTGCAAACAAAATTTATAAAAACGTGGCATTTCATAAACCCCCTTTTTAGTAAATGCTCAAACTTCCTCTCCTCCAAAGAGAACTTGCTGACCAATGGCATTCAAGAGATACAGCTTGCAGCATACGGCAAAGGTGGATGTGCTAGTGATAGGTGGGAAGCCTCCACATTAATAGAATTATTTCAGAATCCAAAGCAAATTGTTCATCTTTCCATTTCTTAATGACCACAGCTGGGCCTGCTGACTAACACCAAGGTTCAAAGGAAAACAGCGCCAGCAGCAACAGATCAACAACAGCCGATTGAAGATGGTCATCGAAATGCTAACACAATGAATTCACCTGGACATGAGGTCTCTAACTCTGGCTCTCAACTCGTTTTAATACCTAGCACAAACCTTGAGTCTCCTCCCTTTCCACCAGACCCGGCACAGAAGGAATTAGTTCAGATGACTCCAGTCGTTTGAACCCTGGGCTCGCCAAGTCCTTCAGAAAATTAATAAAAATAAACTCTACCCATGTATCCGCATACATTGCTCGGTGAATTCGGTTAACAGAATCTGGACTTAACCCTCAGCGCAAACTCATCTACACTCAAGCCTGACTGTTCTTAATCAGCCATTGATCCTACCTTCTGAAATAAAGGCTTTCCTACTCCATATGCATTTTAAGCATTCAACAATTACATCTTTGAAAGCATTGATGCCCCGGGTGCTAGACTTTGTTGAAAGTTCTTCAGACACTATGAACAGCTAAGGAAACCAGGACGGTGTTTCTCAACCTGCCTCGCCCTACAGCTCCTGCTAATTAAGGTTGCTCTCTGTAGCACTTCCACATTTCCCAATATGAGACTAATCTGTCCAAGTGAGGGCTCGCAAACAAATGAATGTCATGAGTTATGTTATGGATCCAGTAAAATAATTAAAAAAAAATAGACCTGATGATGGACTAAATTTCCCATTTTCAGTTGAAGAAGAAAATGTGAAATCCAAACAAGATGCAAAGAAAACAAAAGACAACCTTTCACAGGAACGGCCTCTCAACATTTCCTCATCTTTGTGATAAAGCAATAAACACGGTGGGTATCGTACTCACTATAGAGTTCAGCCCTGGGAGGGTTTTCTCTTGAGATGGCACAAAGACACTCTAAAGATGAACAAGAAGCATTGCCCCTAATGAGGATTAGTTGAGAGGTGTAAATCGACAGCACAAGATTAGGAATGTTTGACGTGGTTTATCTGAGTGTTAAAGGTGCAGTACCCATTTCTGAAGGCTTACGCAAATAAACAGTCTAGGTATTCTATTGTTTCTGTTCTATGGCTTCTCTTATTGCTCACCAAGAAAAAGTTTGCATTGGATTTTTCCGTGGCAAGTTTTTGAGTCATCTTTGTGCTAGAACCAATATTCTCGATAATGTGTTTGAGCAAGCTACAATAATGGCATGCCACACAGCATGCATCCAAGAGTAGCAATCGCACAAGTGGCAGTGACATTGCTCTTCTCTCAGCATCATTGGTTTCTTACCTTCTATGGTATTAGCTAAAAAGATACGACTCGACTGAGTACAGGGGCTCCCTGAAAGGGAGCTGTACTAAAAAGATCCCCCCCTCCTCCGCTCCAAAAAAAAAAAAAAAAAAAAAAGCAATTCTCAGTAAATATTAGTGTGGAAATGAATGTTTAGATGGGACAAATTTAACATTTTGTATAACAAACTTTGGGGGAGGTACTGGGTATTGGACCCAGGGTCTAGCACATGTTAAGCACATATCACTACCACTGAACTACAGCTCTAGCCCTTGGTATATCAAACATTTTAGAGATTCATTAGACATGCCCCATAGAGAATTCTGTAGCTTTTTTTTTTTAAATTGTGGGGGTTTTTTTAGACTATTTGTGATTGATCTCTGAAGCTGTCTGTAAAGAAGGAGGGTCTGCTACACCTTTGACTCCAGGCTCGTGTGTTCATGAACAACAAAGGGCGAGGGATGGAAATAGGTACCAAGACGGGCAAGAGAAGACGGAGGAGACAAGAGTGACGGAGGTGACAGGGAACAGCTAGTTTCCCAGCACAGACACCAATAGACAGGTAGCTTTGACACTGTACCTAGAGAGGCTGCCCTCGGCGGCCAGGCCCTGGGAGTCATCGAGGACATTAGGTTCACTGCAGGAGGGGTAGGGAGATGAAGCATTTAGGGAAAGAAAATGCAGAAAGAAAAAATAAAAAGAGGAAAAAAAAAGAAAAGGGAAAGGGAGAAAAAAAAGCATGCAATTTTCTGTTTCCAAGAACTGAAAATAAATTTAACAGAACGAGGAAGGAAAAGGAGACAGTCAACCATTTCACCTTGTGCTGGGTTTGTCAAGACATAGGACTCAAGGCAATGGGGGAAGGAAAGACCGGATGGGTACGGCTCTCAGAGGAGTGGTCTGTTTATTGGTCAAGAGTTAAAATGAGCTCTAAATGGACACATGAGCTCTGAAATGCATTGCAGAGTAGATCTGTAGAAGATGAATCTATGATTTCTTTGGTAGCCATTTGGCTAGGTGGTTATTATTTTTAACATACCGTATGGACACAGTATTTCAATGACCAGACCCCCACATTTTCTTGTACATCCTAACATTACCACACAGAAACCACTTACCATAAATGGCCACAACCAAAGTCTGGAAGCTGATGCCATTAAGAAAAGCAAAGAAAGAGCCCAACTTCCCCTGCTAATTTTGCAATGAAAATATCAGTAAGCAAATGGAAGCTGTCTTCAAAACATTACAAAGAACTCACATTTACCTCCCTGTTCTATACTCTCTACTGACTGAATTGTAAATGCAACGGAAGCCTGTCGGTTGGTGAGTGAATCACAGTTTATCCACTTACTGGAATATAGTTGAGCTGATATTTGTGAGCATAAGCTGTGCTATATTTTATTGACTTTCCCCTCAGGTCTAGCACTGAGCCAGGCAACCATAAGGCATTCAATATTTACATATTAAATTATGTATAGTTAAGCATCAAAAAACTTAAGGGACTATTACAAAAGATCTGAGTGTAAAACTAGTCTCCGTCCCCAGGAGGGGGATCATTTTTTGGTAATGGACAAAGAGAGTTAAAATGAGCTACAAATGGACACATGAGCTCTGAAATGCATTGCAGAGTAGTTTTCAATTTTCCAATTTTCCAAAATATAATCCAAGAACAAAGTGATGCCTTATAATATCTTCTTTTTAACTTCTGGGATATGTTTATATTAGATAAAATTTCTCCTTGCAAAAAAAGTGATCTATTATTTATACATATGGAAAAAGAATTAGTAGTTTGACTTATTTTGAATAGATCAAAACCTCTCTAATTAAAATTTATATTATTCTATATACAGACATGTGGACAACTAACAATTAAGAATAAATTAATAGTTATCAACATTAATTGCTTATGTACTTTTTTGGAACACGTTTGGCTCTTTGGTTACATATTTTATTCATACATTTTTTGTGCAAAGGGAAATTATCAAATGTTGGTTTACATGAACTATTTATTGAGTGGTTTGGGTATAGTATAATCCTGTATATAAACCAGTTTAATTTGAACACAGTCATATATCTCTATTGATATTATGTTCTATGTGTGAATTGTACTAGAGTGAGTCTAAGAGTATTAAAAATAACAGCAGCTAGGGATATAGCTCAGTGACATAGCATACATAAGGCTGTATTGCAAAAATATAAAATAACACACTAAAAATCAGGCAATACCAATTCTTTGAAAGAATACAATTCTTGAAATGAAAATAGTAGTTGTTCAAAAACTAGATTAACTCTATGTCAGATTCTTTTTGTATTATAATTTTATTTAAAAAATGTAGAATTCAAATATGAGTGTTTATTTAAATATAAATTTAAGTTTTAATTATGTAAATGATGTATTCTCATTTCCCCAAGTATAAAACGTTTAAAAACTAAGAGCCCCCAAATGTATTTTTTAAATTACATTCTTATATGGCAGAGAACACCAAAGGAAACACTTTAAATGGTTTAGTCATTGAATCCTATAGCTTTTGATATAGAAGTTACCCTTCAGATCATTTTACCTTACTTCAGCACATAGCTGGAGAAACTGTGGACTGTATTTAAGTGTCCCGCTCATGGTCCACACAGTGTCAGAGGTACATTTTTCCCTTAGTGAAGCATTCCTACATGCAGAACATCAGCTGCAGAAGGGCTAAACTTCCAGAGAATCAAGGAAACTGGTCCACTCTTACCAAATACTCATTATCTTGCCTGATGATAAATCTGACATATAAGGATGGCTTTGACCAGACGCAAAGGATTATATTTCTATTTATGGAAGCCTCAATATAAAAATAATACTTGGACCTGCAGGTGTGATCTCATTTCAAAGCGTGGCTTGGAAATCTACAACAATTACCCACAGGAACCTACTTGGAAGTGCTTTCTTGAACAATTTCTCTAGAAACATGACCCATGCTTGCTTCTCCTTCCGTTTTTATAGGATAACATTAATGTATTTTCAGAATTTCTTTTGCCCACCCCAACCCCCCCCAGTGCAAAGTATAAGACAGTCATAGCCCTTTACCTTTGGCTGGGTAACATGCCCACCTCAGCCTGAGGTGCAGACATGCTGGAGACGTGGCTGGAGAATCTCCTCCTTCCGAGGTTACCCAGGAGACAAGCTTCCTGTTCACTTACCACACTGGGCATGCTTACAGAGTCATCTAAAAGTGCAAAGGAACCATTGTTACAAAACCATGATGCCTATGAGAAAACTGCAGCCAAAGCTGTACTTGAGTTCCATGCCTGACACAGGTACAACCTCAGAGCTGTCTCTAAAGCGATCTTTGTATATACAATAAACTAACACCACAAGTGAACCAATGATAATTCTTCATGTCTACACATTTCCTATCTGTCCCCCACACTACAGCAGCCTTCACAAAACACATGCAAATTTTTTACTTACAAAGTAAATAAGAGTAAATCAATGTGTACCCACAAATTAAAGATTTCAGAAAAGCTAGACTGTGCACACACATTTAAAGACTATTGCAGGAATAGTTCAATTGGGAGTTTGTTTTTTAATAAGTTAATTACATTTCCTTGACATTATAAAGCTACTCAGTTCACTTAATGATTTATAGCTTGCTGTGGGAAGCAATATTTCAAGAAAAAATATTTGAAAACTATAACATCCTGAAATAAGTGCTTATTTTAATCTAAATTTTAAGTTTTAAAGAGGCCTTCCTTCCCTGCAGAGGCAGAAATTAATGCACCCCAATCCATATGAAAGTTAGCTTAGAACAGTATTTGTGTTAAGTTGACCTTATGCTAAGTGATCTAATACTGTCTGTTACTAAACCACATAAACTTCAATAAACAAATTGTGTTTTAGCAAATGTATACTACCATGAAAGGTCATCTGATACTATTTAGAATATTCTAAGTGATATATCTAATATAAATTTTCAAATGAATTCATAAACATGAAAACTGCTCTAAATTTTAATTTGTCATAAGTGATTTGAACTGAGTCTTGATATATTGCCTTTGTAGTATGTTTACAAAGAAGTTAAAAATATGGAAAACATGATGGAACACATTGAGCTATTTCTACAAAAGCCTTTCCTAGATTCTCTTTGATTGTCCTTTGAACTCATGTGTCTTAACATCTCTATAGCATTTGTTTGCTCATTAGTCATGTGTTTTCTTCTATTAAGCCTTTTAAGTGCTGTCTATAAATGCCATCTTCTCCACAAGATTACTTCTAATACCATGGAGGACAGAGAATATGTCTTTCTCATTTTTTTTGTTCTACACCTGATAAGTCTTAATATAAACTTCTATGATTGGAAGAACGGTTTTAATTAAAACAGTTCATCATCTTGCTTTCATACCCTTTTCCATATAAACTAATGCTCACCCACATCACAGCCACAATGCACCCCTTATTGGCAGCCTCAATTTCTTTGAGATCACTGTGATATCTGAGAAAGATATTAGCAAAAGACTACATGCCTTCTGACACCCCCTCCCACTATATGAGTGTTGGAGTCTGCTGATGACATCTGTTTAAGTCTTCTCTACTTTTCTTCCATAACTCCTTCCTACTGTCCAGGCCAAGTACTTATTCAAGAAGTTACCCCGAGAATAGACTTAGTCCCAGGAATCACAGGGGGCATCATTTCCTATCATTAAAAAAATGTTAGTAGATACTCTTTCATACATTAAAGAAAAGTAGAATTCACTTGATGTTTTGAACTGGTATCAAGGCTTGCTGTTTATTTTAAACTGCTCAATTTTGGTATTAGAATATAGTCAGTAGTAGAGCACTTGACGGTGCCTTGTAGACATGAAACCCCGAGTTCAGTCCCCAGCACCACTAATAACTAGCACTACCCAATTAAATAAGAAGCACACTTTTGATTTAAAGTGTCAGGGACCCAGTGTGCTGGTGCATGATTGTGCCTGTAATGCCAGCTGTCATTGGTGGAGACACAAGGAACAGAAGCTGCAGGGTCATCCTCAGCAATGTAGGGGATGCAAGGCCAGCCTGGGATAGATGCGACTCTGTCCCAAATAAATAAGTAAAGAAAAATTTAAAAGCAAACTCTTCATCCTTATCTCTTACACTGTGCTTTCTTGGTCAGTATTTCATAAGAGTTGAGCTGCAACTGTAGAGGTATGTCCATGAGCAGTGGCCAGGTGTCTAGTTATAAGTTGTTTATAATATGATTGCTACCTTACATGACTAACCCCCAAACTAAATCTGGAAATATTGGTGAAAAGTATTTTAACAAAGCACATATTTCTTTTTCCATCATATATGCCTAACTGCAGGGAGACATTAAAATGTTTTCATTTATTTTAGTTAATTAAAATTCTAAGCTCCATTTCCATTTCTTCTCTTTATTTAGTTCAGGGAGAGGCCTTTTGTGGGTTTCGTTTGGTATAGAGGGGTTCCTTCTCATCTTTAAAGGTACAACTTTTCAATAAGCATTATGTAAGAGCATCTCAAAAACACAAGTGGAAAATAATCAGTGCAATTTAAGAAGCCCCTTACATGGCAGAGACATTTAATGAAAATTTATTCTTACGTACTTTCCTCGTCCTCCTCGTCAGTCCGACTCAGGGTGTCTTGAGAAGCTTGTTGGGATGGTTCACTGTCCTGCTCCCAGACAGTGCCTGTGCCCGTGTTGGAGCGGGACATGGTGGCCAGGCTCAGGCGGTAGGCAGAGGTAGATGTGCCCACGGTGCTGATGGATGTCTTTCCTTGGTAGGCTGGGAGTTGAGAGACCAAAGGAAATGGCTGGTAAGAACATGAAAAACAGAAATGTTTGCTTCAAAATGCTCCTGACTTTTTTTTTTAAGTGTAACTAGTGTGTCCCAGACTAAGGAGTTTGAAGATATAGACATATAAGAATTTGAAGGGGAGGGGGTCAGTATTGGCCACTGGTGTACTCTAAGTGAATAGCTTCCTTACAAAGGCCTGAGGTCCCTACCAAGGGAAAGGCTTTTGCAGTTTTTTTCTCTTAGTGTATTTATTTTTGTTTGCTTAGGCTAATAGAATACCAACTAACTTGAATTGCTGCTTCCGAAGCCCTGGTTTTATTACCACCGCATGTGCATTGCCCACATAAGTATACTGGAGTAATACGAAAATCACTATCTTTTATATGAACCTAAACTCAAAATCAGGATCCAATCCCAAAGAGTTCCCATTCTCCTTTTCTGGAAACAGAAGCATTAGAACCTTCTCAGCTCAGTGGCAGATGATTCTATCAGATTCAGCAGAAACTCTGAATGGCCATGTGTAAATATCACCAAGGTTGCACTTTTAACATTTGTGTTTTGAACGTCTTGCAAACAACAGTAAACACTTTAGAAAGCAAATAAAAGCCCTGTCTTTCACACATGGGTGATGAGTGCCCTCTAATGGTAGACAGGGATTTAATTTTCTCATTCAGGAGTCTGCTGTGGTAGAACTGCCCAGTAAGCAGTGAGGACTCAAGGAAAAAAATCTTTCAAATAGTTAAAAGTACCTTCTGCTTGTGAACTCTACTTAGCTCCTCCCCATTCCAATTTGTGCAACTTTAAGGTTTAGAATCCACAACATAAACCTAGTACAAAATCACCTCACTGGTGGCGGTAGTGGCACACGCCTTTAATCCCAGCACTTGGGAGGCAGAGCCAGGCGGATCTCTGTGAGTTCGAGGCCAGTCTGGTCTACAGAGTGAAGTCCAGGACAGGGCACCAAAACTACACAGAGAAACCCTGTCTTGAAAAAACAAAACAAAACAAAAACAACAAAAAACAAACAACCACCTCACTGGCTTCACTATATCTGTATATAAACTATTTAATCCTCTGAGTTGTCAATTTCCTCCTTTTAAAATTGGACTTTGAATGATACATTTTGCAGATCCTTGTGTGGATTAAAGGAAATAACACCTGTAAAGTTATAACAGATGCTCAATAAAGTGAATCCTTCTATCAAAAAGGGGAATGAAAGAATGTAAACACCCTTCCCCCTTATTAAATATTTAAGAGCTTAAATACTAAAAAGAGTACTTAAAAATAGTCAGAAGAATGTAACCAAATTCCCATGTCAGTCCTTGGCTTTTGTTTTATTGTTAGACGTGATTTCTTGGTCAAATCTATCAGTATATCAAGATAGCTAGTTCAGACATGGTCCCCCAAAAGAGCAGTGAGCTGGGCAGAGGTTGTGAATCCCAACTGTCAGACTCAAGAGACACCCTTCACGCTTACCTGATCCACTGTGGACCGCCTCTTTCAGAATTTTCAGTTCACTGTTGAACTCGGCAATGAGCGAGCTCTTGCATAAAGGGCGGGGGATGAAGCGCCGCTCTAGCTGGTCAGCAATATGTTGTCGGGCGTTAAGTTCTTCATGGTTCTCTGCTGGTTGGGCCAGGAGCTAAAAGGAAGGAAGGCATTGCATTCTCAGGACCCAAGTTTCCCCATCTGTAACCTGGGCTAACTGTGATACCGACCCACTTCATAGACAGAGGAAGAAAAAGAAGGCGATGTTCAGGAAACAGTGGTACCAGCACGGTGCCATTGAGTAGTGTCTCTGCCCCAAGAAATGGGAGCATGAGAAGAACTAGAGAATAGATAAATATAGATAAATACTGGGAATCATGGAGGGGAAAGGAGCATTAACTATCCCATTTTTTTCATGTTTTTTTGTTTTGTTTTGTTTTTTGTTTTTTTGTTTTTCGAGACAGGGTTTCTCTGTGTAGCTTTGCACAGAGAAACTCTGGAACTCGCTTTTTATACCAGGCTGGCCTCGAACTCACAGAGATCCGCCTGCTTCTGCCTCCCGAGTGCTGGGATTAAAGGCGTGCACCACCACCACCTGGCTTTGTTTGTTTTTTTTTTTTAAATAGTAGATTTCAGATGATGTGACTGACCCGGGAGGACATTCTCCAGAACATTTCACAGGGCCAGTTTTTCTCCTGTCTTTAAGAAGGCAGGGTGATGAATGGGATGAGAATAAGTTTGGCATACTGTAATAGGTGAGAAGGTGCTTTGAATGTGAAATACTGTCCGGATGCTTGCTTGGGGCTCCGTCCTCGTCAAACACGGTGTTAATAGTCTCTGCTAACTGGCTGCAGCGTGTCTGTGTCCTGTATACCGCCATGTGCACTCCCCCACCCCCACCTCCCAGCACTCCTGCCTTAGAAGAAAACTGCAAGTTCACCTTGCACTGGATGAAAGGGCGCAAGAGCACGAAGATGGGTATCCGCGTGCGCACGATGAAGTCGAGGAAGTCCCACAGGGCTAGGCCGCCCACCTTCCGCAGAGCCATTTCCTTCACCTGCAGGCTCAGCCAGTACCACTGGCCTCCCAGCTGCCTCTCGAAGCAGACGAGAATAACCTTTAGGGCTTCATAGCAGGAAGAGAGAAAAGGATCCTGAGGGCTTGTGCTTCAGAGGAATCCTGCCCATAGCCACTGCCTGTGTACACGGGACAATTTCTAATTGATTAAACTCCGTGGTTCTAGAAACTTAACATGCACCCTTGAGCCAGTATCCCAGACATACAGGTAAAGGGATTTTGGTGGGTTACAACACAATTTTATTAAGTGCATTGAAAATTCCCGTTTTGGAAAAACAAACAAACAAACAAACAATGGGGGTAAGGTAGGTAGTCCATTGAACTAAAGAGGCAATTATGTGTATTACTAATGTTTTATGGCCCATAGCCTTTGGCTTTACGGAATCATCAACATATTACCCACATTCCCAGCTAAAATACACAAAAAAAGAAGTACAATAGTCTGACCAAGGAAGAAAAATAGGTAACACCTTCATTATAAAGGCAGAAAGTGGAATGGAATGAAAACATTTCTTCAAGGTTTTTATTCCTAGTCTTACATAAAGAGTTCCCATTCCCCATCATCTTCCATGTTCCCTGACTTCACAGATACTTCTCTGCCAGCCTGAAGTTCATTTGAGCCTGATCTCTTATGCCTTGGGCAACTGAGCGCCCATCAGGTCAGGTCCTGTGTACACACATTTTTTTTTCTTTCTCTTTTTTTTTTTTTTTTTTTTGTTTTCAGGTCATAGTAAATGATATCTTTTACATACACACCCCTTCAGAATGCTTCTTAAACACCCCACTTTCCCATATTCCAAACTCCAAGGACCTGTTTGATTCCACTAGTTTGTGCTCATCTCGCACTCTCCCACCAACATCCACTTTGGTGGATGAAAAAATGTCACGTGAGATGTCCTCTTATTGGGTTCCCATTGTCGTGCTCCTTATTCTTGGTGTCAGTCCACGAGTGGTCTTTTCCCCCTGGTCTACTTCTTTCAAGGACAATGACTGGCGCTCTATTACCCCATAGGAAGACAACCTTTAAAGGCAGGGTTGAGGTCATGGGGAAGTAGGAGAGCAAGCGGGCAGACGAATTGGAAGTTTGTAGGAAGAGGAGACTGTCCTCACATGATTAAAGATCAAGATGGAGCCGGGCGGTGGTGGCGCACACCTTTAATCCCAGCACTTGGGAGGCAGAGGCAGGTGGATCTTTGTGAGTTCGAGGCCAGCCTGGTCTACAGAGTGAAATCCAGGAGAGGCACAAAGCTACACAGAGAAACCCTGTCTCAAAAAACCAAAAGAAAAAAAAATCTATAAAAAAAATCAAGATGGAAATGTAAAGACATTATTAGGGATGAGTAAGACAGCTGGCTGAGGAAGTAATGTCCTGCAAGGCCACCATGTCCTACTGCTCAGGATGTTGACTGTCAACTCCAAGGACTTTATTTACATAGACGACAGACCAATGGGAATCACAGCATATACTACCTCACAGTAGCTATCAAATCTGAGTGATTGTGCTGTCAATCAGAAAGAGGCAATCCTTCCTACAGACCCCTTCTTTATATACTCTAGGCATCATATGCAAACAACCAAGTAATTCAGATACTGCACAGATGAAACTACTCTTTGTCTTTTGACATATATTTACTGAAGTAAACCAGCCCTGCAAAAGTTTTTCTTTAAATACCATCTGAGCCAAGATAGATCATGGTAAGTACATCCATGGGGAGCAGAAAAGAGGAGGCAGGGAAAAGAGGCTCACCCAAGTACGCTGCCTGGCTGGTGGACTCGGCCAGCCCTTCCTTGCGCAAATCTTTGCCTGCATCCCCCGGGGTGGAGCAGTGGGCGGGGGAGCTCTCGAGCATGAAGTTCTTGCTCCTAGATGTGCTGATGATCCGAGGGGGCAGGAGCACATTAATGACAGTCTGTAGCAGTAGCTGTACCTCTGGCTGCTCCAGCCACGGGCTATCTGAAGTGCATTTCGGGAAAGGAAGGGGAAAGTGTAACAATCACAAGGCAGACCTTCCATGTTATACACTGAGCAATGCAACTTCTTCCAGTTCCAAGCCAGAACACACAGAAATGTGGGTATTTCCCACCAAGTATTGTTTCTTCCATGGACAACACAGTGTTATTGGCACCCTTGGGTCACCAATAGTTGGCATCCAAGGGCTTGTGTTCTCAGCCAGATCTCCTGCTTACCAGTTCATTCTCTTTTCTTTTGGTAAATACTTAGGATGTACTGACCTTACATTTGAGATACGCTTTTCCTAAAAGAAAGACCCCCTTAAGATTATGTTGGATTAAAAAAGAAGAATTAAAAGGTTTCTTAGAAACAAAAAAAAAAAAAGAAGAAGGAGGAGGAGGAAGAGTAATGAAAATGTATTGAGAGTTAGCAGCTGCAGGATTTCTGCTAACCACAGTGGCCGTATTATAGTCCAGTCACCTATCAATTCTCAGTGTATTGAACTTGAACTAATTAACATTTTCTTAACTTAACTGAAACAATGTACTCTGCCCTCTGCTGTATTGAAATAATTTTAAATAGGATATTTCTTTTAAGAAGTAGAGCAAAGAAACTCTCGTCCCAGGTCAGTTAAACCAAATAAAACTCCTGTTTCCCAAACCCCTGCTTAAACCATTTAGATCTGTTTAAACTGACGAGTTTCATGGGGAGAGGAAGAATAGAAACCACACCCTGGTAGTTAGAAAACACAACAACAATGATACGTTTCCTTTAGTTAAATTAATCAGACCTTTGCTTCCAGATCCTACTGTGAGCACAAATGGGATGAGCAGATTTAAAAGCATCCCCTCCCTTCGCTCTTGATTGGTGAATGGGGAGATCACATGGCTTAAAGGGAAATCTTCTTTTAAAGCCTGTGCAGCAATAATAGAGAAAGAAAAGATTAATTGACCACTACGCCCACCGTGTGCGCTTGTTTCTACAGAGTGTGTCGGCGAAGGTGCCTCCCCGCTGGCTGCACCTGTAAACTATGAGTTCAAGTGTCTTCTTGGTGGCATATGAAGTTTGACCCACACTGATGCTTTACCATTGGCTTCACATAACAGAGCCACATTCCTAAAAAGACATTAATAGCTTAAGCATTAAGTGAAGAAGTTTAATATAAGACCCACCTCATTTCCCCCGCTAATTTTCTCCACGTGTCTACCCAGGAAAATGAAGAAAATGACAACTTGGCACTTTCTCCATTTGGGGTTATGTAAAAGTTCTTTAACCCCTGCCTAGGCCTCCTTCAGGCCAGGAAGCATGGAAAGGAAGAAATTAGTGATCTTTGGAAACCGGCTATTAAAGTGCCTATGGGAGTGCCATATTCCCCTTCTCCACAGTAGCCACCATGCTTCATGTGTTTTGTACATCTACCCATTCTCCGGATGGTAAGATTGTCAGATAATGGGTAGGTCAGTTATGCCTTTATATCCGGTGTATTCCTTCTGTTGATCACAGAGCTTTAAAACTGGGTGACACAGAGAGAAACAGTCAGGGCAATTAGGATTCTGTCCCTTTGCTAATAAAGTGGGATACTCGTACATGTGTTTAAAATAATATTCAACTCACAATCACTAAAGAAAATAAAGATATTCAAAGTCTGGTAGTAACGTGTGAAAGAATTTTAGACCACAATTCTTTCTGAAAATAATTTTAAGCCAGACTTTGAATACTATTGCCTCTTTTGATTAACAATTGTGAGCTGGTTACCCATAAGCCATTCGTTTGCACATCGCTTAAATGACCACAGCGGTTCCTGTGGTTGCGCCAGGACTAAAGGACTCTGCTATTTTTGAGATCTCAAGAAGAATTACAGAAGCACAACTTAGGGCCATGCTCAGGGCTGAAGCTCCAAACCTATCACGGTTTGGAGGTGTTCACACTTCTGGCTCACAGATTTTGCCCAGCCTTTGCAGAAAGAGAAAGAGAGAGAGAGCACCACGATGTGGCGCCTCCGCCAGCAACTGAATGAGCGTGACAAACAGGTAAGGCAGTCACACCTGTATCTGCAATGCTACAAGCCGGACAACAGCTGTGCTGAAGGGCAGAGGTGGTGAGAGATAAGGGCTGAGATGAAGAAGGGGTAATCCATCCGCAACACTGGAAGGTCCTACCACTCCCATCACCTGAAATACAAACAGAGCACATGACCAGCCTTGACCATTGCAATTTCATGCAACTGTAGCAAAGGAGTCTCATTCACTAATAATAACAATATTAACAAAATTGAAGGTTGGGCATGTTAGTTTTTCAGTCTTTTCTTTTTCGGCGCCCTCTAAGGCGTGTAATGTCTGGAGTCAGGTGGATCGTTATACTGGATTCAGCCAAGGTTTTGTAGGATGTTGTTTATAGCTAGCTATGTAGGTAATGAGAGATGAACTAAAGAAAACTATTCTAATTGGGAGACTGGACACTTACTTGTGGATTCAAAGGAGTGCAGGCAACATTCTTTGATGGAGCAAATACTGACAAAAATGATGGTGATCACAGCTCTATGTGCACTAGGCATTCCAACTACACACTTGTTGCCCAACTAGTTAAGCAGCAGATCCTACTGGATGATATGCGCTAACATGGTTTTCACACATTGTACAAAACCTTGTCACGACCAGACTCTAGATATTACATAAACAGTGAAAATAATTTTTCTTTGCATAAAATCCTAAACTGGCCAACCCATGGTGTTATTTGGCCCTTAAAAAAAAAAAAGGAAAAGAAAGCCTTCTTTGTGTTTTAAGGTTCTCCTCCCCAAGCTATCTCAACTTTTGGCCAATTGTGCAGACTCCAACACCCCACTCTCCAACTGGCAGCCCTCAACTCTCAACGCAACTTGGAGGTGATTGTCAAGGTAGTGCGTGGGAAGCAGGCATTCTGACATCCCGCCATGGCAGGGATGGGCCCCTGTATCTCCCATGTACCATCTTGAAATGTACCTCCCTGTTTTCAGTGTCACCCGAGCCATCTGTTTTCATAGGTAAGTCAGGGGCACAAAGTGGTTGACCTGTAAGTCTTCAGTTCAGAGAAATCAATAGCAGAGTTAAACTGTGCAAAGTTTCATAAGGTTGCCACTTGGCTACTCACCAGATTGACACAGACATTGATCAGTGACCTAAGGTGAGGCAGGAAGGATATGATTGGCTGCCTCTGAAGTGTCAAACAAACCCCTTCAATCAAACTGCTGGCAGGCTCCCACTCAACCTGTCGCCTGGAATACAATACAGGAGCCATTATCGCCCTGGCTCCCTTCTGGAGACAGTCTGAGACAAGCGAACGAGACAGTGATCCTGGCATCAGCTAAGACATGTGTGCTGAGACAACAGAGTGCTCCACACGGGATGACATTTACCCATGGTGTTCCAAAAGTACAGAGCACACTGGGAGGGGAGGAAGGACTGAAAACGCAGCAGAGGCACACTCCTGCCCAACCGACTAATGAGACAAAATCTATCGAAGAAAAAACAGAGATGATGAATGGGTCACATGATAAGGTCCCTGTGATGTCATTTTTGAGAGGAGCCCTATACTATCATTTCAGGAGACCTGAGAAATCTTCTAATAGAACCAATCTGCCCCCAGCTGCAGTCCTGAAATCTACTTATCAGACTATACTTGATACAGTCAACTTTCACACAAGGCTACTAGTGGGATTTATATAGCTTAAGTCCTGACAAAAAGGTGAACTTTGAGGAAATTGGTCTAGAAAGGTCTCTTTGCCTCATAAGGAAATGATGTCTTGGATTATTTTCTGTGGTAGAACAGATGGTGGAGCACACAATCGAATCAGAATAACACAATGTATTTCTGTATTAACAATGAATCTACTCTGTGACCGTCTCAGTCCTCATGATTCCGAAATAAGCAGCAGGCTAGGCTCTTTCAATCTGAAAATTATTTCTAAGCCTGCATTTCCTATGAAACTGCAGCCTGTACAATGAAGTGGAGATGTATCACAAATGGGAAAACACTGATATTCCAGAGGCCAGAAGTAAACCACAGCTCGGCTTCAGACAATACTTTGTGTGTTGAACTGAGGTCAGATGAAAGGGTTAACGACAAATCAACTGTATATTACATCATCCTTCCCAGGAAAATTTCCCATAGCTGACCAAATCTGTGAATGAATACAAAATTTCCTTTGGAGAGGTATGGTCATTTATAATAGGTTTAACTGTATGTCAAATGAACCATTTTATGGAGATGTTTAACATCTTCAAATGTCAGAGTACTTAGGAAAAATAATTTATTTTGACACACACTCATAAGAAATTTATAAATGTTTGATCAGCCACTTACCAGCAGATGCTGGTAATGTTTTACTGGGACCACTAAAGAAATAATGCTTAAGAACAGGCATCTCCATGCCACTGAAGTAAATGACCTTAATATAGTCTTGACATTCATCACCATGGTACAAAAGGTTGTAAGAACCAGTGCTTAGGCAGCAGCCTGATATTGTCCAGTTTTGCTTTTCTGTGACTCATGGTGGCATAAATGTGCAGAGTGCTGGCTAATATCTGTAAAACTGCTGGCAAACTGAACCTTAAGTACCATGGTCTGAGGCAAAGTTGATTTTATTTTGAGTTTAATTTTAAAGGAGAGAAAAAGCTCTCTCATTCATCCAAATTTGAAATTTCCATTTTAGTGGGTTTGTGAATTATTATACCACCTACTCACTATGACTATAGTTTCCAAACTTGGTTCACGTCTCCAGAAAGGCTAGTGCAGAGGCATCTGCTCATTGGAAGGGAATGAGGGGATTTTTCTCAGGCTGCCAAGAAGTCACTAGGCTATGGTTGTGCTCATTTAGAACTCCATTGAACAAGGTGAAAGTTAGGGTTTGTTATCAGTTCTGTGACCTTCTTAGTTGTAGTTTGGCTGATAATTATAAAACTTGAAATTTTTTTATCTTGCTATGTACCCAAAGAGAATAACTTACTATATTAAACATAGTACTTTTAGCATCAAATTAATGCTTCTCCTCTTTGTTGTGGCTATTTGTAAGGCATACTCTCTCTTACTTCAAGGATTAGAGATTGTTGAGTTCTAATTGAACTTGTTCATTGCATCCGATGAAGAACTAACTGAGAAATGGACAGACACTTCCTTAAGAGAAGCACACATATTCTTAAAGAAATGTTATTTCCTCAAAACAAATCTTGCTACTGGGGCATTTATATTCCCAATTATCTGTGCACAAATACCACCAGAACCCTTCTGCCTCATTTATCTAACTACCGAGTGACCTACTATGTTTTAAGATGGAAAACTTCTAACCGTGTGCTCTATAATATCTGACCAGGAGGCCTCCTCACCTCAGGGTAGGCATCTTATGGATTTTGTTGAACATTCTATCCAATCTCTTTAGAATGAGGATAAGGGCTGGCCTCACTGGCTCCGCTGACCAGTCGGTAATAGGCAGCATCTCCATAATGTAGCGCCGAAGGCCCCGGCTCTCCATTGTCTGGGTGTCATACGGTGCCAGCTTCAGAAGGGAGTGTGCAATTTCTGCCAGTCTAAAATCATTTTAGAAATAATGAGCAGAGAATACCACAGTAGGAATATTTCCACACAGCGTCATGCTGATCACCTCATGCTAATCAAAACACCAACTTCCTAACTAAGAACGTCCTCTCCAGCACCCTCTGTCCCTCTGTTCTTCTCCTGTATATCAATACAACGATATGTGCACACGCAGAGACATGGAGAATCATGGAATGTTTCAGAGAGTAAACATGAGGAGAAACTTAGGAAGATTAAGGATGGGCCAAATGCACCTAGAGAATGCTACTTCTTCGTGGGTGTGTGTGTGTGTGTGTGTGTGTGTGTGTGTGTGTGTGTGTGTGACAGGTCTCATGTTATCCAGATTGGCTCCAAACTTGCTATGTAGCAGAAAACAATCCTGAACTTCATAACCTTTTGCTTCACCCTCCCAAGTGCTGAAATTACAGATATCTTGTTACCGTGCCTGGTTGTATGTGGTGCTAAATTCCCAGAGAATGTGATTCTACACACACACACACACACACACACACACACACACACACACACACACACACACACACACAGAGATAGATAGATAGATAGATGGAGATATATTAATTAATTAGAAGTAGTACAATGGGAATATTGTGCTCTTCCTTTTCTTTCTATATTAACCATAGCATTTTGGTGAAGAGAAAAGTTGATAACAGCAGGAGAGGGAAAGTGAATGCTTGACAGGATCGATAGGACGCCCTCTCGGCACTCTTTAGGAATAGCATCTAAGCCGTTGCCGACCTCTCCACTGCTTGGATTTCATAACATGTACCTCATCTGACTAGCTCCACAGATGGTAGAACCCATTACTGTCAAAAGAATTCACTCTACCTTTGGAGGCTGCACTGTTAGAAGCTGCAATCAGCTTTAAGTTCTCTCAACATCTTCCTGCTAGGCTTAATTGTGAATGCACAAGTCCCATTCATCATCTTCACGGCAACCCTTCATGCCAAGAAATAGTTACCATCTCTTCATATTCATAATCTTCATTCCTAACTGGACAGAGTCCTGGAAACTGTGTGTGAGGGTGGGTGCCCTAAAGAAATGATTCAAATAGCCTACACATTTGTATGGTTTATCCCTTTCTTGTAAGTATGTCATGGAAAAAGGATTCTTTCTTAGATTGTTTGTATCCAGATAAGGATAGTTTTAGCCACACAGACTCTTCTAGAAACCTTCACCTTATCCCTGCACATTCTTAGACATTCTACTGTAACACGTAACCTGTCCAAACCAACTTGGGAAACTTGGGCTCTTGTAAACCATGTTTTGGCGAAGAAAGTGAATGCAATTCCCTGTTAGGTTGAATAAGTACTAGAGTTTAGCTCTCAGAAAAGAGTGTATTTTAAAGATAGCTTTGAGATATGTTTGAAAAATGGTCTCTCTTTAAGCTTGGGAGCAATATTTTGAGCTGAATATGAGAGAAAAATTATAGATCAATACATGATTTTCTTTAACCTTTGGTTGTGAAAAATGGATTAGTGGTCAGCCTATAAGAGAGTCTTCCTTTCATATAGTGTTTCCATCCCTACCTGTGTGATAGATACCATGTATTTGCACACATATTCTTGTTTCAAAAGAAAATCAGGTTATGTTGGTCCTTTTCCGATGGGAACTCAAGAAGGAGAAGGCAAAGCAGGGGAAGGAAAGAGAGGAAGAGTGAGGTGAGAGGAAAAGAGGGAAAACTGTAGATGTTACTGCACTGGGAACTCAGGAGTGAGTAATGAGACAAGGGATTCCTTTTGCGCAGAGAGTCTATCTAAGCAAGAATATCTTCTCTGAGAGCCTTGAAATCAATCATGTATCATGCAAATGTAGAGTATAGATTCCCTTAACACTGTTTCTTAGCACTTTAGCCTGGTCCAAACTCATCGAGCAAGCATCTCCGGTGTTATCTGGATAGCAGTTCCATTTCACCTTTTTTCAATCTTTTCTAGTTGGGTAACATCCATTCTTAAACTTTAAAATATGACCCACAGTTCCAAAATTCATACTAGTTTGACTTTCACACAAGACACACACACACTACAAGAAACATTAATACATGTTGGTACTGTGTAAATGTATTTGGATCTGCCGCCCACCTCTCATCCCATAACATAGAACATATTTAGACAAAGAAACATACACTTGTCTTTCATCAAAAGCTTGTTGTTCAGTAGTACATTAACAGGGGACACTTGGTTTAAATAATCTCTAGGCAATGTAACTTTTGCCCTCCAGCAGATCCAGGCCACGAAGTAGCTGTCCTCTTACACTAACCCGGCTCTAGAGAGCTTGCTTGTGACAGATCACATAACGACATTATGTCAACTGTCTACACAGCCATGCAGAGTCAGCCCCTTATCTATTATAAGGACATTGTCGAGGACACTATTCTTTGTACTACTCTTTTTCTTTTCAACAAATATCAATCAGGAGATATTGCTTGTCCTTTTATTTTATTTCCTTGTTTGTTTGTTTTTAGATGGAGTCTCCTTATGTAGCCAAGAGTATCCTGGAGCCAGGTGGTTGGTGGCACACGCCTTTAATCCCAGCACTCGGGAGGCAGAGCCAGGCAGATCTCTGTGAGTTTGAGGGCAGCCTGATCTACAGAGCAAGATCCAGGAAAGGCTCCAAAGCTACACAGAGAAACCCTGTCTTAAACAAAACAAAACAAAAAAAACCCTGAAAAAATAAAAAGAGTATCCTGGAACTGTGGAGACTAGCCTGGCCTTGAACTTTTGACCCTTCCACCTCATAGCTCACTGATCACTGATGTCAATAACCATGACCAACATTATTTTTAATAACTATTATCTCACCGAGCAACTACATTTTTATTTTATTGACATTGTGGTTTTATAACTGATCTTATTTTGCTAATTGCTTTAAGACTCCAGAAGTTTAACATCAAATACATGGTTCATGAGTAAATCTAAAATTATTTCTTATTATGTTTGTGTTTATCTTATCACAACCATATAAATATTTCCATGCCAATTTCACTTTTTTCCTGATTCTCTAGTTAGTGTATGCTATCTTTTTGTATCATATAGTTTCAAAGTTGCCTGAAAATAATAAACAGTTAATTATACAAGTGATTTTAGTTACTTGCAACTATGTTATTTTCTTTTTGTCTTTTAAAATGGACTACAATAACCTTGAAAGTTAGGGCTCTAATTTGTACCCCTAATGTCTAATACAATATAGATAATTTTCATTAGTGTTAATGTCTTTTGTACCTTAAATCCACACCTACTACCAAGTAGTCACTTAGGGCTTGTTAAACCTCAGTAAGTACTCTAGAGGGTGCTCCAGGCCTCTCTGATGCTGGTATTCCTTCCCTGAAATGTCCAAGAGGAGGACTATCCTACAGCCCCTACATACACAGAGACATAAACACAGATGCACACACACACACACACACACACACACACACAAACAGACACAAAGAGATAGACAGGCACAGACATAGATTGACCGAGAGACAGACAGACAGACACATATACACAAACAGATGCAGAGAAACATAAGATTCACACAGACACATACACAGATATAAACAGAGGCACACACAGAGATAGATATAGACACACACACACACACACAAAACACAGATGCACCCATAGACATACACACTGGTACATGTACCATGCATGCTGTCACACACAGAGACACACAAAGACAGACATATACAGACAGACATAGACACACATATTACACATGTGTACAGACACACATGCACATGCGTACTGACACAGACATACATACTGACATATGTACACAGACACACACACACACACACACACACACACACACACACACGCACACACACAGACACGCAGACACACACTCATACACACACCCTCACAAAATGCCTGCCAGTCATAGTCACTTTCTGACTCTGGAAACGTGATGTCTGTCTATTCACAGAATTGCTTCGATCAATTAGAGACCATCTGTGGGCAAAGAAGGGGCGGGTCTGACTAGAGGCCTCAGTTGCCATGGCAACAGGTCCTCGAACCACTGCAGCCTTCTGTCTGGGAGCTTCACTTCTCAGTGTGAAATAATCTCCTTGTCACTGCACAGTGGGACAGGCTGGGGCTCTCCAGCCTGGCTGGGTGCGTGCCCACACCTCAGCAGAGGTGAGAGGCTGGAGGAGAAAGGGTCTGCACCCGCCTCATCCTCCTGCCCTTGGTGCTTTCACCTGGCACTCACTAAACTCCTTTCAAAAGATCATTTTAAGAAATTGAAACAGAAGTTACTAATCAGGACATTGGTCTGTTTTGCCAAAATCACAATGCTGTTTCGGGACGGCTAGGAGAGAACTCTCAGTTTAATTTTATAGATACATGAAACATTCCAAGTCTTTTTTTGAATTTTTCCAAATTTTTCTTTGAAGGAATTCTTATGATTCTTTACAAACTGTTAGAAATACAGCTACTAGGTCCTCTCAGATTATATGTAAAAATCTGGGAACAGAACATTTTGGACTAAATTACCATTATAAAATCATTTCCCCCTTTCTAACCAAGATCCCTTTAACAGGCAAAATGTTCACTTTATCAGAAGGATCTAAATGGTATATACCCAAGTCACAGGAAACAAATTATTTTAAGTATCTCATTCATTTACCATTTACCCTTACAGTCCAGCTTGACACTCATACACAGACACATGGCTTAAGCTCTTAGCAAACTCCAAAGCAGAGAGAGTTACCTCATGTGGGACTTCACATCCAGCAGCTCCAGGGCAGTGACCCGGGGTTCCCCAGCCAGATTTTGCAAGATCTTCAGCCTTGGCCCACAATGCTTATAGAATTCTGTGCAAATATTCAGCAGGGATTCCCGGGGCCTTCTGAATTCTTCTCGAGCAATCCGTTCATCTAGCTCTTCTCTGGGAAGGCCTTGTCCTTCCTCCAATAAGTGAAGGTTTTCCCTGGGGAGTTGTGAAGGATTAACGAGGGTTCTGAAAACTTGGGCACCTGGTTACTCTGAGGGCAGGGTGTCCTACTTCAGAGGAATATGATCCCTACTGAGCTGAGGACTTAGAAGGCAGAGCCCCACAGAAGCTCCTTTGGTGGCTGAAGAAAATTTATCTTCCCAGGAGACCTGGCAGTGCCACACCACAGTGGCTTTCCCTGAGCCATTTCCTGAGGATTTACATGACAACAGTTTGTCATGCATCCACCGGATGTGTTAAATGGAACCAGAGCCCAGATCTAAAGGCATCAGTCACCTCAGTGTATCAGGAGGGGTATGAAATCAGAGTGAGTCTTTCGGTACCTGATAAAGTGCAGCTTGGCTCCTTGCTCCTGGTACCTGAGAATCAGAAGGACAATATGAATAAGCTTTGGAGCAAGAAGGGAATTCTTAGGCCAAGGATCCCTAGAGTCTTTTCATGGACAAAACCCTTGGAGGCACACACTTCTATATATGCAAATACCCGTATTACCCCTGAAAGCTCCCCTCTTCTTCCCTTTGGCCATCAGAGAGGCTGCAATTACAGCTCCTATAAATTACATTGTTTCCTTGTCATATGAAATGTATAAAGAAAAATTTAAGGATCCATATAAACTCATGGAATATAGCCAAAGGAGGGAAATTTTTTTTAAAACTTTGAAATCTGACCCTTATTATTAAATACTACTTTTGTTTCAGATGGCAAGGGAGGGGTGTGCAAATATTTTCTATTGTTTTGGAAATGCTTGCTTTATGACTGGTTGAGTCTGAGACAACCTAGAAAGACAGTGGAGCTACAGAGTATGGGAAGGACAGGGCCTCTCTACCCTAAGATGTAGTGAATCTTCTGGCCAGTTTGGAGTTCAACAGACCAACACGAGTGATGCCTCATGAAGGCTGACTGAGTTTCTCCTTGGTAATTTTCAAAGTAACTTTAGTATTTTCTTATACCTTTAACCTCTCACCCTCTTATCTTGGAAAGCTTTCCTCTCAGATCTCCACACTTACTATGGTGGTTTCTTTTGCTTGTTTTGTTTTATTTTCAGGATTCCTTTTATTTCCAGCCACTGGAATGCAACTAGGAGGCCACAGAAACACAGGGCACAGCGAGTTACCTGGTGTTCACTCCAGATGACATGGTATGATTGGCTGTGGTTGTGCCTTTGTGACCTTGATCGCTCCTGCTCATCTGTGGGGCTGTCATGGGCCTGCAACAATAATAGTGGTTTCCAGAACAAAGCAACAGAAGTAGAAACGTTTATGAAACTCTCAAGCTGTTGAAGCCCCCACCTAAGTAAGTTTTCAAATCTTAACAGGATAAGCTGTCCAGCTTTGTCCCGAGAGGCCCTTTAAAGACAAGGTTGACTTCCGTATTCTATACACACGAGGTTTATGTACTGTTTCCTGATTCTCAGAAGTAAACTATGACTCTTCAAATGCTCAGATTGTAAGTGCCAATTGATAGTAAAGAGACCATTCAACAGTCCCTCGGGTGGCAGGCAATCCAGCATTCTAGATAACAGAGGCAAGAGTGCACATAAATCTGCACCAGAATTCCTCTGGTTCTGAGAAATCATCACATAATGTAGTAACTCTTTTAGTGAAAATTATACCTAAGCTTAGTTTCCCTAGGAAGTGAGTAAATTTCTGTTTTAAGTCAGATGTTTAATGAGAGTCAAATGATTTCACTTAATGTCTGTTGGGTCTTCTTTAGTATTAGATAAAATTTTGCTTATGTATTGGCATCTGAGACACAGAAAGGATGATGTAGGTTTTTGGAGCATTTACCTTGATGAAATCTTTATGGCCTGCTATTATTCTGAATGCTGAGTCTGGTAATTTTCAGGAATGACAGAAGGTCATCTCTTTCCATGTCTTGCTGTGGTAGGCAGAACTTAAAGATGGCCTCAAGGCCTTTGTGCCTAGTTTTACTCCAATGATATGTTTAAAAATCGTCTTTTTTTTCTCTTTGTGGGGACAGATATTTGAAGCATGAGGATTCAATGCCTTATTGCTAGCTTGGGGTGGTTAAGGGGACCATGTGAAAAGAATGAGATGCCCTCTAAATGCAGAGTGGCTCCTGGTGGAGAGCCAGCAAAGAAACTGCTCAGACCAAAGCCACAGGAAACCTAGTTCTGCAAAAAAACTGAATGAGCTTGGGAGTGGGTTCTCCCCTGAGCCTTGAGATGAGCGTTTGGGCTGACCAATGCCTTCATTTTCTTTCTTTGAGCCCCTGAGAACAGCTGATCCATCCTGGACTCTGTTCCATAGAATGAAGTGATACACTAAAATCGGATTTGTTTTTATTCTCTAACTTTCTGACAGAGTTATAAAATAGAAACCTAATGTATGTATAATATACTTATGTGATACCCATCTAACTGTTAAATATCTCTTTTCATGAGATAATAAAATTAGCAGTATGGATATGAAAGGGGACTCTTATTTAAAAACAAAATAGCAAACAACCCAAATGGGCAAGAGCATGAGAGAGGTTTTGTGGGGGATAGCAGGGCATAGTAGGGATGTTGGGGTGAGAGTAGGCTGGATACACTACATACGGTGTCAATAGCCTAAAAGCAAATTTCATTAATAAAAAAACCCAATAAGATCAATCATGTTGTAGTTACTACTAACCAACAAGGCTCCCTTCTCTACAAAAGGGATAGTGAATGCAGTGGAGTGTTTAAAGCCACAAGATTTTATTTTATTTTAATATTTGCTTTATTCCTGTGGGGGTGGAGATAGAGGACAACTCTGTGGACTCAATTCCAAGGATCCAGTTTAGGTCACCAAGTTTTCATGATGAGAACCTCATCGACGCAGCTACAGGGTTTTCAATGCCCAAAACTTTATCCATAACTCTTCACGGAATTTTGGGCAAGTAAATTTTGAATTCTGGATGTGTGTAATTAATTTGTTATTATAAAAGGTAACAGAAAGGAGGAAAGAGCTGCCATTATAAAATGTGAGAAGTGACTGCAGTGGCATTTGGGAAAGATTGGCTGTTGTTCTCTCCTCTATTGGAGGGAGTCTTAGGAGACAGGTGTAGAAGGAATCCTTCTCTTTGGAAGTATCTTCTCCCAAGGCTTTCCTGAAAGCATTAGCAAAGCTTTGGACCACTCACTGGAACAGCCAGTTTATCCAATTTGTTCTGGCTCTCTATTCCCCCTTTTTCTGCTTACTCATTTTGGGTGCAGATGTGCATTTCAGGGTGATGATTGACCCATGCCTTTGGGGCTCTATTCTGCTTGCCTTGGTTGGCAGGGTGACTCATCATTGGAAACTAACCATATATCACTATTCATAAATAACCATCAAACTCACTCTCACTCACACATTACACCTCAAAATAATTAAATAGGGTCAGCAAGATGACTCAGTGGGTAACGATTCTCGCTTCCAAGACTGACAAGCTGAGTTTGATCCACGGAGACAGACCTACGTGATGGAGGGAGAGAACTGATTCCTGGGTAGGGACAGGAGTGAAATCCTAAACAGGATTTTAGGCTGGCATGAGGATACACAGAACAGCAGAATGGAGTAAAGGGGCAAAGACACAAACACAGGATGGTCCCCATCAGCTCCTCAAGGAAGGACATCTCTAGATAATATAGAGGGAATGGACAAGAAAACCAACCACATGACTTGCACCCCACACTTGCCTTCCCTGCTCTCAGGCCATCCTTTGCCCACCTACAGTCCCCATCAAACTCTTCCTGCTATATGACAGCTTATTTCCTTTCACTTCTGCACCCAAGAATCTTGTGACAGGATAGCTTCTTGAGCTTTGTTTAGGGCTAACCTCTGGTGCCCATGTGACTTCCTTCCCAAGATCTCTCATTTTTTTTTCTCCTGGAATTATTTGATCCCATTCCATGACAAACCTGTTCCTTCTGGATAGAGTAACATTCTGAAGTTTGTATTTGTTTTGTAGTTTCTAAAATTATAGTTAAAAAATCTATGAGTTCAAGGCCAGCCTGGTCTACAAAGCGAGTTCCAGGAAAAGGAGCAAAGCTACACAGAGAAACCCTGTCTTGAAAACAACAACAACAAAAAAAATCCAACTCTTTATGAATAGTAAAATAATGAAAGAATGCTTGGTTGCATTTGCAAACACACATCTCAAAGTAACTGGATATGGTGAGCAAATGGCTCAGTAGGTAAAGGTGCTTGGTCCCAAGCCTGACAAATTGAGCTCATTCCCTGGGACCCACATGGTAGAAGGAGAGAACCAGTCTTCATGACTTGTCCTCTGAATTGTGTGTGCATTCATTTTCATTCCCTCTCTTTTCCCCACCTCTCTCTTTCTGAAATGTAAAAACTAAAAAATTAATCGAACAGCTAATTAAATCGTGGAGCGCATCTTAGGATGTGATGTAGGGGGTAGGAAAGTCATCATTATTGCTACTGCCACTACTCAGAGTACTTGGCACTTATTATCTAGATAACTTAGGGAGTATTTATAGTAATAAGTTGTAAGGGGCTGAGTTGCTATCTCTAAAATGCAGTTATCTGTAATCTGTAAACAAAGATCAGGTCTTAGAGATATCTAGCCAACCAGTTTTCTCATCTTTTCAATGGACATGTTTGGTTTTAGGCTATGGATATCTGCCTCTGAGATTACCTGGTGAGGACCTCCACACTGTATAAAAGGGCTTGTAGGGATGTGGCCAGAGCAGCTGTGGCAGCAATCTCCTCTCGGGCAGCTGGCACGGTCTCTACCTGTGAAGTCTGCCTCTTCATCTTCTGTAGGTAACATGGAACCAACGCCTCCAAGACCATGAGCATCTGAAGGCTGTGAGCAACAGAAAGAAAACCAAGTCACATCTGATTGGGCCATGTGACATTGGGGAGCATGGGAAAGCCACTAGAGATGCTGAATTCTATACCCCTTCCTGTGCTACACCAATCCAAAGCAAGGAAGGCTGCTGGATGTGTTGACTATCTTTAATTAATTAAGCACTTGGTAACAGGTGAGAAAGCCTGTCTTAACGAAGCATATGAGATAAGTAAGAAGAATTAGCCTTTTGTGCAAATGGACAAAAGAAGAGCAGACTACTGTTGGGAACCATAGACCATCCAGAGTAAAAGTCTTCATTCCCCAGCAAAGCCTTTGTTTAGGAATGTCCTGGGGGTGACTTTTCAGCTGAAGTAATTTTGAGACAACATTAGATCCTTTTCTAAGAAGCTGCCTTCAGAAGCTCAAGCCATTTTATAGCAAGAGTTGGTAGATGCTGTTATTGTCATGGGGTCTGACAATATGTCCTTACTAGAGTGAGTAGACACAACTCATTGGAGAGGGTGCGCAGTTGGTGTAAAGAGTGGTCAGAAACCTCAATGTAAAGAGGAGATGGGTATTCAGTAGTTATCATGAAACATTGTTGGCATACAACTCCAACATAAATATGCAAGATTCACTCAACTGAGTTTAAGTTCTTAAGCTGAGTGTTCTAAGAGACATTAAGACATTGTTCCATGGTTGATATTCTGGAAAGTCTGGAACAATTGCATAATCCATTCCCTCCCTCAAAACACCAAGACATTCTGTCATATCTTTTTCAGCACCGAGTATGGCTTTCTGATGGACTAACTGCACAGGATCAGTGCTCTACAGTAAGGGTATGACAATTTTCAGAATTTGATGGGTATGGAGTTAAAGCTATGACACATTTTTAGGTTCTCATACCTCTGTGATAGCCTTAAAAAAGAGGCAAGAGAGGATATTTCCTGAAAAAAAAAAACAAAGGATTTCGTGGTAGGCTGACTGTCCTAGAAAGGTGGGATGAGTTTTAAAAATTATTACAGGAGTCAGGTAGAAGCTGAAGCTTCTGGGTAGCTTTTATAAGGACCATAATTCTGTAGAAGAAGAAATCTGTTTAAGTCATACTGACATCATACAGCACCAAAGATGATTGTCCTTTGCCCTCCACATGTATGTAAACACCCATATACATGTGCATCTACAGGCACATGAAGATGCATAGACTCTCTCTGTCTCTGTCTCTCTGTCTCTCTGTCTCTCTGTCTCTCTGTCTCTCTGTCTCTCTCTCTCTCTCTCTCTCTCACACACACACACACACACACACACACACACAGATAAAAACTAACTTTATGAAGAACTGATACCATTTCTTGTGTTAGAAAGAATGAGAGACATATTAACATAATGATAGGCATTTGCTAGTCTATAAGTAACAGACATTGCTGGTGGAAATGAAAATGGACACAGCCAGTTCAGGAACCCTGTTGGTGATATCTACCAAAGCAAAACATGCATGTACTATATGATCTAGCAAAGTATTTTCACAGACACAAATTCTGATACGATGTGTGCATGAAACCACAAATATTTGTTGGGGCATAATTTGCCACAGCTTTAAACTGAATACAGCACAACTCGTATGTCAGCAAGAGAAGAAATTGATAGAGCACAGTCACACAATGGAATATTGTAGATGAATGATAAAAGCTACAGTCACATGCTGTGGTGTGGAAGAATCTCTTGAAAGAATACAAATGAACAGAAGTGAGACGTTAGAGGGTCTCATTAGACCGTCTCACTGAAACGCGGTTAGGAAATGAAGCTGACTTTCCCTGTGGGAAGGAAGGTAGGTAGTGCTCCAACTGATTCTTGTATCTGAGTGGTAATTATAACTATACAGCTAACTTTATGAGCAGGCACTCAATTATAGAAATATGATTTTAAAAAACTGTTTACATGAGTGTTATCCTTAAGTAAAATATACTTTTAAAGGGAATAATTTAAGCACCACAAGGACTTGATGTTACAAATATGGAAGTCCTGTAACAACATGCCAGGAAACAGCTACTTAAGAAACTTCCACTCTCCTCAGGCATCAAGATGTCCTCTGGTTTAACTTGAGCAGAATAAAAAAATAAAGAGGATCATCAAAAAAAAAAATTAAACTAAATATGACTGCAAAATAGCTGACTTTGGTCTTTAACTCACATGATAAGGAGTTTTGATTGCAAGCTCAAATTCCTCCTGGTTTCAATGTGATTGAATTGTATTTTGAAAGAGAATTTCATGTCTCGCTGAGAACTTGGTTAAGGGGAAGGATTTTTTTAGTCAAATTTGGTGGTTCTCTGTGTTGCTGGCAGTTCCACACTGGGGGAACATTATTTATTTCATTGTGACAATGTCTTAATGTCAGTGAGAATCCGAGGCATCTCACTAACAATGTGTACACTTAGGATACAAAATGGAACAGAATGCATTTCTGCATTCAGATACAAAATATGAAGTTTGTATTCATTCTGGAGTGCTTCCTACAGCTGGGATATTGCAGGAGGAACCAAGAAGTGGGAGTCTATCACTCTATAGATGGCAGATTTTCTTCTCTTACAGGCCACGGTCACACGCCTGTCTGACTTTTGGCTTAATGTCATTAAAGATGACAAAAACCTAGGCTACTGATTACATTTTTGCTCATTTCTGATGTTTCTTTCGAGAGGAGTTGAGTTAGGAGAAATCCTGGCCACCTCTGGGCCCTTTATTTTGTTCTAGGGGAGAGCAGAAGCCCATCTAAAGAGCAAATGCACAAAGACATAGGGAGCAAAGCAAGGCTGGCTCCTCTCTTCCTGGAGGGTGCGCCAACACAGTAGGGTTGTTAAAAGGAGATGAAACTTAGGTATCAGACCAGAGCCAACTTCCTGGCACTGGGGTGACTCATTTCCCACCTAAGTCCTTTGGCTTCCCTGTTCCTGGTAAAATAAAACATGAGATTTATATCCTTGCCCTCTGTGTTCTCATTAGTCCTTGGAGGGGGTTTTCACAGATGGTTTACATGCCTGTTCCAAACTTTTGTTTGCTAACATCTTGTATTACATAAGTGGAAAATATTTTTTTTTTAACAGGAGTAAATATCTTAGCCTCTGCACAGAATTCCAAATTAGGGAATTTCAAATTCAAGATGATTTACAATATTTTTCAGGACTTCTGCCATGAAAAAAAATCTTCTAAATTTGGTTTTTAGAGGCTTACTCACCAGAATGTTACAGAAAGATATGCCAAACATTACCTTTCTTATTCAGTTCTATTTCTTGGCTATACCTATTTATCACAAGGGACAGAAAAGAGGGCTGCAATTACCTTCTGAATGACTCAGGAGCATAAGCCACCACAGTAACACAGAGCTTAATGGCTTCACTGATGGAGAATGTCAGGTCTTCGTTTCCATAGCAGAAATCTGCAAAGATGTACAATCAGCATGGGTGGCTCCAGGAGAAACAGAATGCATTGCTACCAAAGTTCTCTTATCTCTTAGATTTTATTCCTGAATTCTGCAAACTATGCCTTGTTTTTTCATCTGAAAAAAACAAAATAATTCTGCTTCCTACATTCAAACCTCTGGATAATGGGGTTGGGTAGATGGGAGGTGGGGGGAAGGGAATGGGAAGAGAGGAGGGAGGGGAAATTGTGGTTGGTATGCAAAATAAGTGGAAAATTTTAATAAAAAAAAGAAGGGAAGTTTTAACAATCTTACATAATAGAAGATACTAAGGCATTCTAATTGTTTGAGGTAGAACAGAAAGTTTTATCTTTGAATTATATCTAATCTGTTCATTACATAACAACAAAAGATCATCCTAGAAGACTATTTGCTTAGAATTACTGAAATTAAACTGTTAGAGTATGGGCCTACTGAGAAACACTTTAGTATGATTTTCACAGCAGAGGATTCCTTATTCTGTAGATTCACAAGAAATTTACGACAAGAAAATAAAATAAAATGTACTTACTTAATGTATAATATTGTTCCATTTATTTTTGTTTTTGATTTTGTTACATATGTAATAACTTTAGTTATGTATAGTTGGTTTTATATATATACACATACATACATCTCTTTGAACAATTGGGGGCAGTTTTGCATTTACCTAGTGACTTAAGGGGCTTCTCAGCTTTAACCAGCTCTAGGATGTCCAAAATATCAGTGGTTTCTCCCTCCAGGGACTGTAGCAAGTCAAAAAGACACTGGGCTGACACACCTTTGCTGGACCCAGTATTGGCAGCATCCTACACAAAACAAAACAAAACAAACAACAACAAGAACACTTTCAGTTTATTGATTGCCACCCGAGCACTAACACAACTAACCTCAAAATTTATAAATCCAAATACACATCACAATAGCTATGTGCAATTCAACTTATATAAAAATTTATAAATCCAAATACACATCACAATAGCTATGTGCAATTCAACTTATATAATTCCGTCTCTGACATTCTGGAGGATTTCAGGGATCTACTAAATGTCAGTGGTAAGTCAAGCACATCTTAAGCTTCCTTCCTGTCCACTCTGGAGCTTTGCAGCATCTCTGCCTGCCTCTGCATTTTGCCCAAACACAAGTGATGCCCTCCTCCTCGGCTGTTACCTTTAAACGTTTCCTTTGGTTGCTCTTTACTGACTCTCTCAGATCTTACTCACCGGGAACTCCAGGAGGGGGGCCACACTAGCAAACAGCTGGAGCACAAAGGGCTTCCGGTGCAGAATGTAGAACTGGTGGCAGGCAAATTCGATGGCTCGACGCAGCTGGGGATTGCTTTCATAGTCAGAGTATACCTACAGAGAAATTCCACCTTACTTAGAAAGTGCTTCCACAGCATGCCAAAGTGGTGTTTCCCCCTAAAACTTCCCATAGTCATAGGAAACAAAGGAAGGGGATAATTGTATAAACTGGTAGGGTGGGTTGTAATAGAGCATCAGCGCTCTTGAGATGATTTGGTGATCGACATAAAACCATACATGCATTTCCCCCTAGGAAGCTAATGACTGGGCATTTATTTCGGTGGAAGAAATCAACATGGTGTTTACCTAAAATTACCTGCTGCAGATTGTTTGTGATAGTGGAAACGTTGAAATAAGTTAATCATAAGTGGTATCCTGTTAAGTGGATTGTGGTACATGCATTGTGTAAATATACCACATTTTTATTATTACTTACTCATCAGTTGACGGAAACCTAGGCTGTTTCCTTTTCCTGGCTATTGTGAATAGAGCATCAGAGAATGTGGGCAAGCAGGTATCTCTATAGTAGGATATAGCATCCTTTGGGAATATACCCAAGAGTAATACAGCTGGGTTGTGTGGTTGATCTCTATGTAGTTCTTTTAGGGATCTTTACACTGATTTCCATAGTGGTGACACCAGTTTGTGCTTTTAAGAGCAGCAAGTGTCACCTTTTGCCCACATCCACACCAGCAATGTCATCATTCATTTTGGGATGTCATTCATTTGTTTCAGATCTTCAGCCATTCTGTCCAGGGTAAGATGCAATCTCAAAACAAGGGAAGCATAGTTGTGTCAAATGATGCTCTAAAGCTCAATAGCTATGTGAAATTCACACGATGGTCTTTATTACTTGAAAAGGGGCTACACATTTGAATATGGTATGATGAAGTTTTATTTTTATGCCAGCATGTTTATTTTTCAGGGAATATAAAAGTTTTCTGGGGAGAAGAGATGCAGGTAATCTCCATGTTCAGTTCAAACTTTGTTGTCTCAATTTTATAATGAGTATAATTACTTTTGGTAACTGATAAAAGGAAAAAATTGCTATTACTTAAAAGTGAGTCAGAGAGTCTTGTGGTAAAAGCAAACTTCTTGCCATCATTGGGATGAAATGGATTGTGCTTTGTACACACATATGCTCTTTTCATAATGTTCATTAAAATCTTCCTCCAAACAGGCAGCTAGGATTAGCCCCAGATCCTGACTGAATTATCTTCAGTACTCTACTCCTAAGTGCAGCCAGATGCACACTGGAGATGTGAGACAGAAAACCTTGCTCAAGTCAACCACTCCAATCCCTTGGACCCAAATTTACGGCACGAGAAATCCCTGTTCAAACTGAGGTCACAGCAGATGGTCATCTGCTGTCCAGCTGGCTCGAGGGCAGCACAGAGGTCCTCTCGCTGTCTACAGGATCTGCACTGCCTCATGGCTTGCTAAAGACACACACTGTTGGGCCCTCACAACAGAACTCCTTATTCAGCAGGTCTGAGATGGGTTTGTAGGAGAGTGAATTTCTACTGAGTTGTTGGGCAATACTGAGGCTGTTATTCCAGATGCCATATTTTGGGAGTTACCATGCCAAAGAACTCGGGAAGACTATCCCAGCTCCTGGCTCTGGGGCAGTATCTCAGGATGGCACAGAATAGTGTGAACACTTGAAATTTTATGCGAGGGATTTCAGTGGGTGCCTTCTGCTGTAACAAAGAAGTTAACTTTGTCATGGAAAGGTCTCTTTACAGATCTTTTTGGACTACTAGGTCTGAGCAGGGCTGGGTTACTTGTGTAGCTAGGAGAGGAGATTCGGGGCACCTGTAGCATGGTGGGGAGAATCCACTGGTAGCCACTGAGAGAGAAGAGGTGATTGAAGTGTACAGCTGTGTTGATGACAGTGGCAGCGTACTGCCTGAGCAGAGCACTGTCTTCCGGGTGGAGAATCAGAGCCCCATTAAACACATTGAGAAAAAGCATGATTTCGTCTCCCCAGGGAAACTCGCTCGGCATGCCCAGGAACATTTCCTCCAGGAGCTGGATCCACAAGCTTTTCTGAAGGGTGTCAAGGCCAAACAGTTCCTTCCCAGCTGTGCGAACATGAAACAGCAGAGACAGAGTAAGTCCCATACCAGTCAGCATGAGCAGGCGACCAAATGTCTGTTTTACATTTATTTGTTCCAACTCCAGAAAATTCTACAGCTGAATGATTTTCCAGCACAGTACTGCCTGCATGGGCACAACACTCCCTCCATCTAAGGATCTGCACTAACACCTCTTTGAGTTAACCGGGGCAAGCCAAGACAGGTATTTGCAGTATTGTGTTGTTAAATAAACTGCATCTCAGAAAGAGGTATTCTAGCTAGACAACAGTGTTGGGAATCAGTGCCTGGCCTTCTTATCACTGTTTAGACCAGAACCCTTTCTGTCAGGGAGCCTGAAGCACAGGGATGGCAATTTAAGTGGCTTGTCCTAAATCAAGGATGGTAAGTAACAAAGTGAGGTTCTCAGTTGGGTCTCTTGCTTCTTCTCTGACTCGGCCTCACTTCAGGCATAAGTCACACTCAAATGCACAGAACTTAAATGGCGTGTTCAGTGACTCAGGTGAACAAAACCCAAGGACTCTGCAGCTAATTTTTATCCTTTCCTACAGCTCCCTCAGGCTTTGCCAGAACTGCACTCACTCCTTCCCCACCCAGAGGCAACTACTGTTCCGATCTGTTTCACTCAGGATTTGCTGGGCCCCCTTTGGATCTTCTTATGCACCCTGGGATTTGCTTACTCAAGGGACTCCCCTGAAGAAACACTGAAGGGACACTAGCCTACTGGAGCATGTGGCTTGGGTAGGCTTTGCCCTTTCTCCTCCCCACCGCCTATTCTCTCTGCATTGCTAAAAACCATTAGACTACATTCCTAAAGCTAGCCCCCAAGGTCTCATCCCTTATTTGACCACTTTCTCCTCCTGAGGCTGACTGCCAACGTCCAGATATCAAGTATTCAAGTATTGAAGCTCCCTTTGGTTCATCTAGTCAACATGTGCAATTAAAATTAAACACCTCATCCTATCATGGGATTTCCTATTTCCCTTTTATAAACCTACATTTTCCTATGTCTCCTCTCTATCCAGAGGCAGTCCTTCATTCCCCTGGGACAAATATCCCTGCCCCACCCTTGCTCCTGTCTCTTTTTCCCTCTTCCTCTATTTCCCCTAACACTGTAAGCATCTTAGCCCATTCTAACACAGACCTTCCCTCTTTCTCTTTTTTCATTCTTAAAAATTACACCTGTAAGGTCACGTGCTGCTGCTTTTCTGCCAGAATTAGAAAACAGCCACTTTAACATTTCTTTTCTGCTTAATAGAAGATCTCTCTGTGAAAACAGGTGTTGAGGGTGAGGTTTATGCCTAATCCAGCATCTGGGAGGGAGTCCCTTTCAAACATCATCTCCCTGCTTCCTTCACCTGCTGCCATCAGCCTCCAGCACTGGTCTCCAAAGCCAGTGCTTGGAAAGGCAGCATCAGCATCCCCAGCATCCTCTGGGAATGTGCTAGACATGTTAAGTTTGGAATCCACCCTGAAACTGGCAGGTGGAGGATGGGCATCTGCATTTTGAATTTCAACATAACCTCCAGCTAACTCAGATGTATACCCAAGCTTTGAGAATCACTGGCATCCAGTGGTCAGATCAAAACAAAGGTATGAAAAAAAGATCAAGAGAAATAGCTTTCTTCCTGTAGTACCTTGAGGGTCACTGAAGAGAGAAAACTCGGCATCGATTGCACTCCGAGGGAAGGAGGGCAGACGAAGAAGGTCCTCTTGCAGCATGGAGACATGTGACTGCTTGTGGGCTGTGGGAATCTTCTGGGTGAGGGAGATGAGAAACAACACCCGCCCTACTTCCTCCAGCTTCCTGGTGAACACCTAGCAGGAGCAGAACAGAGTTAGGAAGTTGAAAGTAGCAGCGTGAAGACACTGAAGATCTTCAGTAACAAACCTGGCTGATAGGATGTAAGGGGGAAGACTGGGAAGAGGAAGGAGTGTCTTAACCACATAGAAAGAATAAACAGTGTTTAATGGACTCTCAGTCCCTGAAGCTGTCTGAGCTTAGGGATGCTGTGGCCTAGAGGAGCACAAATCAGGGATTGTCAAGGGAGTCCAGAACTACACAGAGCCCTATTTGTGTGCATGTTCTAACACAGGAGCCTTTCTCTAACAGGAGCTGGCAGTCAGTGACAATTGCTACTGCTTCTCCACAGATGCCTTAACCTGGAAGTTCTGGGTTTGTCTTTTTAAGAAAACGGAATCTAGAAATAATTAATACAAAACTGACAGCCCCAGATACCCATTTGTTCCAGCGTTTGGAAGACATGTCTCTGCAGCTCATGGTCTCTTCTTTTGATAATCACTGGGCAAAGGAATAGGACTAGGAAGTTCCTGAGCAGTGAACAGCTGTTGCAGAAACTTCCAAGCCAGACCATAAGCCTCCATGTCTTTATCTCCCGGGGGAACATAGACATCTCAGGATTCCAGCTTGGCGTAGAGAGCATAACGCCCTGATTACAGCACTCTTTGAAGTGTGATTTTAAACATAATAATCACAAACACACGCCTGTGAAGTAGCATTTTTGACCATGCTTTTGACTATCTTGGCTGTCAAAATTAAAGGCTATAGTCATTTTGGTGAGGTGATCTTGGACACTGTTCATGGTGAAGACCTTTCAGTTTTGCCCAGCATCTTACAATTGTCAATGGACTCAGCATCTTCTTTCTTTTAAAAGCAATGGAGGCAGTTAAGGGTAGTAATCTTAAAAAAAAAAAACAAGCCGGGCGGTGGTGGCGCACGCCTTTAATCCCAGCACTCGGGAGGCAGAGGCAGGCGGATCTCTGTGAGTTCGAGGCCAGCCTAGTCTACAGCGCGAGATCCAGGAAAGGCACAAAGCTACACAGAGAAACCCTGTCTCGAAAAACCAAAAAAAAACAAAAACAAAAAACAAAAAAAAACAAACCCTCATTTGTCTCATGAATGATATTTTAATGTAAAAATGAGCATCCTTGATGTGTGCAGAAAAATCGAGCTGATCAAATATCTTCAAATTATTGTTTATGTATTTTACTTAAAAATAGAAGTTAACAAATATATAAGCATTAAAACCACATTAAGAAAATGATCAGTTTTGGAATTGTGCATGAAGTCATGTTTTGCATGCAGATTTCTGACTTTCTTTAAGATCAAAGTCTGATTTGTGGTCGAGTATGTGAATGCTGTTCTGTTCTCCCAATATTGGACATAAGTACGACTGCTTGGCTGTGTCTTTTCCTGTTTTCAAAAAGCCACTAAGGTCAGAGTCCTAGTCAGCAGCGCAGGAGGGATGGAATCTAGAGCTCCAGCTCTAGTTCAAGGCTACTTTGAGGCACTATACTTTTACTTATTTTCACCTGGCTGAAGTCGCTGTGTTCATAGTGTCCAAACTATACCATGTATACTTTGTGTGCATGTGGTACATGAGTGTGTACAGGGGTGCTTGGCAGAGGTCAACTTTGTGCATCTTCCTCTATCACTCTCAACCTTATTTTTTTTTATTTATTTTTTTTTGGGGGGGGCAGCAGTTGTCATTGCGCCCAGAGCTCACTATCTCGGTTAGGCTGTCTGGCCAAAGAGCCCCATGGATCCACCTTCCTCCCCCCATCTCCAGCACTGGGGTTACAGACACACGCCATCACTCTTAGCTCTTGATGAGTGTCGGGGATCAGAACTCATGTCCTTACTTGGGCACAGCAGGCACTTTACCCACTGAGCCGTCCGACTTCCCAGCCCCTACTTTTTTCTTTTATTTGAGAAAGGGTTTCACGGAGTTCGTGCTGGCCGTGAAGTTCATATGTAGCTGAGAGTGAGCTTGAACACCCAGTCTGCCTCCACCTCTTCAGTACCGGGGTTGCTGTCATACACCACCATGTGTCACCTATGTATTCTTTCAATACTGCATTATAACAATGTCAAGTGAAAACCCATACCTCGAAACGAGCCAGTTAATAAGTTAGAATATTCCTATTATGTGTTTCATAATAGTATCCCATGTGAGTTTCTCTGAATACCTTATGCACTAGGATACAACTTATAAAACTTGCATGTTTGAGAGGACAATCTATTTTGAGCAAGGTTGTCTATCAGCCATTAACTGAAGGGAGAATCATAACAGAATTGCAGACTCTCAAGGTTGGTGATGTGTGTGAGGTTACCCTCCCAACAACACAACCCAGAATAAAAAGGCGTGGTTAAACACCTGTTTCTGAATGAGCTCCTGTCCCCTTTCCGGATGCATATGTACAAGGTTCAGCTGTGGAGACACGGACCTCCGGAAGGGATAAATATCTCGAACATAGGTCTGTGGTGGGTTACACAGAGAGAGAAAATCCAGTTCAACACCAGTTATGTTTCGTTTTCATTTCCTCTTTATTCGAACGTCAGGCAGACAAAACATTCATTTATTTTCTAATGGTTTTTGTTCTTGCCTCCTTACACTCCTCATTTCTAGAGAACCTTTAAGAAGGCACTACCCCCTCCTCAGGAGAGCTTCCCTCTGCCCAGTCTGGGTACCCATGCTCAGCACTGGGTGTAAGGTCGGGGACACATTACTCTGTTAGAGAGTTAACCTAAGTGATGCTGGGGACCACCTGAAGTGTCATTTTGTCCATTGGATCAAGTCAGCATCGTCATGTTTAAAGTAAGGGGAAGAAAGCCAAAACAGCTGAAATTCCAAACAGGCACACAGCTGCCATTGACTGTCTGCATGGGATGGCTAGTCCTCATTGTCAACTTAACCTCGTGGACTGAGGACCTGGACTGAAGGAAGAGGAGGGGGTGTGCTGAGCACAGGTACTCTTGCTCGGCTTCCTGACTGCAGATGCCATGTGACTGACGGGTCCCCTCTAGTTTTACCGTGTATTTCTGGCCTTAGTGGATTGTATTCAACAGTGAGCCAAAATAAACCTTCCTCCCAAGTTCCCTTCTATGTAGTACTTGGTCACAGCAATTAGAAAAGCTGCCAATACAATAAAAAATATGAATTTTTTACCCATATCAACTATGATGAGTAGCTAAGTGCTCAAGCTGGCCTAGCTCCTTTAATGATTACAACCACCCCAGAACACATACTATAATCACTTTCACTTTACAGATATGGGCACTAAGGGGTAGAAAGGTAAATCAATTGGTCCAAAGCCCAAGAGACCCAGGAGTGCATGCTTATAAACTGAATCAGTGACCCGTTACCAGTAGTAAGCTGCACTTATGCAAGTTTTGGGGAGCTTTCGACACAAGTCAGCATGGACATCATGACGGCAGATTTACCTTGTTGTAGTGGATAAGGTTCCATCGTTTATCCATAAGGAAGTAATGTGTTGACTGGGATTCTGGGATGTTGAAAAACTCTAGACACTCCTAGAACAATAGCAACAAATTTTATAAACGTTTATCAAGACTATATTGCCTGGTAGATAGATGGTATGCTAGAAGGACACAAGGTAATTCTTACAGGGACATGACAACATATAGTGATACATTTATCTAAATGTAATATAGTAAAGGCTGGTAATGTAAATCATCCATTCTTACAGTGTCCAGAGTAGCACAGTTTTAATTCAGACTGACTGACATACTGTGAAGGGACAGTGGCACCTCGTGGGCATAAGATTAGGGAAAGTATATTTAGTATTTATATTATACTATATTACATATTATATTATATTTATATCTAGAATAATCCAAACTATAATACATCCAGTGCTTTTCATGTAGGTAACGTGTGTAACGAAACTAATATGATACTACTGATGGAAAAGAAACTAACTAGAGAGGTCCTGTGATTTACATTGCCCTGGCTGTAATGACGTCATGGAGGGGACTCATGGTTGGAATCTTGATGTCCACCATCCAATGTTAAGTATGCAAACGGGGTGGTGTTAAGAGTTTGCCAGTGTCAGAGGACCTTAGACATTCACCGGCGATCTCAACGAAGTCTGAAAGAGGAGGCATGGCCCCACCTACATGTTTCTACTTATACTAGAGTCCAGAACTGGGTTTCAATCTTCTCTAGTGAGGTAAGATTACTAAAGATGTAGACTCCAGATGACTGAGGGCTGCTGTCCTAGCATCCTTCTTGCTTTACATGAAAAGCCTTGCCGGTACGGGTGGCAATCAACTGCACTTCTTTTGAGGGGGGATTGTTACAACCATTAGAAAATTCTTTCATTGCTGGTCTGATTTATTCTAAAGTATGTATTTTCCTGCATCACCAGTGGTTTCCATATTGTATAGATTGCTCTTGGTGTTACATCAGTTGACGCCTAGAATTTACTTCTCTGAGCAAAACCAGGGCATGGTAAAAAACTAAAACAGGAAAAGCAAATGTTCCTAAACCGGAACTCACAGCTTTCAGGGGAGTTGGGAATAACATCCCAAGGCAACACTGCCATTTGAGACAGAATTTGCCCAATCCTGCCTGCTTTAACGCAAAGCTAAAATGCCAGTTAAAAGTGGTGGAAATTATACAAGTGTGCAACAGTAGCGGGGGCTCTGGAGAGTGAAGAATTGGATGTGTTAGTATGAATACAGAAAGTGCCATTCACTATAATTCTAGAGCATATTTACTGAGGAGGCCATGGGTATGCATAAAAAAAAATCATTTCTGTCAAGAAAGCATTCCTACCTTCAGCAGGGCTTCAAACTGAGTGTCTTCATGGACTGGTAACTGGGTTGGAATGTCACATTCATTCTGTCCATGAACCACCAGGGTTTTGGTACCTACCAAAATTAAAATAACTATGAACATAGTCTTTCATGTAAGTTTGCATTTAAGTCACAAAACATTAAAATTAAAACAGTATCAATGAGCTGATTTCCATTGTCATTACTATCAAGTTCTCTTTAAGTTAGTTTGCTTGCTTTTGAAACAGGTAATAGGATCTTATCTAGTCCAGGCTGACTTCAAACTAGCTATGTAGCCAAGCTTTTAAGAATGTGAGTGACAATATGACTTTTTTGATATAGAATAAAAAGCTGACTACTCTTTTGAATACTCTACACAGCATACAAATGAGTAATTACCCATCACCTGTTGGATGATTATCACAGAGCAGGCCTTTCAAAAGAAGCATTTTATATACAGAAACTAATGCATTCATCATAATTGTGAGTCAGGAATTGCATTTATATATCACACACATGGAAAGGAGGCATGAGAAATGATTTTATTTTTCTACAGTTAATTCTGGTTATATGGCTAATAAATGGCAGGGCTGATTTTAATGCCGGCTTCTCCGCTGTGGAACCTATGTTCTCTCCTCCACATAATTTAGCCGTTCTCTTCATTTCAATACACATATTATCTTATATTTTAATACCCTCCACTCAAGGACAAAGCATTGTTAAAATCTTCATCTCAAGGGCAAACAAGCTGTGCTGAGTGGAGAGGAACGGCATCCAGAGTTGACAACACACACTGTGTTCTTTCCTAATTCTCCCTCTTCCGGTTTTTCCCTTCTCCAACTTTTCAGAAAGCCTCCTCTCAGTGAGTTTACAAAGACCCAGGGTCCTTGCCGTACAAACAATATTATTCAAATGGCAGTGTCAAAAATTCACTCACAATGGCTTTCAGTCCAACTGGCCCGCTGCGATAGACTTAAATAAATCTTTAACCTTGGCTACTCTTCAAGGCTGATTCACTGGCACTCTGTTCAGATATCTGCCTTTTCATCTCACAACTCCTGACTTTTTGAAGGGGCTATTATATTTCTCCTGGCTATACTAAACAAAAATTCTTGAATGCATTCAATACTAGGGGTTAGAACTCTTATTTTTCTTGTGAATAAAAAAGTCGCAAGTCTTTCAAAGGAGCATACATATACATATATAAATATGCATAGGGATTACCTGGCATGGAAGCAGTGACCAGCAGCTTCACTTCACATTGCTCCTTCTTCATTGTCTGCTTGAGATCTTTGAAGAAGAGGCCCTCCACATAGCCGACCACCTCCCACAGGAAGGTCAGTGTGGCAGAGATGGCATCCATCCCCCACTCACATGGAGTCCTCACAAAGTACATGATTAGTCCCACCTGAATCAAAAGAACAACAACCACAGAGCCACATTCTTCCTACACTTCAGTTCCCATTTCCTTGGCTTTTCTTTGTAAAATGATATCACCCCTGCATTTCTAGTCTTTGCTCAAATGCTTCCTTAACACTTCGGTTACATTCCTTAACACTTGCACTAGGCAGGCGAAGAGAACAGAAAATCTTGGCAAAGCTGGCTTTCATGTGGATTGGGTTCTTAGTTTTTCCTGGGCTGGCCAACAAGTGGACACTGAGAAGGGAGACCACATTAGTCATAGACACAGTAAATTACAAACATCGCCTGCACTTCTAGATTTTTAGTGTGAGCTAAGTCTGTCACACTGCTGTAGACGCATAGGCGTATGGGCGTATAGCTTTTTCCCTCATAATGGAAAGAGAGAAAATGTCCACAAGGATATTTACTTGTCCTACTGTCTGTCTGGATTGAGGGACAATTTCAAAATAGGTAGCATGCCCCACTCTCCAAACCGCATGCATAGTCATTTGTGTTTTAAGGAGAAGAATGTGAAGAAACAACAGATAAATCTGGGAGGGGTCAGAGAGAAGCTGCCGAAGCATGATGAAACGTAAGAGTCGCTACGGAAAACTACATTTATGATTTCCTTCTAGCAAGTGTGTGTGTGTGTGTGTGTGTGTGTGTGTGTGTGTGTGTGTGTGTGTGTGTGTGTATGTGAGAGAGAGAGTGTGTGTGTTAGTTAGTTAGTTAGTTAGTTAGTTAGTTAGTTAGTTAGTTAAACAGCAAAACAGGAGAAGGGGGTGCGGTGGGAAAACTAACCATGACATGAACTAACATTGGAAAGTTGCCTAAAGCAAATTTAGAGTATCAAGAAAATAACATTTATTGAGGATCCACCACACACCAAAGATTGTGCCAGGCAGGGCTTTCCTCATATTAAAAGTGGAAACTTCTGCTGACCCTCCTTCAATTATATAACTATTGGGAATTTATTGATGAGGGATCTCTATGTTTCTTTCTCCATGTTCCTCATTCCTACCAGAAATCATTTCTCATCTATTAGCTGCTGAGACTCACCAAGTAGTTGAACAGGATGTGTGATGTCTGAGCTGGAAAGTCTCCAATATTTAAGAGAAGTTTGCGCAGCATGTACATTAGCTCATCCTGGAAGAAGAGCAGATGCGTCAAGCCCTCAATCAGCAACCACGTTGTCAGAAACTAACTGCTTGAAAATAGAGGGGGAATTTTCCTAACTTTTGCCCATTAGTTAATTTCAATCATACTCACCACTTTAACATGGCAGAGGAGAAACCAATCCATAGAGACTGGTACTATATGTGATTCTTACTATTTAAATGAGCGGGAATACTTTTCTTTTATGGATACTATATAAATATCACCAAGGAGCAGGAAATTTTATTTTAAAATATGACCTTGCGCTGTGTTTACAGGTCACTGGTAAATCATGGAAGAGCTGCAAACTTAGCTCTTTGTATTTGTTATGGCTGCCAGGTGTATAGGGAATGTGGGGAGGGCCTAATCTGAGAAACTAATATGAACACCAGGTGAATTGACTTTCCTAGTTTGGTTTCCTAGGTCTCAAATCAATGAGATAAAATGAAGCCAAAGCGAAAATAAATTGAAATGCCTGTAATTAATTTCGCTTCCCAGAAACCAAACTCAATCTCCCAATGAATACAATCACTGATATAGTATATTATATATTCTAGTATATTATAATAGAAATCATTTTTAATCATCAGATTTTTTTTATTGTCTAGAAAACTACTTTTTTTTGACACCTTACAGGTGTTCTGGTAAATTATCTTTTTGGGTAATGGAGAACGTTAACATATTGAAATAATTCCACTAGCATTCCAGGCTACCAAATAACTAGAATTCTTTAAATGAATTCAACCCTAAAAACAACAAACTTCATTTTATATTTGTTTAAAATATTGATAATCTTGCAAGAATCTCAACTGCATTAGCAAAAACTAATATTGCTCATTACTACATAAAAGGCATCCATTGGCTACACATGAGAATATGCTAATATCACATGGCAGCGCTGTAAAGCCCTTCGCTTGCTTCCAGCAGAACTCATACTCGTAGCTACGGACAAGGAAGAGCAACTCACTTGTCTATTGCTGATGGTCAATTTTTCCAGAAAATGTCGAAGAACTGTTGATGGATCTTCAATTAGACAGTTCCACAAGACTTGCTGGGCTACAGCACTGACTTCAGAAGAGAAAAGTGGCCATCAGTCCATCAACTAGAAGAAGTTTTCAAGCAATTTACTAAGCATTAATGAGTCCTTTCTTTCGGCTTTCAAGAGTTTTCTGAAGTTGATGTTCTTCTATTGTGTGGGTCCCAGGGATCTAACTCCTGACCTGCCAGGCACGCTGTACCCATTGGCCCAACAGTGGCATGGTGGTTATAGGGGAAACTAACCTCGTATGATCAGATTTGAGGCCGCTCCGCAGGATGGATTTCATAGCTGGTACTGTAATTTGATCAACAGCCCATGACGAGGGCTCTAGAGGGAACCTACTGGTGTTCTACTAAACGGTCATATTGTCATACTACCTCTCAACCTCTCAATATTTATGTTTATGTTAATGTCTTCGGATTTGTGTTGCTCTTATCCTTGGTCAGAGACGTTCTTTTTTTTTTTTTTTTTTTTTTTTTTTTTGCAGAGAACTACTTAACACAGAGACTCATGATTGGTCCAAGTCCTGAGAATAAGTGGTTGCATGTATTTAGCTGTGCAAGGGGTCTTCCGTATGACCCCCTTCTATCCAAGGATCAAGGAACATTGTGGAAGAGTGGGTAGAAAGGATGTTAAAGAGCCAGCAGAGGGGTAGAACAACTGCAAAATGTTGTCTTCTGGACATGACATGGCTGGTGCAAAATCCACTCAGCAGGTGTGGTTGCCTGCAGGAGATTAAGGCAGAAAAAACTCCAGTATGGGTGGAGGATGAGCCTGAGTCTGAACTTTTAGCTCAGGAGCTATTGGCATTTGATGGCTGTTGAGGGAGGGAGAGTTACTCTTCTTTGGGCCTGTGGCTATTAGCAAGTTGCCTCTGCCTCAGTGGATAGTCCTACATCATTTGCACAGGGTCAGCAATAACTGGATGCAGGGGGCTATTAATAATGATAACAATAAAAAAGAAAGCATCATTCCTCGGAGGATGGCTCAGTGGTTAAGAGGACTGGTTGCTGCTGTTCAAGAGGACCTGAGTTCAATTCCCAGTACCCACAAGGTGGCTCACAACCATCTGTGACTCCAGTTCTAAGAGAGTTGATGCTCTCTTCTGGTCTCTGCAGGCACCAGGCATGAATGTGGTGCACAGATGTATATACAGGCAGAAACCATACACATAAAAAATAAGATAAAATAAAAAGAAAGAAAACATCAACCTGGGAAGGAGAAGGGTTTGTGGGTCCCAGAGTGAGTTGGAGGGAGGTAGAAAGAAGGATGCATAAGAGTAAAATTGTGCCAGGCGGTGGTGGCACACGCCTTTAATCCCAGCACTCGGGAGGCAGAGGCAGGCAGATCTCTGTGAGTTCGAGGCCAGCCTGGTCTACAGAGTGAGTTCCAGGAAAGGCGCAAAGCTACACAGAGAAACCTTGTCTCGAAAAACCAAAAAAAAAAAAAAAGTAAAAATATGCACATGTGTGAAATATTCAAATAATTAAACTATTATTTTTTAAAGAGTAAAATGCAATAAAGCTCATGTGGTCATGATATGAAAAAAAAAGGTCCTCTGAACACTTTCTATATTGAAAAGTGGAAAGCTGTTGGTTTTGTTTTCACTGAATATTTGCTTGTGTAAGGAAAGGAAAGCAAGAGGGAGTTGGTCTTTAGGTATTGGCATTGCTTGGCAAGCATTACCTTTGCAATTATATGTGGTAGTCCTAGCCCTGGAGACCAACCTAATGTTGGCAATGTAAGTCTTTGTTAAATTAAAGTCAGATCAGCATTTTGTATAAATTCAGCTTTAAAATTTAATTTCTATTTTATTTAAACAATTTTCAGATCATATATATATATATATATATATATATATATATATATATATATATATATGAGGGTTTTGCCTAAGTGTATATATGCCCACTACATGTGTGCCTGGTGCCTGCAGAGGTTAAGTCAGAAGAGGATGTTGGATCCCTTGGAACTAGTTACAGATGGTTGTGAGCCACCATGTCAGTGCTGGGAATCAAACCAAATGCTCTTAACTGTTGAGCCATCTCTTTAATCCCAGCATAAATTCCAAAAGCAATTATTTAGGTTTTAAAATATGGTTTGGCTTAAAATACAAATGAACTAGGGAGGAATTTTTATCATCCAGATACTTTAAACAGTATCCATTTCGGCAAGATAAAGCAGTTGAGTTGGCAGTAATTCTGTTCTAGGAATAAATACATAATCCTATGGGGACAGTGCTACTTCATTGTAACACAAGGTCAGGATAAGGTTCCCTGGGTGTGTACTGGGAAAGGAAGCAGAGGAGGGTTGGTCAACAACACATGAACTTTAGTTTGAACAGTGGCCCTCAGTTCTGCTGGTTTCCAAACTAAAAACTTAGACTGTAGTATGAATTTATCATTTAGCCTATATTTTGAATAAATTATATTAAGTTTTTGCTTCATAAATTAACATCAAATTAAGATCAAGAGCTATACAAATAAATGCTATGAATAAGAAACATGTCAGTATAAGCTTTAATTTTCAAGTATCTTTCTAAATAATTAAAATGTGTGTGTGAGTGTGTGTGCGTATGATGCTGGAGACTGAACCCAAGGGTTCACACATGCAAAGCAAAGGTTCTACCACTGAGCTCTATACACAATCCAGAGATGGGGTTCCTAGGTTAAAACTGCTTACTAAAATATCTGTATAAGATCTAAAAAAAATCTTACTGCTTTAATAAAGCAATATGATGTTTAAAATGTTGAAATACAGAAAAAAATTGGAGAGAAAAATAAAAACTGTTAAGTTCATCAATACAGAAGGCTACTAACTGGAATCTGCTTTTCATATTCATGAAAATCATACATACACATATTTCAAAGCAGCATATAGAAAATGTTATTTCAAACTCTACTTTGCATTACACAGAACACTCTTTAAATTAATTTTCTTGACTCTGACTTCCAAAGCATTGAGAATGCTATTATACAGAGGCAACAAGATTAATTGATACCCTGTGCTTAGGCATTCACATTATTTTCAAAGATTCATTATCATATATGATATATAATGTACAATGTCCTCTACAAATTTTTATATGAAAAAAAACCAAGTCTATGCTAAAGGACTTTTCTGCCTTTTTATGCATATTGTGAAACAACATTCCAATGCTTGTCCCAAATTTATGCCTCTCCTGTGAGGTGCTAGCATGATATCTTCCTTGTTTCTTCACTAACTTTGGACAGTTAAATTTGAAATAAGTTTTGCAGTTTTGTAAACAAAATGTGAGATAGTATTGTTTATGTAACTGTGTTATTCATGGGTGTTGTTGGCCTAGAGACTGTTCACATCTTTTGCTCATTGGAGGTGGGGTGTTAAAAATTATTATTGAGTTTTAATATTAATAATATAGATCTTGTGCTCTCTCTTGCAGTATATATATATATATATATATAAAATTGGAAGAATAGTAACCTAAGCTGAGTCTGGTGGCATAGGCTTGAAATTACAGCTATTTGGGCAGCGGGTGCTGAGACAGGAGAATTTCAAGTTCAAGGCTTGCCTCAGCTATAAGTGAGTTTAAAGCAAGCCTGGGCAACTTAATGAGACTACGTCTTAATTCTTTTTAAAGGAAGAAGAGGATTGAGGGTACATTTCAGTGTGAGAGCTCTTGGTTATTATGTGCAGGACCCTGGGTTCAATCCTTAGCAAAGAATGTAAAAGAAAAAAAAATAGGCAAAAAAATTAACGTTTTGCCCATTATAAATATAGCCACTGTATCCCTATTTTACTGTTTCTTCTTTCAGACTTCTCTTTATATCTGGAAAAATAATCAAGTAGGAATGAAGGTTTTGGTGTGACTGAATTAATAGCTAAGATTTCTGAGGTGGGAAAAAAAATCACTGTTTGACATCTTGATAAAATATGTACTGACCAAATATACTTTCTGGTCATAAAATTTTTTCATGGACCTAGCAAACTATTTTAAAGAAATTTCTTGGTAAAGGTAATAAAAATACCAAGAGAAGGAGGCAGAGAAGTGGCAACATTAGCATGCTATGTTAAACATCTATAATTATATACATCTGTAAATATAATATACATAGAGCAATCTAGCATGTGGTAGGTAGATTGTATGTTCAAGAGAAAAATGTCTGTTTCCCTTCAAATGAGTGGGGTAAGAACGGAACCATTTGGCTGGCCCAATGATACCTGCCACTCCATCTTCTCGCACCTCTCCATCCTCCATTAAATGAACAATGGGAAGGACCGCGGCGCAGATGCATGCTGGGAATACTGCTTGTGGAGGCTGAGGCACGTGGTGGTTTGGTGTATGTTCAGTGGTGCGTTCCTCATCTGGGGGGAGAGACAAAATCCCAATGCAACCATGATTTCCAGTTCAAATCCTGTTTGACAATACAATCTATAATACTGCTAAAAAGTTAAAAAAAAAATGTGGCTTTATGGAGAGTGCCTCCCCCTATAAAACAACAGAACTAACCCACTTCCCAAGCACTGTCATTATCTTGTACTGCAGAGGAAGAGAAGCACAGATATATTAAGAGAGGAAGTTAGTTCATAATATGCAATCAGAGAAAGTAAAATTCTAAGTGAAGACTAAGGCATTTTTTTCATAGATGTCACAAACATGTGTGAGAGATTATAAGCACAAACATTGGGTAGCAGAAAGCATGTGAATTTACGGCAGGCATAGTGTAACCCAGTCATATTGATACCCTCATCTGGTAAGTCCAATAAATATTAAAATCGATAATTACTTCACTTAGAATAAAGAAAAAGGCAGTGGAGGTAGTAGACATCAAGAAAGGTAGCAAAGTTATTTACCAGCAGATTGATACAAAAATAAAGCCACTTATTATTAATACAAAATAAACATTTTTTTTTATAGAATATAGAGAATGTTGAGTCTTTGAGTCTCCTATCTTCTGTGACTGATGAGATTTTAGAGGTCCTATGAAGGGCTGGAAGACAAAAGCTTATTGTTCTCAATTCTACTTCTCATTAGAAGTATGGGATGCTAACAAAGATGGGTGGGTGGATAGATGGATGACAGACATCTGTCACATTACAAACTGTGTTCACTCTTTTTTTTTTTTTTTTCAAAACAGGGTTTCTCTGTGTAGCTCTGGCTGTCCTGGAACTCACTCTGTAGACCAGGTTGGCCTCTAACTCACAGAGATCCACCTGCCTCTACCTCTCAAGTGCTGGGATTAAAGGTGTGCACCACCACCACTCAGCTTTTTTTTCTTTTTTGACTTTATTGACTTTCAATAAAAAGTGTATAAGGCACTCAAAGAAACAAGAAATTTCTGTTCATATTCAGGAACAAATACAATCAATGGAAACTGTCCTGGGGATGCTTAGATGTTATGGTACTTATTAGGCAATGGTTTTGAGGTAGTTATTATGAATATGCTGTATTTTCATATAAGTGCCATATAAATGAAGGTGATTGTAACCTAAAATAAATGTTGCAAAACTGTGTTTCATGTGACGTATTTTGTCCTCTAATATGGAAGACATAAATCTTAGTTTATTCATCAATTGCAGGAAGTGAAAATGGACTAAATTCTCCAAACAAAAGGCAGAATTAGTGGAATGGGTAAAAAAAAATGAACATATAAACTTGGCTAAAAATCAATCTATGTATAAGAATCATAATATTGCTTCAAACATACAAACATAAGCATGTGAACAGAAATAAAAAGAGAGTTGGAATGGTGAACTTCATGCTAGATGATGTATATTTTAAGAGAAAAGCTCTTACTACAGGCAAGGATAGATTTTTTTGATAAAGACTCAACTTATCAGGAAGATTAATCATATGCATATATGCATGTAATTGTCGAACTCTAAAAATATAAAGTAAATAAAGGCAGAAGTAAAAGGAGAAAAATAATGTGACAATAATCAATGGAGACTATATAATTTTTCATAAGAAAGCAGCTAGACAGAATTCACAAGAAAATCAAATATGTAGTAATTACCTTGACTCTAAAACACCAGTCAATCAAATCACAACTCATAGAGGAAATTAAAAGGACTTTGATTTTTATGAAAAGGAAAACCATATATCTCTACTTTTGGAATTCAGCAGGAACAGTGTTTAGAAGGCAATTTATACCTGTGTATCTACTCGGTTGTGTATATTCTCTGATACTGAAACTATTTGATGACAGCACAAGAAATGAAACTGGAGACCAATATCCCTCATGAACACATGGGTGAAAACCCTTAGCAAAGTCTTGTCAAATGGTATCTAGAACCATGTAAAAGAAAGACTGCATACTATGAATAAGACTGTGTATCTTTGGAATGGAAAGTAAGCATAGTACAACCTATGAAAAAAGGAATGCAACATACCATGTCAATTAAATGAAGAAAAAAAAAAGCACAGGAGAATTTTTTTTTTTTTTTTTTTTTTTTTTGGTTTTTCGAGACAGGGTTTCTCTGTGTAGCTTTGCGCCTTTCCTGGAACTCACTTGGTAGTCCAGGCTGGCCTCGAACTCACAGAGATCCGCCTGCCTCTGCCTCCCGAGTGCTGGGATTAAAGGCGTGCGCCACCACCGCCCGGCAGCACAGGAGAATTTTAATTGGTGCATAGAAACCATTTGACAAACATAAGATCATTTTCATGATTAAAATATGAAAGCCCTGCGAATCAAAAGGAATTTCCTTCACATTACAAAGATTATTTACTAAAAATTCATAGTTCATATCGTAATTGAAGGTGAAAGACTAAACGCTTCCTCTTTAGGACTGCTAGCAAGACAAAAATATATATTGTCACTGTTTGTAGTAACATTATCCTCGAAACTTAGCAGGGCTAAGTAGTCAATAACAAGAAATACAAGGAAACTACATTAGGAAAAAACGTGAATAATTTCTGTTTGCAAGTGACACATTAGTAATAAAAAGCCTTGTAAGTGAAATTTGAAGAACAAGATCCTATAAACTTGCAACAACAACAAAAAAAATAGGAATAAATTCAACAAAAGAAGTGTAAGCTTTGTAGACCAAAAGTCACACCCATTATAATAGTATGAATGGACAGATAACCCATGTTCATGGGTCCATTGATTAAGATACATCTGCCTGATGAACCCATCTTAAAATTCACACAGGAATGCCAAGAGTTCAAGAATAGCTAAAATAATCTTAGAAATGAAAAACAAAGTGAAAGAGGAAAGTGAAAGTCCTCTTTCACTTTGCAATTTAAAAACTTAACTAGAAAGCTATAACCAAGACTGCCTGGGGTTGGGATCAAGATAGAGACCAAAACAGATCAGTATAATAGAATCATGAGATAGACACCTTCACTCACAACCAAGTGTCTTTTGAAAATAGTGCCAAGAAAATTTAAGGAAGAGCATAATTAGTAATTTATAAATGGAACAACTAGACGCATCTGAGCAAAGAATAAAGCTAATATTACAAAAACTTTGAACTCAAAAATTGCTCACATAACTAAATATAAACTTTAAGCCATAAAGCACTTCTGATATTATAATATATTTTAGAACAAAGTAGTCATGAAGAACAACATGTTGGTCAGAGGACACACCTTCAGCACTGACTGCTGAACGTACGGACCAGACTGACCCTCTGCGGAAGGAGTAGTTTCTGTGGGATGTGCTGGAGGTGCAGGATGGACTCACAGACAGCCGTCGGGATGTCAGATTGGCGACTTCTTCTACTGGCAAGCAGAACGGGGAATGTGAATTTTGGTTTTCTAACCCAAATTTATCATCAGTACAAGTAAAGTTGTACTTACATCAAGTACGGCCACCCTCAGACCAGAATGCTTAAGTAACTTTACCGCATACTTAGAAAACAAAACATAGCACTTCTACAGAACAGAAAATGCCTCACAAAATTTCCCACAAAAAAACGAACAGAGAATTAATGAATTTAGAATGGTTCACTAATCATTTTTTTTGATAACCACCAGAAAGTTATCTATACTTGGGAAGGTTAAAAGTGGTTAATGGATGAACTCATTTTTAGTAAGGAAGACTCAGTGCATTTGCTGTCTTGAGCGTGGTGGATTCAGCCTCCCTGGATCACAACCAATGCTTGTCCTGCTATCAGACTGATTTGCTCAAGGTTACTACCACTCTCCAGGGACAGGACAACTCTAACTTTAGAAACAGCATTTTTTACCCTCTCCTTGTGAGGGAGAGACAGGGGCAGGCATTTCACATGGTGTCATCTCTGTTTAACCTGAAAGCAGGTGTTTTCCCTGTGGCATGCCCCTCCCGCATAAAATCCCCATTAAAAAAAGGTGTGAAAGCACCTTCTTCCTCAGGCTCAGAGTTGGGGGTGCAGGTGGGCTCATAGCAAGCCTCTTGGGTGATGGGGATGGCGGTAATGAGGCTCGCCTCACGACCGAGGCGTTTCTTCTCTTCTTCCTGCTGCAAGTTCTTTAAGATGTGCTCTGCCCTCTGATGAGAGCGGGACACAGCCCGGGCAGAGAAGGATTTCTGTGGAGACACAAAAGCAAGTGCATGGTCTCATTTCTTACAGGGTCACAGGCACAAAGAGTGATCCAACAAATCACTCAAAGGTGGGAGTTTGCCCTTATGAAATGATAGGCCATTCACGAGTTAATTCAAATCTATCTATCTATCTATCTATCTATCTATCTATCTATCTATCTATCTATCTATCTAAATCTGTCTATCTATTTACCATTCTATCTATCTATCTATCTGTCTGTCTGTCTATCTATCAATCATCTACCTATCTGTCTATCTTACTCAAGTCTATCTATCTATCTATCATCTATCGATCGATCTATCTACCTACCTACACACACACACACACACACACACACACACACACACACACACACACTAAATTTCTACAGTTGGTGACTCCCCCCACCACTCATCATTGTTATTTCTCAAGAATGTTTGTAATTTCTGGAGACAATTCTATTTCACATGTTCAGTTGATATCAATTCACGACTTAAACATGAAGAACAACTTTTATTAAACTGGCTTTAAATGAAGTATGTTTATCATATAAGGTCAGTAAAATGGAAAGACAGAACATGCGAAGGAGGAAGAATGCGACATGCCTCTCAAATAAGCTAGTTAGTTACATGGTTTACTTCATTTTATCACTCAAGTGTTTAGCACAACATAAATAACATTCATCAGTAAGTACAGCAGCACACTGGAAATACTTTGCAGGAGAATGTCACTGAATGGAAAGTAGGACACTATAAAGTTTTACCCAGGTTGAACGTAAAACATGAAGTGAAAAACTTTAAAACCAATCTACTGTTCCACAGGTGAAAGATAGAGACAAAGAACAGAAGATTCATCCCATGCAGTGGCTACACCATTCATGCCTTCCTTAGTCATGATGTATATGCTGAGATAGATGCTGAGAGCTGTAGGGACAGGCAGGGATCCGAGCAAAGCAGTGGCCACGAGAGTCTTTCTCTGACAATTTGAAGGACCAGCAAATCCGCACCTCTCTGTTGCCCTGTAGTCACTGATGGTTCTGGAGATTTTGGCTTCATTACAGAAGCTCCATTAGGTAGGATATTAACACAAGGCTAACAGTTTACCATGATGAATAGTACGACAGATGAATAGTACAGCAATGAATCACATGGTTAATTTTCAGAGCCAGGTAGCTAAGCCGGTCTGTTATAAGGCATACTATAGGAATCGGAAATATATTCAACTAATGTTTTCAAAGATGTGTGAATTAAAACACCAATAATTTCTTTTTACCATTCAAAGAAGTAGTATGAGCTGCAGTCCCCACCCCAACCCCACACACACTGCAAAAAATTATATTGGTGTTCAAAATTTTGTAGATTGACTGGCTAGAATTTCTGGTTTGTGGAAAGTAGCAATGTTGCAGACTGAAAGCCAAAATTATCTTGGGCTATATTTAGTCCCCTTAATAGCCACTAACTACAAACTTCTGCAACTGACCTAACAGCCCTTTTAACAAGCAACCTTTGGGATGTCTTAAATTCATTAACCACAAGGCCCCATCAACCTCCAAGCTAAAGTGTTACAGGGTAGCACCTGAAGCAAGAACTCCTCATCTTTCTTCTGTAAGTTTCCTGTCTCCCCATACATGTATTTAGTAAATGTGTTGATTAATGATTTTCTTCTATTCTGAGACTATAGGTGTTCATGAAACTTTTTCCAAGGCATCATTCAGAGTAGCATAAATCTACATCCCTAAACCATGCCACTGATATTTGGTTCAGAATGAGTTATCTCTTATTATCCTTACAGCAAGAGATGAGTTTTGCATTGACAACAGAAAACATATTTTTGTATAAAGTATAAAAGGTAATGGTGCAATCCTTCTGAAGGCCTTTTAGGAGATATGTGAGATATATTTAACATATACACACCAAATTATGGAAATTCCATGGGAGTTTGTTCATGGACATAATGGTGGGACTGTACTGAGGTGTGCTCCCTTTCTGTTTTTGCTTCATTTTTTGAGTTTTTAAAAAGCATTGTTGTTAATGTAGAGGTATGCTATTCAATAGACGATAAACATGTATTTCGAAGGCTCATCTATTACAAAAGGCACAAATTCGTGGGTTTTTTTTTCTGTAAACAAACCTAGCTGTATCTGTTACACGTGGCAGCAATACATAGGAAGACTGTAACTCCTAAAGTTTTGAGTGATGGTGGCAATGATGATGGTGGTGATAACAAAATTAGAAATAAACAAGAAGCAGAAGCTGCTGACACTTTACTTCTTACTCTTGCTGGATCCATGTCTTCAACCGCCAGGCAGCTCACACATTGCAGTTAAATTAATATAACAACAAACAGCAGGAAAAATGTTTCGTTTGCCAGTAAATAAATGCCTGTTTGATTCCTTGACAATAAAACCAAACAGCTTGATAGAAGCTAGTTTCTACTATCCCCGATACTGCGGTCCACTGGGGCTTTCTCTGTCACTGCATTCTCATGACGGGGATGGTCAAATGGTTTCATGCATCCCATGCAAGGTGGAGACATGGGAAAGAAAGGGCCCGGTACTCACGGACTGGTCTTCATTAATGGGGTCCTGGACACTCCCGCTGCACTGAGGGACCCACGGAGGGTCAAACATTGGGACAGATGGCATTCCAAGTACTGGTGAGGGCAGGGTGAAGTTTATGCTGGGAGGCGGGATCTGTTAGTTGACACAGAAGAGTGAGGTGAGGAGGATGGAATAGAAGCTGGAAAGAGTCCGAGGTAGAAGTAAACACAGCCTTAGTAGGTGTCAAGGGTCTGAGCAGCTCCTTAGAGGTATAAGAAACACCAGAGGAAAGGGCTGTCTTCTAAGACTTTTCTGTTACAGGACACAGGATGATCCTCTTGGGGTCTCAGTTTATTCATTAGTAAAATGAATGTTTTAAGAAAATGATCACAAGTTGTGCTGATCACTCTATTCTGCCCTAAACATCTGTATGTGTGTAGCAAGCAAAATGCCTGGACGGTTACAAGCCACACTTAGGTGCTTACCCCCAAGGCTGCTACTGACTTGATTTTCTTGTTCTGCATTCTTGTATATTCCAATTTGTTTAATCAAATAGAATTTATTTATATATGGGTTAAATTTACCAATTCTTTGGCTGTACATTGCAAGTCTGTGTTTCATGGATTTAAAGAAGCCCTGGGTTGGTTGTGCTGATCTAATTTCCACGTACAGAGCACCCCTCACCTTAAAAATCTGCTGTGCTCCCTCCTCCATCCTTGGCCAGACCTGATAGCGAAACCTCCAGAGCGTGTGGAACTTGAGGACAGCATTCAGCCTCTGTACAGTTTCTGCATGGTGGAACTCGGACATCAGCATGTCTGACACAGCTTCAGGGACCTTCACCGCACACAGCAGGAACATGGCAGCTAGAGACAGCCAACAGGTAATTCACCAGCTGCACATCTTAAGATGTTGCCTTATTTCTAGGGTTGAGGGGATATGGGAACTGCTCCTATCTCCTCACAACCACTCCTGAGGTGAAGAGGCTTAGCCACCAGCAGGGGCCAAAGCTAACAATGTTCCAGCCACTAGAAGCTAAACAGCAAACTTTGTTTGACCAGGACATCTACTAGCTGGTGCCAAAGCAGGGACAGCATGACATTTCAGCAGAATACTCATTCTAAGCAAAGCTTCTTTTGGCTCATGGTGAAAAGGCAGAGCCAGAGAAAACAATGAAAAAAAGTTATGCAGTGAAATGTGCCTTTTAGGAAATGGCTAGACTCTTCAGTAGTGATCCAAGGATGACACAAGGATACAGTCTTTAAAACAACTTCAGCTCTGTCAGCTCTATGAAAAGCAAAGTCCATGATGTAGACTCTAATCAGGACATTGGCCCTTCTCAGAGATGGAGATGCAAAATGTGATTCCATGAATCAGAAGACTTAAAATCTTAAATTTTGGCAGAAGCTAAATATTAATAAGAGAAATATGGGTGTGGTGGTAGTTATAGGGCATGTGAGTGAAGAGGAACACCCCCATAGCACAGATAGAGGGGCCAGTGGCAGGCATAAGGACATATTTTCTCTCCCTAGAGCCCCAAATCATGCTCTGTTGTGCCAACAGAATTGAGGTTGGGTCCTAGCTCTGACACTTCTTTGCTACACGATCTTGGACAAGACTCTTAACCTCGGAGCTTCCATTTCTTCCCTTGAAAATGGCCAGGAAGAACGACGATGAGTGCTTGATAATATCCGACTCCAAGTTTACTATTCCAGGAAAAGGAAAAGGATGCTCAGGAAAGCGCTTTGTGCTTCTGCTGTGAGTCTGAGCCTCTCACGGCTGCCTGAGCCATCCTTCCAGCCTGGAAAGAGCCTTGTGTAATGAGAAGTGCACTGAAGTTCTGAAGTGCATTTTAATTTTCTCTAGCAAAGTGATCTAAAGCACAACCATTTATAGTGTGCTGTCTAAAGGTCTGGGTTGGATTTTTATGGCTCTCTGGTTCTCCGTGGGACAAACTTCCACAAGCTCCTTCAACTCTGACTTGAGTTTGTCCATCTATCCAATGAGGTACTTGTGCCAGGCAATAGGGCACACACCTGTAATCCTAAACCATTTTAGCCTACTATCTATGTCAATATCCACTTTTCAGTTTTTAAATGTGTTCCACCCTGCTTCAATTTTTAAACACCATGTTTATATTTTACATATTGAAGAGTTCTACTTTAGTCTTCTTACCAAAATAGTTTTCTCATAACAGTCATAAGCTGCCAGCAGACCAAATTGTGTGTGTGTGTGTGTGTGTGTGTGTGTGTGTGTGTGTGTGTGTGTGTGTAACAGCAATTCCTTCCTCCATAAAATCTTAGCACCTCCATAAAAATCTCTGAGAAGAATTGGTCTCCTTTGCTTTCATGGCTTTGGAAGTTGAAAGCTCTCATCACTTTTTTGGGGGGTCTTTTTTCTGCTGAATTTATTTCTCTAGAACTCTGAAGGTAAAGAAGGCCAGTGCTTCAAGGCCATCTCTGTACTCTTTCATTCTATAGACCCCTTCCCTCAAGAGACACCAGGCACCCATTGCTTCAGCTGCCACAGGCATCATGATGCACACCAGTGTCTTACGACTAACTCTAAATGTCACCACTTACTGTTCACTTAAAACCAATCACTACTTTAATTTCAGGCTAGAGATGAATCTAGAACCTTGTACACACTAAGTAAGTGCTCCACCAGTGAGCTGCATCCTTAATCCTTGAAAGTTTTTGATGGAACTGTAGGCATACATCACCACGAAAGTCAGGACTTCAAAAGCCAAACTAATATCATATTAAGTTAAACAACAGTTATATAACTTGTTGGCTCAAAGGCCATGAGCAATTGTCTACAGTAACTTTAGAAAGTCTACACCTGGGGTTGGAGAGGTGGCTCAGTGGTTAAGAGCACTGGCTGCTCTTCCAGGGGACCCAGGTTCAATTCCCAGCACCTACATGGCAGCTCACAACGATATGTAACTCCAGTTCCAAGGGGTCTGGTACACCAATGCACATAAAAATAATAAATCTTAAAACAAGTCTACACCCGTGATAAAACGGTCTGTAGTACCCTGAGTCCCACTCTGCCATCCAATGCTATAAGCAAGTAGCTCTTCTTTGAAACTGCCCGAGTTGTCAAACTCATCTCCTCAAGATTTCTAAACAAACAGGATCTATTTTTACATCTGTGTCATTTTGCCCACACTATTTCCTCTGGGTTAACTCTCTCTCTCTCTCTCTCTCTCTCTCTCTCTCTCTCTCTCTCTCTCTCTCTCTGTGTGTGTGTGTGTGTGTGTGTGTGTATGTGATTTCCTTGTTTCTGATCCAGCGTCTCATGTATCCCTGGCTGACCTTGAACTCACTAGGTAGCCAAGGATGATGCTGAGCTTCTGTTCCTCCTGCCTTTCCCCCTGAGTGGAGGTGGTACAAGCATGTGCTACCTTGCCTGGCTTTATGTGGCACTGAGGACCCAATTCCTGTGTATAACTGTCAAGCATTCTATCATGTGAAGTTCATTTCCAGCTCCAAAGTATTCCATCATAGTCAAAGAACACTAATACCCTGAGAGAGATCTGATGATCTTGTATTATTGCAAACGGTATAAACATGATTTGAAGAAAGCCCTGAAAACATGGGTCTGCTTCCCTTAGAAGTACAACATTCTTTATAGGTCTAGAAACTTCCATCATCCTTACATGGAATTGAAGATGCCTCTTTTTCTGTTCCAATACTGTGGTCACTAATGGCCGCAGGAGCCAGATCTCAGGTAGTGTTTCTTTACCTGCTGCACCTGCCATGTGCTCATCCATGCTGAGAAGCAGTTCCCAGGCAGCGGGCTGGATATCTCCATACATTTCCTCTGTCAGGATTGGAGCTGCTTTGATTAGCAGAGACAAGGGAGCAGGTGACAAGCTCATCACCTGGGAGAGGGGTGCAAACCATGTTTCAAAATCTTTTCTTTTAATCATTCAATGCTTTTATTAAGCAACACTTACACTAAAATACGTAAGAATAAAAGTATCTAACCCATAATTCATGATGCAAGCAATGATAACATGAAATATGAAAAGTCTAAGAAGCACCACCATTTTGCTCAGCTTGGTGTAGGGAGGAGGAGACTGGATCTGCCTCAGCTGAGTCTACCAGGCTGGGCTGACTCCCCAGGGGAGACCTTGCCTAGGAGGAGGGGGGAATGGGAGTGGACGGGGGGAGGGCTGGGGGTGGGAGGAGGGAGGTGGGGGAATTCGTGGCTGATGTGTGAAATTGAGTTAATTGTGAAATTAAAAAAAAAAAATCTACTGAATAAGCATAAGGACCCAACCTTGAATTGCTAGTTCCCATACCAAAATCTTTTAAGACAACAATTACTTCTTGAAACTTAAGAACTACCTCCCTTCTCTGGTTCTCTTGGGTGATCTTAAGCTATTTCCTAAAACAGGAGAGGATTTAGGTGATGTGGTATGTAAATCTTATACTTTATTAGTTGAGGCAAGTGAGAAAGAAATATTGATCTCGTAATATTTTCATCACACACACACAAAAATGTTTTACAATTACTCAAAAAATTAACCACGGAGTATGGGAACCTCTACAGGAAAGAAAGAAAGCAACAATCATGGATTTGCCTTCAAAGTTCTAGTAGATTTTTAAAGCTTTCTTTCTTTTTTTTTCTCCATGCTAAAAGAGTTCCACTGAAAACCACATGGGATCTGTAACTCATAAAGGAGTCCATTTATAAATTTAATTTCTGAAGGCAGCAAGAACTTGGATGACATTTCCCTTTGAAACAACATAATTATACATTGTGGCTATTGCCCCATGTCCACCCACAAAGTCCTACTTAATCAATTATTACTCATAATTTAGGCCATATATATATGCAGATTATAAATGTCAAAATTTTAAACATTCTAGAAAAAACATGAAAAGCCCTTTCTCCCCATAAGGAAAAGGGATGATTTCAAGCTTGGCTCATAAGAACAAGAGAATAGTGTGTCAAAAACTGGATAAGTAGGCCAATGTATTATTTTTTTAATCCATGCAATAATTCTTTGAGACAAGTCTATTCCTACAATACCTTTTTCATAGATGAGACAACAAAGAGTGAGGGAAATGAAATTCCTTGCCTAAGTCTCAGAGACAGAGAAGCAGACTGGGTATATGAATGTAGATGGTCTCATTTAGAAGCCTGTGGATAGCCGTTACATACTAGTGGGAGATTAGCTCCATTGGAGACAGCAGAGTGTGAGAGGTGCCCACCCAAACTTCTAGGCCTCGTTCTGTCACAACTGGCTGTCTTAGCAAGATGGATTTTTCTCCCATACTTGGTGGTACCTTGCTCACCAGTTAAGAGGGCATTCATACCAACACAGTGCCAGCTTCCATTTTGTGTCCCAAACACTCATTGGCAGGTTATAAGGGAGCTCTTAATGCCCCATGCATGTTTCTGACCCACGTGCAAATACCTGAAGTCTGATGTACTTCAGCATTCCGGAGTCCTTTTTCCCTTCCAAGTTGACATCTGAAACTCTCTTCTTCAGGGAAGGCGTCCTCAGGCATGACTTATCTGAGCACTAAGAGAAGGTGAGGTGTCTATTGAAGATGCTTTTACAAAACTCATAGTGCTTTCTGTCTCCCAATTTCTCCACAGTATACCTTTTAATTGATGGCATAAATTTTTTTGCACAGACCCAAACTTCCTGAAAAGCATTGGTTTTGTTGAGAAAAGGGGTATTCGATATGATTCCTATGAAGCTTCTCTTTTACCTTTGAAGAAACAAGGATACACGTGTGGCATGATTTGGCCAACCTGCAAAACTAGTTATTTGCAAAATTTGGGAAAGATAAAGGTTTCCTAATTTTCATTTCAGGTTTGATTATGTTCTGTCAAGTGGTTTAAAAAAAGCATTTTAAATAAAGATTAATCCAGATAAATAAACACTCTATTCTAAGGTGTGCATTGAGGTATGTGGTCAAGGAAAAAAGGAAGTATTTCAAGTGTTAAGATGCAAAAGGGCAAACATGGATGCTGAGGAATAAAAAGTTGATACCTCCCATCATCTCAACACAAACTGAACAGACAATGTGGCTTCTTGGAGAAAAAAAAGGAAACAACAACTCTTCTTTTCAAACTGTGCCTTCAACATGGCTCCAGAACAGGCTATATCATCTACAGGAACATAGACGAAACAGCGCATGCCTCTGATTCCCAAGGTGCCAAAGCCTGCCAGGGTCAGAGCAGTTTGGAGAAGAACTGGTCCTTCCTTGTTTATTAATCCTGACTTCTGATTCCTTCCTGCTTTTTTTTTTTTTCATTCCAGGATGCACAGGTCCTCACAGAATAAAGCTCATTTATTTTGCCAGGGCCAGGCCAATGAAACATGTTCTCCCTCTATGCCAAGAGAAAAACTAAACTTAAGCATTTTTGGCAGAACTTCACAGTGTGATAGATGGAGATATTTTGAAAGAAAAAGTAAATCTACAAGCACACACATGCCCCAAGAAAGTCTCTTGAAACTCTGACAAAAAAATCCAAGACAATGAATCTGTTAATAGGGCTGGTCTGGGACTATCTTTTAAAATGAACTTACATAGAAAAGATGATATCAGAGCTCTACCTGTGTTTTTTAAAGAAAAAGAATAAAAATCATGGAAATACATGCTTGGAAACATAAAACAACTGGGAAACATACTGTATAAAAAATATACATATGTGTATGAAAAAAATATATATAATGAAAACCTTTAAAATCATATATCACTATAGCTTCCATAGAGATGTAGAGGTATGTCTTACATCCTTCTGAAAACATCTGTGGCATTTAAAATCCCTGCCTATGTGCTGCTGTGGGATGGTCTGTATGTCAAATGGCTCTGATTGGTCAATAAATAAAACACTGATTGGCCAGTGGCTAGGCAGGAAGTATAGGCGGACTAACAGAGAGGAGAAAAGAAAGAACAGGAAGGCAGAAGGAGTCACTGCCAGCTGCCGCCAGGACAAGCAGCATGTGAAGATGCCGGTAAGCCACGAGCCACATGGCAAGGTATAGATTTATAAAAATGGATTAATTTAAGCTGTAAGAGCTAGATAGCTAGAAGCCTGCCACGGCCATACAGTTTGTAAGCAATATAAATCTTTGTGTTTACTTGGTTGGGTCTGAGCTGCTGTGGGACTGGCGGGTGACAGAGATTGTCCTAACTGTGGGCCAGGCAGGAAAACTCTATCTACAATGTGCTGTATCTTTCTACTCAAAAGTAATACACATGCATTTCAGAGTTTCTGGAAAAGACAGAAACTATGAAGAAAACAGAAAACCCCAAAATTCCCAATTTAATAACAGCAATTCCTTCATTCCATTTAGTCTTTCTCCCTTGATGCGTCTTAGCAAAGCTGTGATAGCTTTCGGTATGGTGCACACACTTTTAAACAACCATTTCACTGATTTTTAAGCTCCGTATTTTCTGGGGAGTAATGATTTTTAGACTTTTACAAGTGTATCCCTTTGTTCTCTGACTAGACATTGCATCCTTTTCATGGTTACTTACAAACAATTCTTCTTGATTAATTTATAGGACACAATGGCATGCAGTTCAAGGAAAGAAAAGCTGAGCACTTACATTAAGCCCAATGTGCTAGAACACACAGATTTGTGTTTTATTCTGTCTGCTAGCCCCCTCTGGGACAAGCACACGTTGGCAAGTGTGCTGAGGAAGCATGGTGTGTCTGCTGGCTCCATGATACCTAGGGTGTGGGTTTCAGTGGAAGGGGAGGGAGTTAGATGGTTTTCACATTAGGTCACTGTGTTTGGCTGACTTGATTAGAGTCAGGCAGTAGACATCAGAGATGGGAACATGAGTGAGAGGGACTTGGTACACTGTGTGAGAGTCCTGAGCACCTTTATGGTATGACTCTTGACTCAGTCCAAACTACCTTGAGAACTTTTTTTTTTTTTTTTAAATGAAACTCAAGTCGAAGGAACCTAGGCATTAAATGGAACCAAGGGCTATTTCCCATGACATCTAGTAGTGGTTTTTGAAGAGTTTGAGATCTCACTGGACTAGATGAATGGTTAGAATCAAGCAAGAATCTGTAGAGAAATCTAAGATGAATAAGCCAAGACAAAGGACAGAATTCATCACCAATGGAGAACTGTAATTTAGCTTTTTGTTCTGGGATGGGCATGAACACAGCTATTGTATAACAGAGCAACTGTGATCATATGCAAGAGATGCTCATGAGATTGACATGTTAACATTCCCACCTGGGGAGAGGGTAGACACTCATGAGGCTGGCTTAAGACTTTCATTAGGCACCCTGAAATTACAGGAAAGGGAATTCTGGTGCTCGGCAGAGTTCCTGGTGGTGTAGCTAGCTGTAGGTATATAACTCATTGGTTCACTAGGCTAGACTTGGATGCAATCCTTTCTTTGGTTTGCTTGCTCCTTCTCTGTATGGAGTGAATAAGTATTTTGTTGTTTCCTCAGGAAAATTCATCTAACAAGGGCCTAATCCACTACTGGCATGCTTCTACCACAGCAGCTGAGGTTGAGAGAGGCAGCCACAGGGCCACAAGATTTCTCAGGATACTGGAGAAGGCTGACTACTGCCATGACATTTGAAGGCAAGGGCTTTGTTTCTCTGGCCTATTAATGTTACTATTGAGGCAGTCTGATGTATGCCAGGCTGGCCTCAGACTCACTATGCAGCCAAGGAATATTCTGAATTTCTAATCCTCCTACTTCCATCTCCTGAGTGCTGAGATTACATGAGTTCACCACTACCACATACAGTTTATGAGGTACTACAGATCAAACTCAAGGACTTATGCATGCCAGGGCAAGTACTCTGTATGAGTAAGCCACATCCTCAGTCCTCTTTAGTCCATTATTATATTCTGAACAAAATATGGGCTCAGCGTGGTCCAGAGGTTCTTTACAACTCTACTGAAGAGATAAACGGGTAGAGGGTCGAATAAAAGGCAAACAGGAAAACGTAAGTAAAATCCCATTAAAATTTAGATGAAAGGCTAGGGAAGGAGAATAATATTTATTAATTGTGTGTATATTCTGTGCATAACACCAACAAGATAAGGTTTCAGTGAAGAGATGGTGAGATGGTTAGCTTTAGCTGTCACCTTGACATGACTTAGACTCACTTGAAAAGACAGTCATAAAGTGGGATTGTTGGCACTGGGTTGGCCTATGGGTATATCTGTGGGTGATTGTCTTAATCAGTTCTCAATGTGACCAAGACCCAGTCCACTGTGGGCAGCACCATTCTCTAGGTGGGGGATTCTGAAATGTGTGTGTTGGAGAGATCAACTCTTGAGCAAGCAAGTAAGCATGAACACATTGATTTTTCTCTACCCCTGACTGTGGATGTGATGTGAGTATCTGTTTCAAGTTCCTTCCACCTTGACATCCTTGCTAGGATGAACCATAACCTGGACTTACGAGTTGAAATAAAAAAGCCTTAATATAAACACTCCACAGTGAACACTGAAGTTTTAAACATTGCTATACAATTCAATTGCATTTTTGCTTTTATCGTTCAAATTCTCAAAACTGCTTTGCGTATGTATTATTGCCTGCTCTAAGCCCAAACCTAGTTTGTAAACTCCTTAGTGGAAAGATCCTTTCTTCCTGCTGATTTATTTATTTATTTATTTATTTATTTATTTATTTATTTATTTTTTTGGTTTTTCGAGACAGGGTTTCTCTGTGTAGTTTTGCGCCTTTCCTGGGACTCACTTGGTAGCCCAGGCTGGCCTCGAACTCACAGAGATCCGCCTGGCTCTGCCTCCCGAGTGCTGGGATTAAAGGCGTGTGCCACCACCGCCCGGCTATGATTTATTTTTAATAGGATATTTGATCTAATACTTTGCCAATAGCTGGTGCATAGAGAGTGCTTGTTGAAGTGAGCACGTGTTATATAAAATATCTTTGCAAAACCGTTTGAGAAAGCATCTGTAGAGGAGGTCCATGACCTTCAGTTGAATGGGCATTTTGGCTACACTGCGTGTGCAGGGGCAGGCGGGTAACTGGAGGTTTTCCTGCCAGAGGATCGCAGTCATGGCCACTTTCTTCTGCCAACTCAGCTAAAAGAAGACTTCAGCTCAGCTTAATGCTTGGAAATACCATAGGGTCTTGAAAGAATTTTCTTAGTACATTCATCTGTAAATGGCTGAGCTATTTATTGCTTATTCAAACATTTATCCATGAGGATACATTTATTCATAATGAATACTTCCATTAGCTCTTCACTGATGCTCTGACAAACTGTCACGGGCTTCACGGCTTAAAACACCCCAGGTTTTTGAGTTTACAATTCTGAGGGTCAGACGTTTCCAAGGAACTGAAAGGTTCCGGGAGATACTCTGTTTCCTTCCCTTTCTCTGAATCTGGAGTTGGCTTGTTTTTCTGGGCTCACGCCCCCACCCCTCAACTCTGCTGCCTGCTGTCATCATCTGCTCTGCTCTTGATTCTCAGGAGTCCTTTCTTCCTAGATGAAGACACACAGGCCAACACTGAACCCGTGTGGATAATCCAGGACACTCTCTCACTGTAAAATCTTTAACCAGACCTGCCAAGTCTTACTTTTTTATGTAGGGTGTTATGTTCCCAGGTCCCAGAGAGATGCTCTTCTCCTTCTCCTTACCTTTACTTACTCATCAACACAAACTCCCTGAATTTTTATCTATAAGACAAAGCCTGGGTAATGCTCCATGTTGACTGTCTGTCTCCACATATCTTCTGCATGGATCTGTGTAGTATGCTTTATACAATTGTTTTTGCTTGAAATTTTATTTCCAGGGCAGATTAAAAAAAACATTATTATAAATACATCTTTTCTCCTGCTCCTGATATGCTACCTAGTGACTTCTCACTCACCTCTTTCTGCTTCTTGCCCCTCAAAGCCACATTGCTGATATTGTTGCTCTCACGCAGGGAGTCTACACTGTCCCCATACAGCAGTTTAATGGCCCTGACCAGCCGGGCACAGGAGCGGCTGTGGTGCAGGTAGCAGTGTGGATGGCAGTATTCCACATGCGTACAAATGAAACTCTGTTGATTGCATAGTAAGATCATGACCTGGAAGGAAAAAAAAAAAAAAACACTCACATATTCAACCAGGCAGTGAGGGAAGAGAGGCATGCAAGTTGGAAAGTCAGAGCAAAAAACAGTAACTTGGTAATTCCCACAGGTGGATAGTTAACTACAGGTCTTTGATCATTTGGCCTTTGTTCTCCCTTCATTCTTAATTGATAAAAGGATCTTTCAGAAACATGTGAAGACTATTTGTGAAGTATATGGCTTCCAAATAGTTTCAAAAGCCCATCCTAGCTCTTACACTGTGATAGGAGCCAGAAGGAAGAGGATACAATGGTAAGTTCAGTTCCAGAGCTCTCTACCTGACCCGTAACCCCTGGGGTCAGGTAGATGCACCCTAAACTCCCACCTACACTGCGTGGTGCTTGGAAACACTTCGGCACCTTCACTCTGGATCCTTTTCATGAACTGGAACTTGAACCCCACTATAAAGCCTCATTTCAACTTCACCAACGATTCCCTGTCACCTTACACACACTTCCCACTCTGACTTTTAAGCCACTCTAGCTCCCTTTCTAAAATAGTTTAACTGGTTCATATACATCTCCTAAGATTTCCCATTAGGATTCTAGAAATGAACTCAGCCAATTTAAAGGGTGCAGTTATTTTAAGATAGAAATGAATTTGCAACTGAAATATACAAATTGAAACTGCAATTCTGGTGCTCAAATTCAGGGCCTTGCACATGCAAATCATGTATCTATCACTGAGCTACAACTCTTCACCAAAAATTTGTGGCTTGTGGGCTTTTTTTTTTTTTTTTTAGTGCTAAGGATCAAACTCTGGGAACCATGCATGCTTAGGCAAGTGCTCTATCACTGAGCCATCCCCCAGACCCCAAGTTTACAACTTCAAAATGTTTTAGTATTTCTATTATTTTATGTGTATTAGGGTTTTAGCTGCATGTCTGGATGTGCACCGTGCCTGCTTGTGATGGTCAAAAGAGGGTGTTGAATCCCCTGGAGCTGGAGTTATGGTTGGTTGTGACCTGGATGTGGGTGCTAAGACCTAAACCTAAGCACATAACTTTTAAAGTAACCTTCCTTAAAAGAGAGTATGTATAGAAAAACCTTCTGAATGCTTCTGTCACCCAGGGAACTAGCTTCCACCTTGGCAAATAAGCTGTGAAGGGCTGTGCATCGTACTGAATGAGAACAAAATGTAAGTATACACCGAGGAGGCCAACTAAACCTATTTGCTAGAACTGGCCCAGGCTGCCTTAAGACTCACATGTCTTGCTTATTCTGAGGCAAAGATGAGAGCCACAGTCATCTCTATACTCCTGTCAAGGTTACAATATCTAAATCTCCAAGGTTTTCAACATATATAAATGGCGTCTTGGTAGAATATCCAGCCCATCTCCAGATTTACTGCGTATCTTCAGATATTCTGTTTTATACTGCAGTATGGGGCAGCCATATGTAAGAACTCTAAAGGTTTCCAAGTTATTCTGAATCTGGTGATCAAGAGAAACACCAAGAAAGCCTTTCAAGTACACACACACACACACACACACACACACACACAGCATATCACTAGACTTTGCCTCAGAGAATTCTGATAGAAAAGTCCTGAGGGCTAGTGATAACTGGTTTAGCAATCTATAATCTGTAACTTTACAATTCTGCCACTGATATTCCTTTAGTAGGTATATTTCTAAGATGATGCTCAGTGATCTATACAATCTGCTACTTATGCTCTGTGAAAGCTCCTCCCATTGAGTGTGAGTTAGTCTAACATCTTGTTTTTCAACAGTAGCATATGGCAAAGGTATTGGAATATCCCTTTTCTGACTACATTGCATATGGCTGTGATTTCTCTCTTCTTAGCTGACTCTTGCTATTTTTGCCTACTGTCAACTCCCTGCACCACAATGACTCAGATATCACAATAAGCCAACACTGACACATCATCAGCAAAGTCCACAGTTGATACCAGGTAGCTCATTTGGTGCTGTCCATCCTATGAGTTTCTCCAAAATGGGTAATGATATGTCTCTATCATTGTGTCCCTGTAATTTTTCATCTGCCTTGTTCATGAAAAGATGGATTATAGCAAGGAACAAGATCAAGAGGAGTAGCAGAAAGTTACCCTATCTGAGACAGCATTCTTTCAGTATATGAGGAAAGAGCACATTACTTCTTCATGCCCAGTTTAAATCTTTGCTCCAACCTATGCCCAAAGGTTTTTTCAGGGAGGCCTTCATGCCTTTGCACACTGGCTAGCTATCTGAGGCATGATCTTCCTATCTAGAATCTCCTTGACCCATTTACAATATTTTAATTTAAATTAATTTTTTTATGATTTTGTAGATGAGTCCTACATATTTATATCAACTCCCTGTCCCTAGCAATCTCTAACATAGAGTCAAGAGTGACCCTGACTTGCCCTTAAGTTCATAGTAATATGTTTGAAATTGACCATGATGCCTGGCCTGTATCATTCAGGATACTTTTGACCATCAACTTAGCTCAGTCCCTCATGGTTTTTCCTGATATGTGGTGATCCAGAAACTGGCCACAAAACAAAAGGCCTTAGTCTTAATCTTAAAATAAACACAATCCAGCAGCATACTATTTCCACTTTGAATTGAGAGCTTCAGCTCAAACATGAGGCTCCACTTTCTGTTGAAAGAACACTTAGGTTGCTAGTCTGTTTCTCTCTCCAGGAATCTTCCCCAGTGCTGAAAGGGCTTTGTTCTAGAGATCAGCTGGGATGGATACTTACATGAAGCCATGACATGTTTCTATGGTAATTTTCCTCTGTGCCGGCATTGCTCATTCCCTCGGGCTCAATGCTCGGTTCACTTGCACTCCAAGGACTCCCTTCTTCAAAAAAAGAACACCAAGAAAGAGTTCAACGTTCAGTCTCCCTGGATAACAACATGTCAATATGGTGTCATTGTCCATGCTTTTGAACCAAGGGCAGACTCTACCATGGCCCAACAGGTTACAGGGCATAGGACTTTCTTCAAAGAATATTATATTATTAAGAAGAGCTGTTCCCTAACCACAAGCTGAACTGGCAAGTTCAAAGACATTGGTGATCTCCGCTAAAGTGGCTTCCATGTGAAGACATGAGAGCAGAGAAAAAAAAGAGTCAAGTCCTTGAGATGAGCCAGTTATATATTGAGTGTGCCCAAATCCATTCCAGACTGCTCAGACTTCACAGTTGTAGCTATCCAGGGACACAAACTGACCTGTGCTGACATTACAGGGTGATAAGGCCTCCGATGGATTGTGGCTGCATCTGTACTACTGTTGTAGGCATCAGGCTTTGCTATGGGAGCTATTCAGTGCTGTGAGGGGGCCTTGGAAGGATTAAGGTGATTTGAAAGCAATGACAGCCGATTATAAGCAAGCCTCATTTCTTGTCTATGAGAAGTGTAAAGGAAATCTCCATTTAGTTTATTACCCACGAGGACTTGCCCTCAAATCTAAAAGCTTTACAGATTCTTCTTAATAACAAAGCTGCATCTCTAGTCTGGTTACTTTAACTTGACTGGTGAGGGTGGGTTGATCAGTTCAGATAATTCTAAATGCTAACTGATGGTAAAGTTATAATATTCACCATGCAACACAGAAATCGCTTCGCCCTATTATCTCCTTGAAAAAAAAAAAGCCGAATCTTAACTAATGCATAAATTAGCTATTTTTAAAGGCGAGGGTGGGTGGATGTAGAAGCATTTTCTATTTTAAACTTCCTTTGATTAGACACTCAGCTTCCATTTGACAGACTTTATCAATCATTTATCTACACTTACTGCTGCCCTGAAAGTAGAGACTGAATGGTAGGGAGAATGTGTTTGAACATGTACTAAAGACTTAATTCTAGGCAGCCTAGTGAGCACTACATTTATCCTACTTAGTCTTTCCCCTGTCAGTTAAGATGCCCAAATACTAGATAACCACATTAGGAGATTTGGAGCCTCTTCATATCCTACAATGGTAATCTATGACTTTTAGTGCTTTGATTGTACTTATAGCTCATCCTTATACACTTATACATTTTACAAGAGCATCCTTATGGAGCAGACAATGAGCAAACAACTATTCCCACCAGATGGTCAGTGAAAACACACCCCTGAGAAAGTAGGTGACCCACTAAAGACTCCCTAGGTTTCAGGTCTAGACAACCACGACTTCCCAGCCTTTTTACTGTCAAATGAAGACTACAATATGAAGTCCTCAACATTTGACCTTCAAGGTCCTGAGTAGTGTAGATACACAGCACCTGGAGCTCTAAGACTCTTCCTGTTGCCAACATGGTTTCTGTGCCCCAGTGAACACTCTCTATGCTCACAGCTCAAAGCGTGGTTCTTGAGCCAGCATCATCAGCTTTACAGGAAAGCTTAATGTCAAACGTAGACTCTCAGATCCCCACATCACCTACTGACTCAGATTTTGCACTTGGGCAGACTTCCAGGTGCCACACGCACCTGCTCGAGAGTGGAGTGCATTTCTCTACCAAATGAGTTGTCTAAACTACGGCTCTGATCTTGCTCTATATACATGGGATGAAATGGACTTGGCTGTGCCAGGACCTGAGTCCTGTCTTCCTACCCCCCACGTCCCTGCACACCCCACTCTTCTATGTTACCTAGGTCAGTGACAGTGTCCCTGCTCTGGGACAGCTGCAGCTCCTCAGCCTCAGACTCTGAGTCCTGCCGTGATAACTTGCTGCTCTTTAAGCTGCCGACTCGGCGAATGCTGGACAAGGAACCCCCCTTCTTCACCTGGAAACTGCGGGTTCCTTTAATCTGGAGCAGGCGAGAACCTCCTATCCTGATCTTCCTGCTGGGAACTGTATTAAAAGAATAAAATAGGGCTTTCCCCCACTTAGTTTTTCCCCAGCCAGTTTATATCCACACTCTTCCCAGTTTGTCCCTGACCAGCCGATTCTGCCGGCTTGATCGGCTTGATCGAGCAGCATCTCTGGACAGAGGCCTTCCTGCCAGGCCCCAGTCACCACGTTTGGTCAGGCAGGAGACCAAGACGACCAGGCAGGGCTGATGCAGTATCTTTCTTGGGCGAAATGCACATGATGGCTGGGAACAATCTGCTCTCATTCTGGCCCAGGGTTCATAAGCATGAGTGTGTTTACACAGCACCATCACCAAGATCAGCCAGCAAATTTTAATCACATTCTTATTCGGTTCCATAGAGCCACACTCCACTGCTTTTGTCTTTCTTGTGAAATGGGACTTAGAGAGTTCTGAGAACTGTCTTTGGAACCCTTCTATTTGGAGTAACCTATTAAAGAAATAAGCACAAGAAGTGCGCCTCTCTCTCTCACAGTCAGCAGCTGTGTGCACTCTGCTCCTTAGAAAAGACTCCAAGGGATCTGTTCTCAGGAGAATGCTGTGCGTGCATGCATGCATGCGTGCGTGTGTGTGCCTGTGTGTGTGTGTGCATGTGCGTGTGCGTGTGCGTGTGTGTGTGTGTGTGTATGTGACGTAATTCTATTTCCAATCCTCCTCTCAATCAAAGGGCTAATGGGATGTGAGTATAAATGTTGCATGACCTGAGCTATCTTATAGTCTATATTAACAAGAAGGGAAAGCATTATTCATGCTTAGTACTCTGGAAGAAACAGTCCCCAGGGTGGGAGTAAAATGATAAAAGAAACATGTTTAAGCTTCAAACTCACTTTATAAAAATCATAAGCACAATCATTTTTCAGGTAATGTATACATTTTTTCTTTTTAATTTTTAATAATATCAATATTAATTTTATAATAGCAGGATAAAGCAAGACTTTTAAGGCTCAAAAACCATTGGAAGGAAGGGGCTAGCTTTACACACTTAAGATATGAACAAGATTTCCCATTCATTATTTAAATCAAAGCCACAAATGTATTTTGAAATCAGGAAGTTCAAAGTTTAGTTTTGCGTTTCTCCCCACAACAAAATGCTTATATGAGACAATAATAAAACTTGCATTCTTTAAAATGTTAGTTAAATGTACACTTTCGATGCCATGTAAGGAGGTCTGAAGAATTTATAGAGAAGTGAATGATTAGTCTCTGGATTACTCTTGTGATTGAAAGAGCCTAGAATGATCACTGCTCTACTTATACAAGCTTCTTGGGGCTCCCTGAACATATCTGAATAGAACTGCACATCTGGAAGAATTTCTTGCAGCACAGTTGGATAAATGCCACATAAGCTATAGAGCACAATGCTGTAGTTTAATTATAACACAAGATTCACCCAACTCTATTTTTCAATATTATTTCTAGGCTTGGACTTCATGGTTAATTATTTTTAATGACCACCACTGCAATTTCATATGTAAATAGATTGAGAAATAAAGAACAGATTACAGTGATAATTCTTATTTTTTTTAATAGAGGCACATACTGATGTTTTTCGCCTGAGTTTATGATACGTTTCAGGATACAAATGAAACTAAATAACTTCAAATTAGTGGGATCTGAAGAGACTTAATTCTGAGAATTTGTTCTAACATAAAAGATAATTGGAGACCTCCTGCAGCCCTGAAAGATTAGCGTTCAGAATTATGACATCAATTACTTACAAGGGACACAGTGAGGAGAATTCAGGTTTAGTGTTGTTCATGAAATAAGTCACCTGAGACTATATGCTACTGAATTTTAGCCTTCATCTCCATAACAATAAGAACTAAAATCAAAATGAAACAGATTCATCAGAATTGGATAACACATCTCCCTTTCCACACTGTCTCCCTTAGCAAGTCCCACTGCCTGATGCTTCAAAACATCACTGGAGTTCAGAGTCCTATTACCTTTTCTCTGGCCCAATGCCACTACCTCTAACTGTTCCTTCCTCCCTATCTCCTACACATCTAGTTACATATACTGACCAACAACCTCTAACATGTTTAAAATATAATTTTTTTAAGCATATCTACCAGACTTTGCCTGCCCCTTGCCTTTCTAACCTATCTCCTGCCACTCCTCCCCCAACTCATTCTTTAATAACTCTTGATTGTTCACCCTTCTTCAAATGTTCCAGGTTCACTCTTCATGACATCCTTAGCCTCATAGTTGCCTCTGTTTGGAACACTTGATCTTCAGCCTTCTGCATTACTGAAATGTCCCATGAAAGCCTCTCAGTTTAACATCCATTATTATGACCTTTTCTGACTGTATCTTTCCCTATACCCTACTCTGTCTTACTTTCCATGACATATTTTGAAAGTCTGGCATTTAGTGTTACTAATTGCTATGCCAATAGTGATAGGCTTTTAACCATGAATTAATATGAATGCAAATGCATGCAGGAACATGCTTTTGTTAGTGGTTGCCTTCTGGGAACTTGTAATAGTTCCTGGTATACAGCAGGTGCTCAGTAGCTAGATGCGAAATCAGGACATGTTTCTGTACTTTGGGATACTAATTTTAGTTTGTCTTTGGGGCAGGAGTAAAAGTATTGCATAAACTCTGCCTAGGGATCTTGAGCAGATATTTTCAGTTTTAAAGGATACGTTCAGGTTCATTTTCTTTGTTCTACTTGTTCTTAAGTTGTTTATTTCAGAGCTGACTTTTTTTTGCTTTTATAAAAACAGATGGTATGACATTTTTTTCTTAAAAAAATAGTAATTACCATTTTCAGTGTCCCATTGTCATATTTTTGTATTGGCTGCAGTAACTGATGGGTTTGTCAAACAGCTTACAAAATATTTGCAAGTCTTTAGTGAGACTTTTGCTAACTAATTAAGAACATTTTATGGTTATATTCCCATTTTATTTATAGTTTTAGCTTTCTGTTGTCTACTTATAAGACAATGTTTATATATTAATATAGGTACATTGTATGATAAAAATCACTATGCATGAGAGAGTTTGGACAGTAAAGACAACTATATAAATAATAATGAAGTTGACATGGTTTTAAAATTAAGCAAATATTTTACTTTTTAAGATGATGTAGAATTTACATTGTTTAAGCTTAACTGGGTGAGTATTTGGAATTTTTATTCAATTTAAATAATAATTTTATGATAATAACTTTTAATGGCTAAAGACTGCTCTCCAAATAAGTATTGTTGGTATATGTTTAAAAATGGAAGTTACCTTCATTGGATATATATATACAGTAAATATTTGAAATCACATTGACTTAATACTTCTTCATGTCTATAAATTGCTCAAGACTACTTATTACTCTTAGAACATGGCCTCTAGCCATCAAAATTCAATAGGATATGATATAATAATATTTGTATTTAAAAGGTGGCAACATTCTGATGTTGAAATATTCAAACTTTCCCCCATTACACCCTCCATTTCTTATAGGACTTGAAATATTTTGTGTTTTCTCTAGAGAGGGCGATGCCACTCATTAATTGATTAAAGTAATCAAATATGCACTCATTCATTGTCTACAGGGCACTGGAAAACATCTCAATGTACACAACAAACTTTCTACAAAGATGTACAGATTTTTCTAACACATGAAACTCTGTACAAAAAGCATTAAAGGCACCGGAATTTAAAAACTAAAAAAATTTGGATAGTGAAGGGAGCCTTAAATGACTTACTTAAAACTGACATTGCTCAGCTCTAGCTAGGGTTTTCTGTGTTGATATCTGATCTAGCTGCTCGTAATGTAGGAAGATAAGGATGGCAATGGTAACTTACCATGCTCTTCCATTTGCTCTATGTATTTGTTCTACGTTTTACTTGCATTGCCTTAATTAAAGCTCTCACAACACAGCATAGAAGCTGGTCATTTGACTCACTAGAAATGAGGATAGTGTTTTTTTGAGGCAAGTCACGTATACAAGGTCATACAGAGAGGGGCCATATACCACCCATCTTAATAGGCTCACCTTCAGATTTTGACATATGTGAAATTGAATTTAAGATTCATTGTGCCAAGTGGCAGCTGAAATACAAAGGCTCTTGCTTTTGTCTGTGGACATGTAAGCATCAGCAGCAAAACATGAAGAGTATCTCCCAGCACCAAGGCCAAGTGGTAGTGAGGGGCGGGAAAGTGGGTCAGGGTATAAGCTGGATAGTCCTGAAGAGGAACTCTAGGGATGCCAGCTTCATACTATTCCTAACTGGTTTCCACAGCTAGCATAAGCAGCTCTACTTTGTAGTTGTTGATCTTGTGTTTTTTTATTATCTCTCATTATATATGTATTAATCTTTGATCTACTTCTGAACTGACGTGTCATTCATTAACATTCTGATGCTACAGAAGACATTATCCTATAGAAAAACATGGACATTGACAACTCTGAACTGAAAAGTAATTAAGAAATTTGGACTGTGAATTGCAAAGCTTTAACCAGCATATTTTAGCTGTATTGTTTTTAGTTACACAAGAATTATATGTAATAATCATAATGACTATATACATATATTTTACTGTCTCAAAGTCCTCTGTCAATAAAACAAAAAGTGATAAGGGATTGCTGCAAAATAGTTGAATTTGGGTGTTTTCCTTTTTTATTGGTTAAGGAAATAACAGGTCATCTTAAGGCTGATAACATCACATTTAATGTGGGCAAAGGAGAATTGCTAAGCCAGGTGTTGTAGCCAAGGCAACCTGGCTGCTAAGTTCAGGCTGTAACTAGTGGTATTTTCTACCTCACCAGCCATGAAGAGTCCCCAGAGTCACACTGTGTCCAGCCAAGAATTTGGGCACACAGGTTTCGTACTTTAGATCCCAGATCAAATATTTCCTGTGAGAAAGCCAGAAACATGAAGCAACCCTTGCGTTTCCCTACCTTTCTTCTCCTCAGCACCTGTGTCTGATTTGAGGGTGTGGCTGCTGCTGTGGAGGGAATCTTTTGAGTCTTCATTTTCATCTAGAACTCCCGCAAAGCTGATCTTCCTCTCATATCGATGCCGGTCCAACTCAGGATCCAGACGGAGCCTACAGCTTTCCAAGTCCTGAAATGGCATAGAAGAGCACATCTGTGTTGGGATGTCCTGAGATAAACACTGCCTGTTTTCTGTTTGTTTGTTTGTTTGTTTGTTTTTGTTTTTTGACAGGGTCTTGACCTGAAGCCAGAAAACTAGTCTTATAGCCCCCTTGCCTCTGCCTAGGTTTCCCAAGTGCTGTAATGATAGGCAGGTGCCACATTGCTCTGTCTACTCCACTGATGCTGTGGCAAACCTCTATTCATTCTGAATCACTTTCAATTACATTTAAAATTTTCTTATTGGTCATTTTAAATTGTAGTCTTGAAAAAAAATTCTTGATTTGGAAAACGAGTGTTCCCTAACTGCTAGCTTCTTCTTAGGTGTTTTGTCTTTTAGCAACACGGGATGTTGAACTGGCTCCCTTACCCTCTAACTCTTTGTCCAATGTCTTGGAGGTGTCTTTGGCATTTATATGTTAATTGCATAATCATGCATTCAGTTTGAATATGCTAGTTAAAATGGCCTAAGTAAGAAATGACCCCTTCTCTGAGAAACTCAGAATTCTAAGATGGAAGATGGGCAAGCATAAATAATAAACCCCAAGTACAGAAGTAAGATATCATCAGACTTGGAGACAATAGTCATAGACTAATGGTCCCCAAGTGATATCTAAACCCTAAGTCCCCAGAGCCTGAGAATATGTTGCTTTACACTGCAACATGAGCTTTGGAGATACATTTACAGCTAATGACTTCATGATGGAGAGATTACACTGTGTTAGCTAAATGAACCAAATTTAATTCCATATATTCTCAGTAATGGAGGACCTTTCCCCAGCTATGGACAGAGGGAGCTTCAATATGATATTCCTGCCTGTGAAGATGGAAGAAGGAGGGTTTGAGATGGGTGGAGTAGTTTCAAGAAGGCAGAAAAAGAGCAAGGAGGCAGAATTTTTTCCCCCTACCACAGAAAGGAAGTCTACCATACCAGTATCTTGACTTTAGCTTAGGAAGGCCTGTCTTGGACTTTTGACCTGAAGAAATGGAAGATAACATCCCTGTGCTGCTGAAAACAAGTATGCTCGTAGAAGCGGGAGAAGGTGCCATTCAAGGTAAACCTTGATTGAAATTGCTTAGTCATGACTAGGGAACGTCATTTCAGGTTTAGGAAAATGCTTGTGTGAGGTCAGAGCCTCTACGGGGGATTTTGTATTGAGGGGATTTCTGTTTCTCTTCTAGAAAGAACTAAGGACAAGAAGGGGAAATCCCAGGAGGCATCAGCCTTGCTCAAAGAACTACAGGCAACTAAGGAACATGAAGAGCAGGAGAAACGGTCTTCTCTATGGAGGAGTACACGGTTTTCCAACACCAAATAGCCAATTCTGAAAACACACACACAGGCAACATTTACAGACTGGGCAGCTTGTACTTACGAATTTAGGAATATATATGTATGAAAATGTAAGTATAGGTGTATTTATAGGACAATAACTTAAAAAGAGGCCATGAATTTGAGAAAGAGCAAAGAGGGTTTTATTGGAGACTTTGGACGGAGGAAATGGAAGGGAGTAATGATGTAAATATGTTATAATCTCAAAAAGGAAATGATAAAAAAAAATGCACAAGCCTACATTTAGCAGTGACAAGGCTGGTATAGTGAAGAAAGTTCTCAGAAACCTAGTCAAGGTGAAGAGGACACACTATCCACTTGTTATTAAGTGACCGCAGGCTGCTATTCTTGTCTTAGACTTTTTAGGTTCCTTTCTTTGCACTCCCTGTAAGTCTTCTAGTTGGTTATACAGTCTCTGTTTATCACAGAGCCTTGCTGTGTAGCCTAGCTTGTGATCCTCTGAATGCTGAGATTCCTGAGGGCCACTGTTCTGACAGTGCCACGTACTCAGGCTAAAAAGACCCGACTGATTCAGGAAACATAAAATGTTTCATTTTTCACTGACAGGTATCAGTCCATCCAGCACTCATCTTTAAGGGAATGTGATTATTAAGTTTGTCCTCAATATGTGATAGGCTACATGAAACAGGATTTCCTCACTAACAAGAGTCACTGAGGTAGAGGTTTAGGAATTAAAAGGCAGAACAAAAATGATGGAGTGAAACCAAGAACCTTACATGCTTTTATCAAAATTGTGGCTAATCTGAAAACGTGAAATCAGATTTACTCAGTGCTTTTCCAAAGACTGTATTAATCAGGAGGCTAAAAGGAATGATATTGGCAGAAGTCAACAGGTCTGATTTGATGCTTTGTTTTGACTTTAAACTAAGCGTCTTGATTTGACTTTATAGAGTATTCTCAACGGCAAGATGAAAATGGCAGTTCAGAAAAGTAAAGGCCAAGTCAACATGACATCACAGAGGGCAGTAGCTGGAGTTTCCTCTTCCAATAGTCAAATGGTCCAGTTTCATAGTTCAAATGAGGGTACTTTTCTCTTGAAAACAAGCATTTTATTCATAAATGTTTCTAATTTGAAAATATCCTTTTTTTTTTTTTGTTTTTGGTTTTAGGATGTGAGGAAATGGGTTTTCTAGAACATTGAAAAACTAAAGCCAGAGACTGTGCCCCACGGGAGCAGAACACTGATTCCTTTATCCAATCTCTGGCGGCACCCCAGAATTGCGGTACTAACTTATTCATGCTGTTTGGTTTTAACAGCAGGAGAGGTGGGTTCTAAAATACCCTTAAATGGAAGTTGATGTGACAGTTTGTGGAACAAGACTTGTGTAAAAGAGAAGGTTTTGTCTGGCTCCTCAGGTAAAGCTGAAGGCTGACTGTGATGAACGTACCATTGGTTTCCATGAGGGGCTCAGAAGCCCAAGGTGTTCCCTGTTACCACACACTCTGAAGATGTATGGGCCCTGCATAGTATTTATATCTATAGTAAAATAAATAATACCTGTCACATGACTGCATTTTTATGTGCCTATATGTGTACTCTGTGTGTGTGTGTGAGTGTGTGTGTGTGTGTGTGTGTGTGTGTGTGTGTGTATGCAGTATCACACTTTCTGTCTATCCATAATCCACGACAATAACTACATGATTGGAAATGTTTGGAAACTAAACACCTAAGTCATTTAGACCATACTGTAAGTCAGAAAACTCTTTGGAAGCAAGCACACTTCTATATGAATCTAGGAACAGTTAGTACAAAAGAATATCAGCTAATGATTTCTGAATAATGTTGACCATAAAGTTCCTCATTGTTTGTAGGGTAAAAGAATATAGGTTTCTAGATATTTCCATCAAAATTAGTGGTCATTGTGGTGATGTTTTGTTTGTGCTCTAACAAATAAAGCTTGCCTGGATATCAGAGTGAGGAGCCAGTCACTAACTAATTAACCCTAGAGGCCAGGCAGTGATGGCACACACCTTTAATCCCAGCACTTGGGAGGAGGAAGCATGAAGATCAGGAGTTCAAAGCCACCCTGGGCTACACGAGATAGATCCAGTCTAAAAAAGAAACAGAGCCAGGCAGTGGAGGCACACACCTTTAATCCCAGCACTAGGGAAGTGGAGACAGGAATTAATATTGCTGGGCAGAGAGGAATATAAGGCAAGTGGAGACAGGAGCTCACCCTTTTCAGTCTGAAGATTCGGTAGAGGCAAGAAGTCTCTCTAGTGGCTTGCTCTTTTACTTCTCTGATCTTTCAGCACTTACCCCATAAGACCAATTAGAATTCTTACTACAGGCGATCACTGGTCAAATGCTGTACCTGAATGCACTGTCTCCAGTGATTTCTAAGTCAACCTTGGAGTTATTATTATAACAGACAAAATAGATTGTCTTTTTAATGCATGCAAAGCCTTTGGTTAAAATGTTAGATTACACACTTGGTCTTCAATCATTTGAAGATGTTGGGAATACTGAAAACCCAGCTACAGTTCATTTTCTCCAAGTATCCTGGCTACTGACACACGATGTTTTAACATACCACTAGAGGCTCAGTGCGAGGTCTAGGTAGGCAAGAAAAAGTCTCTCTCAGGAAGGTGGTTATCTCCAGGAGAAGTTGGCATGCTGCCATCTTCAAGGCAAAAGGACAGCCACATTTAGAGGGGTTCACAGTACCTAAGAAAAGAAAGAATTCTTCATGAGAAGACAAACCAACAATAAACAGAGGGTCATGGTGTGATGGACCTAGCTACACCCGTGTAATATCAATCTGCTCATGAGAATACTTCTTGCACAAACCTTAATTTCCCTACTCCTGTTAGCATGACTTGGGCATGCCCACCTCTTCTTCTCTACAGTTGTGTAACAGGTGCTTCAGTGTTAATGTCTCAGACGAGCAGAAGTCAGTGCTTCTGTTTAAAGTACTACAGGGTAATACAACACAGCTCCAATGCCACCAGAAGACTGGTGAAAACGGAAATTAGAAGTCATCTTGTATTCAATCAGATCTTGACTGTGTATATGACCACCAGCTAGATTTGGAGCCCTAAAATCCTTTCAGCTCATTTTAGGAAGGGATGCTTGTCTTCTGAGAGCGGTGAAGTTCTTTCAGCTCTAGTTCAATTGGTGTTTATGCGACACAGATACAAGAAAATGTGTCACCTGGTCACTCATACTATACTCTTTTGTTTGTTTGTGACAGGGTCTCTCTACATAGTTCTGGTTGCTCTGGAACTCACTTACTATGTAGGCGAGGCTGGCCTCAAACTCACAGAGATCCTCCTGCTTCTGCCTCCCAAGTGCTGGGATTAAAGGCGTGCACCACCACTGCCCAGTTTATACTACATATTTGAATAAAGCTGTCCTGTCACAGTTAAGACTCAGCTGTGCCAGAAGTGACTGACAGTCTCTTTCTGCAGAATACTGGCCTTTTACTTTGTCAGACACCCACTCCTCCATGGACCAACTAATTGATTTTGATCTAAAGACAGCTAATGGCCAAGGGAGTAACAGGACTTAAAAACTGTCCGGATCAGTTGTGAGACTTGTATTAACATAAACCATGAAGAAATAGCCTGACTATTTCATCTTCAGCAAGCAACAAGGCCATGTAGTATTCTGCCTCTTACAAAAGAAAGAAAGTAGTTATCAGTTGAATGAATCAAGTCATCAAACTTTCACAATACCATTATATATCAACAATTAAAAAAATACCTCTAAACTGTCTCTTTGGCATAATGAGATTTCTTAACTGACTAGTATACATGATTTTTTTTGACATAGAAGATAAAGTTGGTCTTCTGAGGGTATCTGGCCTGTTTTCCTCCTGAGAACCATTTTTTTTTTTCAGAGTTAAAACATGGCTAGAAAATCTGTCTCTCATTAAGAATGGAAGAGACAAGCTTGTGTGAAATTTCCAACAAGGCATGTGCTTATGTTATATTTAGCTTTGGAGTGCAAGATTAGCTAAATCACACATAACAACCTCATAATCAGTGGAGAATCACACATATCAGTCTTATAACTCCACAGAGGACACAGGACTCTGAAAGTTACCTAGATGTGCGTAATTTAAAGAACAAAGTTATAGAAACTAGACGTGGTTGTAGAGGCCTGTAAGACAGCTACTCAGCTGTTTGAGCAGGAGAATTTGAAGATTAAGACCACCCTGAGCTACATAGGAAGATCATGTCTGGAAAAAAGTAAATAAAAGAAATAATTGAACACAAGACACTCTGTCAACCTCTGGATCTGTCTTTTCACTCATAAGGTTACCATTCAGAAACCTCTGGAGGCAGTGAACTTGTCTGTGGTCTAGTCTCTCTCCTAATTATTACCTGAATTATTCTGTCACCATGAGAAAAGATGGAGCTCTACATGACTCAAACAAAACATTGATGTGCCAGCCATCACATATGAATTAATGGAGCTTTTGTGGTTTAGTGTAGATTGTACACTGCAACCTAGGAGGGTGGACTCATTTAAAGTTGTTTCAGCTCCCTCCATTCTGAAAGGCCTCTGAGTGGCTTCTAAGGTATGCCTCTGGCTGACTGACATTTATGGCAAGCCTTCCCTAAGTTTAGTTTAACCTCTGAGTGAAATTAAACACCCTAAATTATTCAAAAATAGGCTAGGTTATCTTCAGAGTCAACTTTTATCATTGGGCTGACACACCCATGTAGAAATTCAGTATTTTATCAACAGAGATGTCAAGATTCTTTGCTTTGACTTTATAAGGTATGAAAAGGGAGCCAAATAGTGGGAAAAATACAAGTTCCTGGTGCAAAAGAGGAAAGGAACACAGAGAGAGTTTTCCTTGATCAATGTTTAATCTTTTCCAATGTTACCATTTAGCCATTATTTTATATGTGATGGCACAAGGGTGCAGCAGGTTTGGTATGAATTGAACAAGAATGACCCTTAAAATATAACCAGAGAACTTGAATTGCAAATGAAGAGGAAAGGTTAAATGGAAGATATTGCTACTTCCCTTGTGGAAAGATTCTGATTCTACAGGCCAAACTGGAATTCACACTCAACAAAATATCTCTCAATATATGCCACTCAGGCTTGTATGGTACAGAGCGTATGTATGTACAAAACAATGCTGTAGACGATTTGGCAGGAGTGTTCTTGTCCCTAATTCTATGACAACTCTAATAGATACAGTATGGCACAGCCACAATTTAAGCAAACTTTGACTTTCTTATTAAGCTGTAATATGCTCTGAATAAACAGTTCAACATTTTAATTCTTTGGAATGCATTTCTTGTGTGTGTGGTGTGGTGCATATACTTGCTAGTATAGGTATGTGCACGTGTGGATGTGGACACACACATTTGTGCATGAATGTGGAGGCCTGAGATCAAGTGTCTTTCTCTAAAAGGTTTCCACCTGTAAAATTCTGTTCTCTGATCGGCTCTTTCAGTGAATCAGCTCATGCGTTCAGCTAGATTGACTGGCCACACTGACTGGCCAATGAGTTCTATAGACCTCCCTGTCTCTGTCTCCCCAGTGCTAAGGTTATGGGCTCCCACAACTGTGTCTGGCTTTTGAGCATCTAAATTCAAGTCCTCCTCCTTGTGCAACAAGCAGTTTACCTACTGAACCATCTCCCCAGCCCCTGGAAAGCATTTCTTGTTCAATTCTATTTTGTAATGATATTTTTCTTTCCCAAAGCAGTAACAACATAAAACCTGAAAAAAAGTTAAAGAAAAGAAAACCCTTCAGGGCAAGCAATGTTTTTTCACAACTGTTTTCTCTCAGAGGCTTAGTATGAATCTGTGGGTAACAGCAAGAAGGAGAGGCTAAAAGGAAATGTCTCTCGTCCCTTCCACATTGTCTACGATGCTTCACCCCATCTACCTTCTCTTCCTGACTCTCTCTCTCTCTCTCTCTGGCTTTATAAACACGCTTTTACACCCACATGGGGAGAAGGGGAATGGTCTATGAGAGATGTAGGAGGGAGAGGATGAGAGAGGAAGGAAGTATTCACTGCTCCTAAAGCAGAGTTTCTTACGAGCAGGGGGTCTTGTAGTAAAGGGAGTCTCCTTACTGTCATCTAAAAAGTCTTCCTCCTCATCCTCCTTTCGAAGTCTTCTCTTGGTCTCCTCATCATAAATAAGGCCGAGCAAGCTGGCAGGGCTCTCGCTCTCTCCATGGCACAGCTCATTCAATCGGATGCCAATTGCCTACCGGGGAAAAGGAAAGAATGAAACGGCACGAAGGATGACGGACTCTCAATCATCACACAATCAGCCAAATGATGGGGTTGACTTCCCACACAACCCTCTGTGTGTTGTCACCACCATCTTGGTCAATAAGGAATCTAGACAAGGAAGGAATAGTGTCTCCAGAGTCATTTGCTCTAAAGATTTGGAAAAAATGGAATGGACACTTTTGTATGCATATACAAACATTTTAGGAACCAAATGTCCATCTTTATTCAAAGTTCATTTGTTTTATAGGTCTCACGTAAGGAAGCAAGCAAGCAGTGTTCTCCCTCCCTGTGTGTGTGTGTGTGTGTGTGTGTGTGTGTGTGTGTGTGTGTGTGTGTATGTGTTAATGCAAGGTAAGTGTGCAGACATGTGCATTTGTGCCAATGTGTAGTCCAGAGGAAGATATTGGGTGTTTTGTTCTATGATTCTTCACCTTATTCCTTTCTCTGTGACAGGCTTTCTCTGTGAATCTTGAGAGAGGCTGGTGTTGAGCAAGTCCTAGCAAGACTTGTGTGTCTATCCCACATAGGTAGGGGTGGCCACACTGGACCTTTTATGTGGGTACTGGGGATTTAAACTCAGGGCCCCGTGCTCGCAAAGCAAGCACGTACACACTGAGCCATTTCCCCACCCTGCATGTACTTATTTTTAACAGAGGGTTTTAGGGCAGTGAAGAAACAAGAAAGCATCACTCCTTTGAGGCTTCTGATTATGCTATCTTACAAGAATGTCAGTGCCATGCTAATGAGTTTGGAAGTTGGCAAGAATTCTATTCCTGTGAATTTTATTTATAATACCATTATGCATGCACTTATTGGTGTTTTTGGAGCTCTCCCCCTCCCATGATAGTCTGTAAGTTAGTAAGAAATGTTAACTGCTCTTCTGGTAGAGCTTCTAAAAACCACATTAGAAACAGGACTTTTTAATAACCTGGCACACTGACAATATTGGCCCTTAACTTGGCATACACAGAATCAGACTCTTGTTATCTGTTCTTCTGAATCATGACACATGGCTCCACAATTTATCAAAAGGAATTTTCCATAAGAGGTGAGTACACTGTCTCTATCCAGTTCCTATTGTATCCAAACTAGGTAGAATATGCAACAATGAAAGGTCACAGCCTTAGGGAGGAGTCTCAAGGATGAAGCTAAAATGACCACTGACTGGGTGCTGACAGTCTTGTGCTCTATGCATTCATCAAAACAAACCCCAGCTGGATCTCTTCTTCCTGTATCATACTTAGGGAATGTTTAGCAAAGTTACACAGTCTTAGGCATGCAAAGAATTAGACTCGCTGCTGGAAACCGACTTGGACCCATGAACGGATGTGCAAAGTGCTTCCAGAATGCTTTCAACAAAAGCACAACTGTTTTAAATATGTTAAACTTCTGGAAATAAAAAGGTCTTTACAAGATCTGGAATTAAGTGACAAAATTCAAAAACCAGGAAGCAAAAGTCCTGACAAGAAAGTACCAACAAAAGCTATCACAACCCCCACCCCCATTTTACTTGCTAACTCCAGAAGTTTTAAACAAATAAAACAAGACCATGGAAGACTTTGTACTGAGGATGAGGCATGATGAGTTTGGAGTCGAGCTAGCCAGCTGAATGGAAAAACTCAAAGAAGATAATTTTTTAAAAAATATTGATCCTTCTGGGATATTATAATGAAATGATTTAAATTAAACCTACAGTTTATAAAAAAAAATCAAACCCTGGGCCTGGAGAGGCGGCTCAGAGGTAAAGAGCACTGGCTGCTCTTCCAGAGGTCCTGAGTTCAATTCCCAGCAACCACAGGGTGGCTCACAGCCATCTATGATGAGATCTGGTGCCCTCTTCTGGCCCGCAGGCATATATACAGGCAGAATAATGTATACATAATAAATAAATATAAAAAAATTAAACCTTGAATTTGCCTAAGATAACACTAATATCTAAATAATAATTTCAGGTTCTATGTCTCATCTAAGACTGGAGGAATGCCTTAAGGAGATGTAATTCCTTTCTACCTCCATTCATGAAATATTTATAAAGTGAGGTAATCTGTAAGGCGTTAAATGAAACATGAACCTACATGAGCTGTTAAAACGACCTGGTGGTGTCTTCTCCTGATGAATTATGAATGCACTTACAGGAGGATCCCGGATGGTCAGGGAAGTTACGGAGGCGAAGACTGTGGACAGAATCTGACCATGTCGCATCCTGCCCTTGTCCTTACTACACTCTGAGCCTATTGGGGAGGCGAGAATGTGTTGAAATGATACACCAACTGGTTCAGAAGAGAAACATCATCATACTCTGTCCCCAGAGCAAGGTATCTCATCACTGCAGACCTAGAGAGGCTGATGTGTTGGATGACTGGAAATGGAGAGAATAGATGTTCACATGAAGGGCCTAAAATAGATAGAAGGCATTCAGGGACTCACCAGGAAATTATTTAAGAACTGCTTTTTTTTTTTTTTAAATGAGGAAAATGTGCAGGAAGGCAGGGAAGGTCTCTTAGGACTAGGTAGCCTAAAGAGCCATTTGAGGGCTATTGTGCTGCCTGCTCAGGAAGGTAGTGAAAAGTCATGAAGCTTGGCTTTAAAATATGTGGAAGTCTACTGCTTATATAAACTTATAATTTTGTATGTTATTAATTATATAATATAATATAACATTACATATTAAAATATAATATATAATTAAAATATATGCTATATATAAATTTATAAAGTAAATTTATAGTATGAAGGCTTAAGATAAGTAGGCTTTGTGTGTATGAGCTAATATAACTTCATCACCTCTAATCTTAGTAATGATTTAAGCAAAGGTTAGACAATGATATCAACCTGAGAAATTTGGGTGTAACTTAAGGAAAGAGGGTGGGCACTAAGACCATTTTCTCCTAACCAAACAGCCAGTATTTATAGAATGAATCAGAGAGGGCAGGCTAGAGGCAGGGAGACCAGTGAGAACAGTCTGTCTTGGATAGATTGTGTCCTGTGGAGGCGATCTTACCAGCAGGGTGCAAGTCCGATTATATGGTGTGGCTGGGAGGATGAGACAAACTGAAGATAATCATCTGTGTTTGAGGTAATGAAAGTCTGACCTATGGAGACTCTGATTAAAAGAGAGAGATGGGAATGTGCTGCATGGTGGGCGTCCCCAGTGCTGGTGGTACCACTGACACGAGCCGAAAGCTCCGACGTGACTGTGGATGAGTGTGTATTGAGGAAGAAGGGTTTTTATTTTTGGTTGAACTAAATTTAGGGATATAGAGAAAATACCTCCCAGATGAAATTGGCAACGCAGACCTGGAACCTAAAAAGTGCTCTGGACAGGGTGCTTGGCTCTTTCCACACATCAAGCATTGGGCACATGGGAACTGAGTTACCCTGAGGAAAACCGCAGGGGAAGAAATTATAAGAGATCTCAGGTGACGACTGTATGGGAGGAAAGAGGTGAGGCCGGGGAGGGGGACACTCCTCAAATGAGGCAGAGGGTTTAAATGGGTCAAATGTTTCTGTATCATAAAGTAACTAGTTTTCTTTTTTTTGAAAATGCACTTTTTCCAAATCCACGCCAACTGAGAGACTCCAAAACTGCTCAAACTTTTAGGAGTAAAAACAATTTTATGTGTGTGTGTGTGTGTGTGTGTGTGTGTGTGTGTGTGTGTGTGTGTGTGTGTATTTCACCACCAGAGGACTAGAAACGGTGAATGTTGTTACTAAAAAGGTCTTTAAAATTGATTTACGTGGAGAATAAAGCTAAAAACTGAAAACTGGCTTGATTGTCTACCTTAATGACCTCAAATCTCATTGCTTTCTTTCCAAGATCCCCCCCCCATTTTATCTAACTTAGACAAGGGAGTCACCCTTAACTTCACAGGGGTTCTGACACACACGCATGTGGACGATAAGAGGGAGGTGGCATCCAAATTCTAATAGCTGTGTAGCAGTGAGCTTGACACTCACTTGCGCGGGAGCTTTTTGTATTTTGGGGGAAGAGTGATATATGTAGGGCAGCTCTGTGAACTCTGTGATAAAATATATTTCTGTTGCAGACTGTCTCAATTAAAATAAGATGAAAATAAATCAATCATATTTTAATTATATCAAGTTAATAAAGCATGAAGAAATATTAGAGTTGGAACAACATCAATATAATTATAGTATAAGATTTATCATTTGAAGATTTTAAAATGGTGGCCCACACAGTGTTGAAGTTAAATGCAATTTTACCTTCTAGTGGCAAATTATTAATCTCACTACATTTAACTAAGCTAAATAGATATTCTTATTAAATCGGTCTGTTTCTGTTTCATGCTTCCAAAACTACCAGTGATACTTCTCTATTTTGCAGATTAATGGGTGAAATAACAGATCAGTTCAGGCCTCAAACATTCTTCCCATCTGTCTTCTAAACACAGGAACGCAAAAAGAATGGATCAACTTGGCATGTTCTATAAAACATCTAAATTTATCATACAATTGATTATTAATCACATTAAAACTCCAGTGGAATTGGTATCATATGATAGCCCCTTTTCACTCTATCGAAACAATACCTGGAGGCACCTTTCTCAGAGAGAGATACCATGCACATCTGGGGAATGTCTTTATAATTCATGAATTCTTGGAAGAAGTCTCCAAATGTATTCTTATGTCCTCTTTAATGTTATTATCATCAGAATAGGGTCCACCTAGTAAAAATCTCTTCAAATAAGGTGACAGTAATGTTGGTAATTTATAGCTGATTGTCTTTTTGCCTGGGAGAAATATAGGAGTTAAGCACTCTACCCCTCCAAAGAGTTAAAATGCCGAAGAGAAACACTTTACATCTTCTTTTAACTTGAGAGCAAGACTGTCCAAAAGTACCTGGGCTTTTGAAAATGGAAAACCTTTCTACCAGCAGGGGGCTGAATGGTTTTTAATATAGTTGGGGTAGAAAATAAAGGGTGTTGGAATAAGAAAATCCTTCACCCTGATTTCAGTAGGATTATGAGACCAAATAATTGGGAAGTAGTGTTTAATATTTTAACAACAAGAACACTAAATATGAGAGAGATAGGGTTATGCAAGTATGCTTCGCGAGAATGCTTGGGTTATAGCTTTATTCTAACCAGAGGAGAGGCCATTCGGGATGAACTCAGCATGGATTAGGTGTTGAGTCTCAGGGAGGAGTTCATGAATTAGGAGGAAGACAGTAGCACCAGCCCCGCTCCAATGACCTGCCCTACCTTCCCTAGAATCCCATGTTCACATTTCTGCCTTTAACATTGTACTGCAGTGTCACAACCATCCTGTAACCAGGTTTTACAGAATATTTTAAAGGCACTGTCTCTGAAGACTGAGATTTGAGGCAGCTGCCATCCCTGCTCTCTACCTCCACCCCCACCCCAGTTATGTTTTCTCCACCAATCCTGTTTTGTTCAATATGACAGGTGCCTTTAAGATTTTCTTTTAGCATAGCTATTCACGAAACAAATTTCGGGTGGTATTTCTATCACCTAGAAACGAGATCTTATGGGAGGTATGTCGTACAGGCCAATGAATGCCTTTAACAAGAGAAACTAAAATACCAGCAAGCTGACAGAGTAGCAATTAATGCCATTATCTTGAACATCTGGGGACATACTGGAACACAGGTGATAATAGCCAGGCAGGGTTAAAGTATGATCAGGGAATGGGGGGGAGTGAAAACATTTTTCAAATAAGCAACACTGAGGGAATCTTAAAATTTTACTTCAACATTTATATGATTTTTATCTTCACTTTAAGAAAGACAATAGTGAAGGGCTATCATTTATTAAGATTTTAGTTTATGGGCAAGACAGTTCGGGCTAGGTCATGAATATACTTACCTTCTCTAAAATATTGATGGCAAAAACTAGGCCGGGCTGTGGTGGCGCATGCCTTTAATCCTAGCACTCGGGAGGCAGAGGCAGGAGGATCTCTGTGAGTTCGAGGCCAACCTGGGCTACAAAGTGAGTTCCAGGAAAGGCACCAAAACTACACAAAGAAACCCTGTCTCAAAAAAACAAAAACAAAAACAAAAAAAAACAAAAGAACAAAACAAAACAAAACCCAAAAAATTAAACTCTGGGGTACAAACTTCCCTAACCAGTTAGAATGAACAATTAACATAAAAATCTGATGTCAGCTATTCATGTGTCATAAAGTTCAATAGTTTGCATGTATTTATCATAATCTCTGATAAAATTAATCTGCATCAAGTATAATAGCATCTCTCTCTCTCCCTCTGTACCCATCCATCCATCCATCCATCCATCCATCATCCATCCATCCATCCATCCATCCATCCATCCATCCATCCATCTATGTACCCATCCATTCATCTATCTATGTATCTATGTATCTATGTATCTATGTATCTATGTATCTATCTATCTTTCTATCTATCTATCTATCATGTGTGTGGTGGTGAACACACACGTGTGCATGTACACATGGAGACCAGAGGTCAAACTCCAGCATCATTCTACAGGCAGTACCAACTTTTGTTTTTGTGAGACAGTCTCTCATTGGCCTGGAGCTCACTGGTTAAACTAGGCTGGTGGCTAATATCTCTGGGATCCACCTGTCTTGCCTCCCAGCACTGGGAATTCAAGTGTGCTACCATGCTTGGTTTTCTTCTTCTGTGAGTTTTGGAGATTGAACTTAAGTCCCCATTGGCAAATACTTCACTAACTGTACTATCATTCCAGCTTCAGTTAATTTAAAATCTGGTAAAAAGGACTTAGGAAATTATTCCACAGTGAGTCTATGTGGACACAAGGAATTTAGACAACAAGCACGAAGTCAAGGTTTCAGTGGGAAAAGAAGTTTCGAACTCAGGCTCGGTATATTTGGTTTCCTGTCTAGCGAAGCTTCATCTTATAATTATGAATGTTGATGTTATGCCAGGCACATGGTGGCAGACATTCAATGAAGGATCTTCCTTCCTTTTGCTCCTGTGGCTCTGGTGTATCTTTGTGTCTCATGATATACATTTTGACTATACTGCTTGACTGGTGCAAACTCTTGCGTTTAGTATTAAAGTAAGCATAACAGAATGTAGGAAAAATATAATGCAGTTATGCAACTTGACTCACTGATTTCTAAAGACTGGATGCCACATAGGAAGAAGGTTTTCTCTCATATAAACTGTGCAACGGAAGCTTGGAAAAGTCAATGGCAAGCATAGATCATGAAGGTTAGCGTTAATAAAGAACACTGTCTGATGTCTGTGAAACATTCCTCACATATTTTTTTTTTACTTAAGATGGTTATATAAGACAAATCAAAGAAAATGCAAGAAAGGAGAGAGAGATTCATGTTTTCATGTTTACGGACAGAGAGCACACCATCTTGGTACAGTGCGTGCCTTCTGAATTACTATGGAAGAGAGATGAAGAAAGACCAGAAGGAGAAAAATCCCGAATTAGCGACATTAGTTGATGAGTTTCAGGGGGAGGAAGGGGCCGAGAGGTGATAATGGTTAGGAGATGAAAATGCATACAACCACTACATACATACATAACACTACATACATACATAACACTACATACATACATAACACTGATAAGGAATAAAAACATGAAAATTTTAAAAAGAAAAATTATGCTTCCAGGATATAAATATTTTATATTGGTAGCAACAATTTGATCACAAAGATGATTCTTGAATTCGGAGCCACTGAGAGAATTTATACTAGTAACATAGGGATATTGAACCCTTTATATGCATTTGTGTTTCTTTCCACTTAAGATTAGCAGAAAAAATTAAAAAAAAAAAAACAACCCTTAGTCTTCTTGAATTTGTTTTAATTCTTCACTTTCTCCCTTCCCAGAGTAAGGAAGTTGGCACCATAAGGGTCCATTTTATTAGGATTCTTAAAGCAGAGTTGTTCATTTCTTAGTTATTCACTTATTCATACATATGCCTATATTCATAGATGGCACATTAGGGAAAGAAGAAAACCTCCTATGATATTAAAGGGGAGGGACTCTGGGTGGTAAATAGGTGCTGGGAAGGATACCATTTCTTCAGCGGTGTGGTCAGAACTAAGTAACCCGTGTTCTGATAAAAAGCACCCCTCATACTCACAACCGCAAAGTACCCACCATGAAACTCAGGGAGTGAAGAAAAATAATCAAAATAGCAGGGGCTTCTTGCGGTGAAGGGTTTCAAGGGGAAAGGGCGACTGAGATGATTATTGGTAGGAGGTGAAAATGTGTAAAGCCAATATATTCATACATAAAATTGCCAATGACTAAAAATATTAAAACTTTAAAAAGAAAAGAAATTATGCTTCTAGGATCTAAATATTTTTTATAATGATTTGATCACAAAGATGGTTCTTGAATTCAGTAATTAAAACCAAGGCTTTGGAATCTAACATGGGAGATGAAATACTGATTATTTCAACTATATGCAACCTGCCAAGTTACTTTCCCCCATATAAACCTCAGTGTCCTTAACTATAAAACCAAACAGTAATATTCAGCCTTATAGATTTGTTGGGGGAGATTAAATGATTACTTTCCCCCCAAAGCATTCATTCGGTACCTGGAATATAACAGACAATAAACAAATTCCCTAAGAGAAATTTCATTTCACTCGAATGCCTGAGGTTTTACAGAAGAAAGACAAAGGCTCACATCTCCCCACTGGTAGAAGAGCTTGGCAGCATTCCACTGCAGCTTCTGGTTCCGCTTGTTGCCCACGATGGGAGACCTGCCCCGGGAAAGGCCTTTCTTGGTGATGTTCACATGGTGCCCTTTCATCCACTCTGGCCAGTTGCCCCGGTTGCACCGGTGAACAAAACGGGCACATTCCAGAAACAGAGCTGCTCTGGCCACCACAGGGGCTTCCTGAGAAGGATTAAGGAAAGAACAATGTGGGATTAATAAACAATTTCTTTAAATTGGCCTCAAGTGGAATAACTGAGCTTCCTGGTATACATCAGTCCTGGTGTTTTAATTACCTTTGGCCACATTTCTCAGGATGGCATTAGCACAGTCGTAGAAAATCTGAAAATGAAATCTCAAATTCAAAGGTGCTGTACACATCAAGGAATTAGGTATCCTAAGAGGGCCCATGCTACTTTAACCTTCTCAGTTCTCAACGGATCACATGCTTTCACTATATATATAATTGAAAATAGATTCTTGTCATACAAAATATTCAGATTATGGTTTTCTCTCCCCCAACTCTTCCCAGATCTTCCCAACTCCTTACCTACCCAAATTCACATTCTTTCTTTCTCTTTCTCATAAGAATACAGACATCTATAAAATAATAATAAAACAAAATAAAATAATAACACACCAGAATAGGACAACTAGGACTTGAAGGTATGTGGGAATGACCTTTCAAAGCTTTTAAATAAGAAGTTTCAAAAAGCATAAACCTTTAACATGAATAAGCAAATACTCCATGTCTAGAATGAATCTTACTCCAATCTAGGGTGCTGTTACATTGACCCTACACTGGCATGTTATCTAAGATCACTCACAAGTTTCAGGAGATGAACTGTTTTGTTTTTTGTTTGTTTTTGTTTTGTACACTTTGAGTATTAGAAAAAGGAAGAGGAAGATTTTGTTGAATTAATCTTTTTCCTGTATAACAGACCAAATTCTGCTCAAGAAGTATCATTTTAGTTGAAAATATTAGAGAAAAGAGGAAACTATTTAATTGATAAATGATAAACAGAATATTTTTTTTTCAGGAAAATAAAAAGCAGGACTCCCTCTTGACATGCAAAGATGTGGTTTTAAAAATAAAAGCGGTAGGTTTGATACTCGGAACCTGGAAAAATGAGATACTCTGCTGAACTCTTTAAAAGCTAACAAGCATGTACAGAGGCAAGGGCGTGGGAAAGATGGAGGAGGGGAAGAAGAGAAAGAAGAGAGGAGAAGGAGGAGGGAAAGGAATAGAGGAGGAGGAGGTCATCAGTAGGTCATAAGAAAAATACAAAGTGTTACCTTTGATTTTTACCTGTGCCAGTTATTTTTTTAACTTTTTATTGATTCTGTGTGGCTTTCACATCATGCATCCTGATCCCATTCATCTCCCAACCCTTTCATATCTGCCTTCTGCCCTTGCAACCTCTGCCCCAAAATAAAATAAAATTTTAAAGAAAAACCAAAAATCAAAAAACAAACAAACAAAACCCCAAACAAATTAATGATCCAACAAACCAAAACCAAAACAAGCAAAGCAAAACAAAACAAAAAAGTCTCAGTGTGGATGCTGTAGTGTGACAGTGAGTCACACAGGATACCCTTTAGACCATACATCTTTACTCATAAGTGTTCATTGAGTAAATGAGTCGTTGGTCTGGTTCAAGGCCTCTGGCTTATGCTACACTAGATACTGGGCCCTCACTGGGACTCCTCTTGGATATACTAGTGTTGCCTTGTGTCATGGAGATCCTGCAGTTTTGGAAAGGTAGGTCTGGCCCCTTCACATGCTCTAGAAGTTCATAGATGAGGTGGATATTAGGACAGGCTAATTCATAGCCTTGGTTCTGGGTCTGGGTGGTAGCTGGGTAGTTTTCTCTCATCCTGACCACCTGGGTAAGCTCTCCTGCACTGCCCTGGCGAGCTCACCCAATGCAGCAGGTAACAAGGCCCACTCTCTGGTGTGCTACAGTTGGTGAGGGGCAGGGCCAGCTCTCCCACTCTCATGACCTCAGGGCCAGCTCTCCCACCTACCTACCCCAGACATGGAGGGTTGGAGGATGGGGAAGGCCAGTTCTCCCTAGTGTGCAGGCAGTGAGGAGCAGGATCAACTCTGTGCAGACCTGTCCTCATCGCCTTTGGTGGTAACAGGTGCCACGGACATCAATGCAGACCTTGGCTGTGGCAGGGACACGGACCCAGACCTGGCCCAGGCTGCAGTTTGGGCCTGTATGATGCCATGGCCTCAGGTGGCAGTGCATGTCACACAGGTCTGTATGAGCCTGTTGTGTCATTTTTTTAAAAAAAAGTCACATTGCCACCACCACCGCTGGGTCACTCAGTAACTCTAGGCTGTCAGTGATCACAGATTCTCAGGTTGAAAAGAATTTTTTGTTGTTGTTTTTTGTTTTTTCGAGACAGGGTTTCTCTGTGTAGTTTTGGGGCCTGTCCTGGATCTCACTCTGTAGACCAGGCTGGCCTCGAACTCACAGAGATCCACCTGCCTCTGCCTCCCAAGTGCTGGGATGAAAGGTGTGCGCCACCGCCGCCGGGCGAATTTTTTTCATCATTTTAACCAACAAAGTTTAGAACAATTCAATCTATAATGCTAAAATAAATATTAATGTATAGGGATATGTCACAGTTGACTTCTTACAAATTATAACATATAACAACACTATGATCAAGAAATAATACCCTCATTTTAAGAGTCTTCAAAAAAAAAAACCCAACATGTTTTCCATATTAACCTGGACTGTGAAGGTGAACATACAGTATCCAATCTGATGTTCTCCCATTCCCACATCTATGCTGTCTTTGTCTTCATATTTATATTGTCTTAATTTATATTCAAAGATCTTACTAAAAGAAAATTGGGGGGTGTAGGTAGAATGCATTTAAGAATAAAAATCAATTAGTAAATACAATATTTTTTAACACATATCATATGCATTCTACCATTTAAAACATATTGCAGTTCTGTATAATGAAAAATGATGTTCAACCTTTGTGACTTGGTTTACCTCCCAGTCTATTCCCATCTCAAGTGCTGTACAATCTAAGTGAATCAAAAAAAGAAGCAGTTTCCTACAGATAAGATCTCATATCTTTCCAGAAGTGCTGTTCCCATGACCTGCAGCCTTCACGTTCCTGCTCCACCTGTAAGATTCTGGCAACCATCGTCACTGAGAAATCTTCTCTGTTTTTATGCTCTTTTAGATGATTAAAGTAAATTACAACCCCCTTATCTAAAGCTTAAATGCAGCTATCGAGAATTCTATAAACTTAATTTTAAAAACGTTTTTAAAGGAAAATAATTACAGTAATGCATCATAAAATTCTAGTTAAGAACCACATTTAAAGAGGGGCTTAATTTTTCAAACCTCATTGACAGGAGACAGAAAGTTAATATAGATGAAAAGACAAAATACCAGATGAACACTGTGTTAAGAATCTGTTATTCATACATGCGTGATAAGTGACGAAAGTCTGTACAGAGGCCGAGATATGGAAACAGGTCATTAGGAGAGTCCATTATTCAATGCCAGGAGTCTGCAGCAGAGGCATGAATACGATGATGCTGTTGCACATGGTCTGAATACTGAGTCTTCCCGTGTAAATGTTTACTAAGCACATTGGATGTGCTGGCCTGTATCTGAAAAGGGCTGAGACATCTGTCTCTAGAATATGAATGCCAGGCAGGAGGGCAAGCCCAGCACTGTAAATTTATTTTCTTCCTGTCAGACTTTGACAGATTCTCATTATAAAACAATGTGAACTCAATGCTTAATGACAGGAGACAGAAAGAACACCCATGGCAGAGCACTGTACAGTGAACTCTGACTTTTATAGGATTAAAGGTAAAAACCCAACTTAGACTAGTTACATGGGGTAGAGAGTCTTTTCGCCACCCCTAACTATGGGCTGATGAAGGAATGAACAACTGATGGATGGACGTATGTGAAGAGGTATAAGAACCTTGAAGTGGTTTTAGATGAACAGAAATTTCAGTTTTCTCCTTTCAAAAATTTAGCATGATAAAACCCAGATGTTACCAGCATATAGTTATTAGCCTTGGTAGTTTGAAGTTTGGAAATGCAATTTAGATCCATTTGAGGATATATTCTCTTTATTATACAACTCAACACAAAGAGTGAGACTGGTTATTATCCAATGGTTTTGATACATGCTATAAAATCCAGTATCACTGAGAACTGCCACAGCTTGAATAAAGAATCATTCAAATGGTATCCCTTTTTTAATAATTCTCATGATCCTGGTAAATGGGAGGCAGGCTTGGGAATTCTATATTCAAGATGTTGTGAATTATGTCAGTTCCTAAAGTATTAAGTATTCATATCCTCCACTTCTGTTCTTTGAGACAAACTGGCCTCAGATTCACAGAGATCTGCTCCCTTTGCCTCCTGAATGCTGGGACTGAAGACGTGCCTTGTGAATATTTCTATTCAGGAAGTTGAGGGGGATGCTGAGGCACAAAGCCAAAGATAACTACTATGCCTTCTAGTAGAAGATGCTAAGCAATAAAAATAAATACAGAACATGTGTGCAACAAAATCTAAGGTATTCTACTGTGGATATGGCTGTGATGAGTATTTCTTAAGTACTATTTAAATCACAGTTTTGAGAAGGGGAGATTTGGGGAGGCAGGACTATAGACTACCTAGAACAGAGGATTCTTCCTAGTCACTAAGGAAAGCCAAGGTTTCCCTTCTGATGGAGTTTCACTCTTACAGTTCAGTACAATCTGCAGGACCAATAAAATATGAAGGTATGATGTAGTGGAGATGGATGGATTCACATCAGGGAGAAAGATAACTCAAGGGGATGGGGAACAAATCAAGCAAACACTGCATGGCTAAAAAAGACCATCAAGTATCAAAGGCCCAGTTACAATGAATGTCAACACTGGTCTAGAGTGGGAAATAACAGGATACAGGTGATATGCAGGGGGAATCGGGAAAACATGGCACTTAATTGGGGAGAGCTACAGAGGGAGAGAGAGGGAGTATAAGGCTAAAGTTAACCTATAAGCACTACTTGCCCAAGGACACATAACTTCTTGGATTGCTGGGGGCTGTTGTTCATGTAAGATAACAAGTCACCTGTTTTGATGTCTATAAACAAGATTGGTTGCCCCAGCTGCACACAATGTGCTTTATCACACACAG